GACTTGCAAGGGATTATAGCTTCCCAGAATCTGGTCAATCCAACTCCAGCGTATTCTAGGTCCCAAGTCCAAGACCAAGATCAAAACCAATTGCAGTCTCCTGAGTTGACACCATCTCCTAAGCCAATGCCATCTCATCAGTCGACAGAGTCGCTCCCACCACTACCAGAGAGCCATGTTCAGCCCCAGTTAGATCTCGTTATACCAAGCAGCTTTCACCTTGACGGAGGGCAACCATCACGCAACGGCTCCGATTTCAGCGAAGCTAACATCATTCCTGGTAGAAGAACACGACGATCAGCTTATGCAATGCACAGTCACCAGACAGTTACCAGCTTCCAACCGTTCTACGCTGCGTTCTCAGCTGGAAGGGCGATTCCAAAGCTAAAGGCTCATCGAGATAGCTTACCTACAACACCGAAGAACTGGAAGGAGATGTTGGCTCATCCTCACGCTGAGGAATTCAATGCTGCTGCCCAGAAAGAACACAATGACCTTCTTCACAAAAATGTCTTTGAGTATGTCGACTCAGGGTACTCAGAACAAAAACCACTACCGCTTATGTGGGTTTTCACATACAAATTTGATCCTGATGGCTTCTTGATCAAGCACATGGCTAGACTCTGTGCATGTGGAGATCTACAGGAAACCACATACGAGACATACGCTGCAACACTAGCTGCTCAAACCTTTAGGTTCACGATGGCTATAGCCGCCTACTTTGACCTTGAAGTATGGCAATATGATGCTATTAACGCATTCGCCAACAAACGCTCGACCCGCCTATCCTCTGCAGATGCCCAGATGGCTTCGAAGGCCTAGGACGTACAATTTGGCTGCTTATGGCGCTATATGGGCTCAAGGTCTCCCCACTTCTCTGGTATAGAGAGTTCACAGCTACTCTGGCAGATCTAGGCCTTTCGCCTGTCCCAGGAGTGAACTGCTTATTCACAAATGGCTGGCTCACTCTCCTTTTCTATGTGGACGATGTCATTCTCTTTTGTAGCAAGGCTAATCTTCCTAAAATGACAGGCTTTGAAGCCGAGCTTCTAAAGAGATATGAATTCAGAAAGCTTGGAGAGATCGATCACTTCCTTGGTATTAGGGTGATTCGAGACAGAGCATCTAAAAAGGTCTGGCTTCTTCAGGACGCCTACATTTCTAAGATAGTAGCAAAATACAACGTCAAACTGCACCAGACAAAGCCCAAAACACCACTACCAACCACTCCACTCATGGCTAACTCTCTACAAGCCTCGAAGAATGAGATATATGAGTATCAACAGAAGGTGGGCTCCATCAACTACTCAAGCGTCATAACGCGTGCAGATATTGCTAGGGCAGTCTCAAAGTTGTCTAAATTTCTACAGAACCCCTCAAGAGAACACCTCTTCGCTGTCGACCAGACTATTCTTTACTTAGACGCTACAAAATATTATGCTATTCTGTATAATGGCAGTGTCAAGGATTATAAGCGCCTGTTCTTGTGTGCAAGCGATGCTTCATTCGCCGATAACCTACTCACTAGGTTCAGCTCCCAAGGTTATATCTTTACCCTATTTGGTGGCATCATCCATTACAGGGCTACGAAACAGAAAACCGTGACTACTTCTAGCACGGAAGCTGAGCTTCTAGCTCTACAACTCACTGCTGGCGAACTCATGTGGTGGATGCGGTTCTTCAAGGCCATACACTTCGAACTCGACGAACCATTCACTATTCTCTGCGACAACCAGCAGACACTTCGACTCCTCAACCGGGAGACCCCAAAACTAGTGACCAAACTACGCCATGTCGATGTGCACCAGTTATGGTTGCGTCAAGAAGTTCAGAAGGGAACGTTCAAGACTGAATGGGTGCCAACTAGCCAAATGCCAGCTGATGGGTTCACCAAGGAGCTCCCACGCCAAAAGCATGAAGAATTCGTGCGACAGCTTGGATGTAATGGTGGGTGCACCAGATATGAGAATCTAGCCACCCAAGGAAGGGATGAATTTACTAAGACAACACACTGTCTTAGGAAACAGAGCCAAAGGGTTGTAGCTTAGACTATTCCACAACGCAGCAATCAGGTGTATGATGTGGTGAAGTGGTTTAGACAAGTTGCAACAAATGTTGAGTCTGAGAACTCAGGGGTAAGTCAGAGGTTAGCACCTCACTGACTTTTCAAAAACAGAGAATAACAAGATCAATGCTTGGAAGCTTGGAAAAGACGTAGAAGTATGTGCTAGTCGATTTACTGTATTGCCTGCTTGCCCTTTCTTAAGGAAAGGGCAATCCTATTTATGCCAAAGGAGTGTAGTTCTCTCATTTTCCATGACTTTCCATGACTAACCAGGCTTGGTAAATGTATTAGAAATCAAGTGCGACCCACAACTAGCTTGCTAATCATGTAGTGAACGTAAGAGAATCCCATAGAACCATCTCTTGGGTTCCTAGCCTATAGGAAGTGAAAAGGAGGTCCAAGGTCAGAGTACCTATAGACAAATTATGTCATAACTTAACCAATTTGTGGGTAACTAAGGAGCGATGACGTGTAATGAATCATAGAGGGTTGTAGAAGCTTCTAGAGCTATCGTTCATGTTCCTAGGCCTCTAGTTGGTAGAGATATGCCATGTGGTAGTATTGGCCCACCCCCTTAAGGAGGAGATTTTCTTAATAACTTGTTCAATGAGTGTCCAAATGATATGCCGTGATGTATGTAGCATAAACAGATGTAGTAGAAGAGTTTGCAGCAATCGTTGAGTAGTATTGCTTCTGTTGTTGGTGTGATAAGCCAAGATATGTATGGTGACTTGTAGGTTTGAGGAGGAGATTTCTAAGTTTGCTCTTGAGTTTGATAGCAAACTGAGTGCAACGAATGTCAGTATGACATTGGACTGGTGGATCTACAGGATACTCATTTCGATGACGCTTGAAAACTACGGTCAACTTGCACATGGTAGAGTCATTGCCTACAGATCATCACTTTCTCTCACAAATTGCTTCCAATACTGATGAATCTGGAAGGGCGTGTTGGACTCAAACAGCCAGGGCGTGGTTTCCTGATTAGGCGACACAACGCCGTCATTCCTGCATCAGCTGCATCACTATATAGCTTCAGAAGAAGAACATCCTTACGATGCTCTTCAATCAATCAATCAATCCAATACGATTCAATGCATCGATGCCCCAACAGTGACCATCCTCGGTCAACAGATGGTTCTATGGGATTCTCTTACGTCGACTACAGTTACCAAGCCTGGTTAGTCATGGAAAGTCTTGAAAAATGAGAGAACTACACTCCTTTAGCATAAATAGGATTGCCCTTTCCTTAAGAAAGAGCAAGCAAATAATACAGTAAATTGACTATCACATACTTCCATGTCTTTTCCAAGCTTCAAAGCATTGATCTTGTTACTCCTTGTTTTCTGAAAAGTCAGTGAGGTGCTAACCTCTGACTTATCCCTTATCCCTGAGTTCTCAGACTCAACATTTGTTACAACTTGTCTAAACCACTCCACTACATCATACACCTGATTGCTGCGTTGTGGAATAGTCTAAGCTATGACCCTTTGGCTCTTTTTCCTAAGACAGTGTGTTGTCTTAGTAAAATCATCCCTTCCTTGGGTGGCTAGATTCTCACATCTGGTGCACCCACCATTACACATTGATCTTGTTACTCCTTGTTTCTGAAAAGTCAGTGAGGTGCTAACCTCTGACTTATCCCTGAGTCAGACTCAACATTTGTTACAACTTGTCTAAACCACTCCACTACATCATACACCTGATTGCTGCGTTGTGGAATAGTCTAAGCTATGACCCTTTGGCTCTTTTCCGTAAGACAGTGTGTTGTCTTAGTAAAATCACCCCTTCCTTGGGTGGCTAGATTCTCACATCTGGTGCACCCACCATTACACTGGGCTAATACTACACATGACATATCTCTATCAACTAGAGGCCTAGGAACATGAACGATAGCTCCAAAAGCTTCTACAACCCTCTATGATTCATTACACGTCATCGCTCCTTAGTTACCCACAAGATTGGTTAAGTTATGACATAATTTGTCTATAGGGGTACTCTGACCTTGGACCTCCTTTCACTTCCTATAGGCTAGGAACCTAAGAGATGGTTCTATGGGATTCTCTTACGTTGACTACAGTTACCAAGCCTGGTTAGTCATGGAAAGTCTTGGAAAATGAGAGAACTACACTCCTTTGGCATAAATAGGATTGCCCATTCCTTAAGAAAGGGCAAGCAGACAATACAGTAAATCGATTATCACATACTTCTATGTCTTTTCCAAGCTTCCAAGCATTGATCTTGTTACTCCTTGTTTCTGAAAAGTTAGTGAGGTGCTAACCTCTGACTTATCCCTGAGTTCTCAAACTCCACATTTGTTACAACTTGTCTAAACCACTCCACTACATCATACACTTGATTGCTGCATTGTCGAATAGTCTAAGCTACGACCCTTTGGCTCTGTTTCCTAAGACAGTGTGTTGTCTTAGTAAAATTATCCCTTCCTTGGGTGGCTAGATTCTCACATCTGGTGCACCCACCATTACAATTTGTTACAACTTGTCTAAACCACTCCACTACATCATACACTTGATTGCTGCGTTGTGGAATAGTCTAAGTTACAACCCTTTGGCTCTGTTTCCTAAGACAGTGTGTTGTCTTAGTAAAATCATCCCCTTCCTTGGGTGGCTAGATTCTCACATCTGGTGCACCCACCATTACAGTTGGCTTCTATAGTTATCATAGAGTAATATTAGTATTTACCTATTTCTAGCATAGGATGTCGTTCAAATTGTTGATTATGGCTAACTACATACGATACACTACTAATTTACTAGGCCAGAAATGGCTCTGTCACAGTGTGACAGTACCATTTCCTATTTGGGCACGTGGGGCCGGAGTGGGCACCTTGGCATTATGTTACTGTCACACTTTTAGCGTGTAACAGTAATTAAGGGCACAAATCTGTCGATCATGAGATTAGCGAGCACTGACAAGCGAATGCCGAGTCTAGTCTTGGCACTCGTCATTCCCTCCCTGTTTGTGTTGACTAGGACGAGGGAGAGAAAAAGGACGGGCAAGAGTAGATGCCACCATATCTTGGTATGATTACTATATTACCTATTTAGGGCTATTTACTCTCTCTATGCTTCAATAATAAACAACTTCTCATACATCTACCTACGATAATCGCATTTATACTAATTACAACTCTACTACCACCCATACCCAGGGTCAGGGTATTCGTCGGCATCAGTGATCGAATATCATTATAATCGGTATCGCATATACTCATCTCGGCCGATCGCAATGGCACAGCAGCAAGCCCACGGCGGTGCCGCCGACGAGTTCTTCCGCGGCGAGCCCGATGGACAACAACAGAACTACCAACAGCAGAATTACCAGCAGCAGCAGCCTTACCAACAGCAGAACTACCAGCAGACGGACTACAACCAGAACGCCGGCAATGACCAGGCGCCGCCATACAACGCGCCGTCGAACCCCAACGAGAAGCAGGAGTTCCACGAGGCCTTCAAGGTCTCGAAGCCAAAGTGGAACGATCTCTGGGCCGCCATCCTCTTCCTCGCGACATGCGCCGGCTTCGTCGTCGTCTCGGGCTTGTCTCTCAATGGATACCAGGTCACCAGCCACGGGAGCACCACGAATAACACCTTCGGACTTAACAAACTCACCATCGTCCTATTGTAAGCTTCCCCTCCCCTCAAAACCAGGCGCGCGCGCAAACTAACACCACCCCCCCCCCCAGCGCCTACGTCCTCGCCGTCGCGTTCGTAATCTCCTTCGCCTACTTCTGGTGCGTGCGCGCCTTCACCAAGCAAATCATCTGGATCACCGGCATCCTGCAAATCGTCTTCGGCATCGGAACCGCCGTTTTCTACCTCTGGGCCAAAGAATACGCCGCCGGCATCGTCTTCCTGGTCTTCACCGTCTTCTACATCATCTGCTTCATCTCCTGGATCCCCCGCATCCCCTTCTCCGTCCTGATGCTTCAGGCCGTCATCGACGTCGCCAAGAACTACGGGCACGTCTTCGTCGTCTCCCTCGTCGGCGGCCTCATCGCCACCGCCTTCGGCGCCTGGTTCACCGTCACCCTCGTAGCCGTGTACGCGCGCTACAACCCCGGCAACGCCGCCTGCAGCACCTACGGCGGCTGCTCCACCGCCAAGGTCATCGGGCTCATCGTCTTCATCACCTTTGCGGGCTACTGGATCACAGAGGTCCTCAAGAATATCATCCATGTGACCATCTCTGGCGTCTACGGCTCCTGGTACTTCTGCTCCCAGAAGCAGTCAGGGTTCCCCAAGGGCGCAACACGCGGCGCGTTCAAGCGCTCTGTCACGTACAGCTTCGGCTCTATCAGCTTCGGGAGCTTGATCGTGGCGATCATCCAGCTCCTTCGCCAGGTGTGCAATGCCGCTAAGCAGAACTCGGCGGCGCAGGGGAATATGGTTGGGCAGATCATGTTCTGTATCCTTGGGTGCCTGATCAGTCTCCTGGACTGGCTTGTGCAGTTCTTCAATGAGTATGCGTTTAGTTACATCGCGCTGTACGGGAAGGCGTATATCCCCGCCGCCAAGTCGACATGGCATATGATGAAGGACCGCGGGATTGACGCGCTTGTTAATGAGTGTCTCATCAACCCTGTCCTCACTATGGGGTCTGTCTTCGTGGCGTACGTGTGCGTATTGATGTCGTACCTGTATCTCCGCTATGGTAACGTTGTGATGGATACGAATTACTACGCAGTTATCATGGCGTACTCGTTCCTTGTCGGTCTGCAGATCTGTAACGTCTTCCTGGTGCCGATTAAGAGTGGTGTTGCTACCCTGTTTGTGGCGATGGCGTTTGATCCGGCGGTGCTGCAGAATGAGTTCCCGGATTTGTATGATAGGATGGTGGGCGTTTATCCGCATGTGCAGCAGGTGGTGCATGCTTAGACGGGAAATTCGTCTTGTTGCACTGAGGGGGTTTTGAGACCTGTGAGAGTAGGGGGGTCATGGAGTGCAAATACGTGGTGCATGAAAGAAGTGGAAAGGAGGGGGGGAACAGCGCTGTTATCTGTTATGTGCTGGGTTAATAGTTCATCGATAAACTATATTTTTTCTTTTCTTTTCTGTTTCTTGGGTTGAAGGATGTGCATGGGGCGCGTGGGGATACCAACGTTTAAGGGAATATACATATTTTTGGGCGCGGGGTTGCGTTCTTGGGGAGGGGTGAATAAGTGTGGGTGGGGAAGGGGGGAAGGGAGGAGGGTGTAATGAGAAAGGGTTGGGTAGCAGATAGCAATGAGAGGATATTATATTATACTCTTTCGAAGAGATATTGTGCTACCACTCGTGGGCGGGGCTGGAAGGGGGGCTGGAGGTTGGTGATTCATAACAACCACCATATTAGGAGCAGCTTGAAGCACAGCTTCTCCTGGGCCAAACAATTCCAGGACCTTCATGGAGCAAATGGAAGGCGGTTCTAGACTTGACGACGAGGGTTGGGGCCGCCATAGCGATGGCAGGTTAGAAACTACAGAGTGACGGATGAGAGACACTGCTGCTGTCACCCCTTTCTTACCTGCTGCCAAAGCCGTCATGGGCGCGGCCAACCACTGAAGATACAATCTCTTGTGTCAACCACTTGCAAATATAGCATAGCAAGGAGCGAAACCCCCGATCATCTCACGAACTCCGCGGCGGATTCCTTGTATACTATGTATGTATTCTCGTCACCGCCCTACTCTTCTCACCGCGCCATGGCATTCTTGTCGCTTGATATATATCCAGCCCATGAGAAGGCACGCGGTGAGATGTGGTATATTCTTTGCAGCGTGTCTGTACACTTCACGCCGAGCCACCGTCCACCTACGTTTCGCGTGGAAGATCATCTGTGTTGAGCACTGCATCGATGGCCCTGCCCTCCGTAAGTAGTAAGAAGCAAGATTGTAAGAATCCATAAGGGCAAGAACCTACAAATTCCGCATGGCTACATCTTTGTCATATGCTTCAGGTGAGGTAGTTCTCGGGCACCTAGTAAAACGGTCCTTTGTTGCTCTCGAGATCTTTTGTAGAAAATGGTGTATCAAGGAGAAGCTCTCTGTGATCTTCGTGCACAACATACTTCTCAGTATGCGGTTTAGGCAACTTGATGGACTGTTTAGAACTCTTGATGTGCAGTTCAGGCTTGGCAATATCTCACGCATCGTTCCCCGGGCACCTAGTAAAATGGTCTCTTCGTTGGATTCTTGGGCTGCATGAGTACTATAATCATGATCAATGCATTTACTACGAAGACGTACGTGACATTCTACCATCCATCCATCCATCATCATCCTCCCCGCCTCGGGAACATACTACAACCCCCCCCTTTTCCACTCATCACCCCCCTAACTATTCAAATACGCCCTCACCGCCCCTCCCAACTTCGTCGCCCCCTCCCCAAGCACCTGCGTCAAGTTCTCCAGATCATCCCCTGCCGTGACCCCAAACTTCCTCACAAAGTCCTTCGCCGCGCTCTCAAGATCGCCATAGTCCTCTTCTCCCCCATCATCCTCCTTGCGCCCGAAATAAGCGTTCGAGGAGATGGAGCTGGCGCCCTCGAAGCCTTGGAGCCGCGCCTTGGCCTCGGTTTGTGCGGCGGGGTCGAAGCTGCCTTTGCCGAAGAACTCGTCGGAGGAGATGCCCTTCTGGGCGCCGAACTTTTGGCGCGCGTAGCGCTCGCTGTCGTCTAGGGCGGGTGGGTTAGTGGGGGTTGATTTGGATACGGTGGGGGTGAGGGGATGCATACCTTCTTCCTTGGCCTTGATAGGACCAACTGAGCCAAAGCCGCCCATCTTCTTGGCAGTTGCAGCAGGCTTCGGGCCGCCGCCAATCTGTCCAAACCCAAGACGGGCCATACCCATACCCAACTTCTCAGCATCGCTACCAGAGCGCTCCCTCGGCGTCGGGTTACCGTATGTGCCACGCCCAGGGGTAACAGGCGACGGGCTCGCAACCTTGGACTCCGCATTCGCCGCCGTCTTCTTCGCCACATCCTCAGCCTCAGGATCATACCCCAGCTTTTCAATCCTCTCCGCCTCCTCCTTCGCCTTCCGCTCCGCAGCATCAAAATCAATCACATCGCCACCACCCAACTTCTTCGCGCCCAACTTCGTTGGCTTTTTGCCACCAAGCACATTAGCCCTGCGCGGGGCGCCGCTGGCAGCCGAGGACTTGCGCAGCGCCGAGGAGTGGACTGCGCGGCTGGCGGGGGCGGGTGCGTCGGAGCTGGCGAGCGGGGAGGGCGAGCGCGCGGGGGTCGCGCCGTCGGCGGTGAGGAAGGGGGAGGGCGTGCGGCCTACTACGGGGGGGGTGGCGGTGCGCGAGCCGGGGGGGTGGGGCGCTTGATCGCGGGCTTGTCCCAGGAGGAGAAGAAGTCGTCGTCGGGTTCGCCGGCGGGGGTGGAGGAGCCGTCGGTTGAGCCACCGCCCATGACGTCGGTGATTACGACTTCCGTGGGGTATCTGCGCGGGAGTGTTAATTTCGATCTATGTGATGTGGTGTTGTGTGAGGCTGGATGGGACGTACTCTATAGCATCCTTTGCGGCCCTCTTCTTGAGCTCCTCCTTGTATTTGATGGCGGCGTTGGAGGTGTACTTTGTCTTGGGGTCCTTGCTGTTCAGCGCGGCAGTTCCGCCGTTGGACTGGAAGAATTTCGTTGCCGACTCGTTACCGCCCACTTTCATGATTCGGAGTTGGTCCCATTGCCATTCTGTTTGTCGTGTGAGCCGCTGTTAGGTCTATAAAGGGGGCGGCGGGGAACATACGGTCAAGGTTCGTAGATCGCACGAACGAGATGTGGACACCGAGGTTACGGTGGTTGGAGGAGCAGTCGAGGCAGAGATAGATGCCCAACGGGACTGATGTCCACGTCGGGTTATTCTGGCCGCAGTCGAAGCATATCTGTAATGGTCACGTCAGGACAAATTCGCATGTGGAGCATTGGGAGGAGACTCACCCTGTTCGCTTGCTTTGTCTTCAATTTCTCAAAAACCTTGAGCGATTGAGACTTGGAGGCTAAGGCGCTCATCTTGCCCGGGCGAGATGGGAATTTGTAGTGTTATAAGATAAGTTGAGCGATGTGGCGTCGTTGTGGTCGTCGCCGCCGCCGGGTCTTTTAATGGCCAAAGTTATTGACACCTGCCCTGAAATCGTATCGGGCGGTGGGGTCAGATCAGGCCGCCGCTTTATGTATCCGGGTGAACGGTCCCCAAATATGAATGCACCGATTACAGCAACGGTAATGGAAATAACGACTTTCAATCACTGGGGACTATAATTATTATATCAGTTACTCAGAAATAAAGCTAAAGAGGCAAATATTGAGAGCTTCAATTGCTAGTATTAATCCTGAGATACATACAGCCCCTCTTCAGCCCCTCTTCGAACTTTTGGGCGGCACCGGCTCTGTTGCCGCCCATATAACTTCAAAGAGGGACTTTTCACTGCTAATAGTTTAATTATTTATGCCTGTAGTAAAGGCTGGTTGAATTTATTCCTTTTGTATCACTTTTCAGTAACTAGCTAGCTATTGAACATTTGAGAATAGCTAAAGCCAATTGTGGACAGTTCACTCGGTTCCCGCCTTGTGAAGGGTCGTGCACGGTCCAACGAGGCGGCGGAAATATCTTGAAGCACAGCCGCATGGGAACCGCGAACCTTACAACGGCTCACCAACCTCAACGCCATGACTTGACGGACTTTGAAAGTAAACAACTAAAAATCGAAGAAGAAATACGTGGAGATGTTATCGGCCGCAAGGTCGCCCACGCTGGCGCACCTCCCAGCGAGCATCAGACCCCTCGTTACTGCACGGCTGTATGCGACGCAAACTGGACTGGGAGCATCGAGTGCACAACCGCAGCTCAAGAGGAAGACAGTAACTCCCTTTAACGACAATGGGAGAGTCCCTTGGGGCATGTTGTCCCCCGCCGAGAAGGTTGCGAGAACGACACAGCAGTCGTTCAATTTTGGGTTTATGATCGTGGGAGCCATCTTGACAGTAAGTCTCCCCCACCTTGTTAGCTTTGACAAGATGCTAATGAGAGATAGGGAGGTGTAGGATATTTTTTGTATACAGAAGTGTTTGCGCTAGACAGCAAGACGAACTGGTTCAACCGCGCCGTGGACAGGGTCAAGGACGACGCCCAAGTGCAGGAGTTACTGGGAGACCCGAAGAAGATCACAGCCTACGGCGAACAGACAAATAATAAATGGGCAGTTTCCAGGCCTATTGCGTAGGCTGTCCTGATCTCAACCTAGGTGGATAGTGCTGACTGTTATTAGCTCGAGTCATCAGAAAGACAAGACTGGGACTGATCACATTATCATGCACTTCAATGTCGAAGGACCATTGAATAAGGGGGTTGTTAGCATGCATGTGACTAAACACCCCTCTGCGGACTCGGAGTTTGAATACAGATATTTGAAGCTGGATGTGAAGGGGCACCCGACTATCTACCTGGAGGGTGGAACAGCGAATGCTGTGGGCAAGGGCAAGACGAAGCTCTTTGGGGTGAGGTGGAGATGATGGGGTATATCAGTGTAAGCTTAAGACTAGCCCAGTGAGTTCTCGCTCGACTATCTGGGGTGTATATACAAAGAGTAGAAGCAAAGCCGTTGTTGCCAGGGCTTTGTTAAATGTAAAATCACAATTAAGCAATTCTTCGTTCGGTGCAAGTTCTATCCAATGAATCTTGAGCAGCTGTAGTTTAAATTGCCCTCTCTTTGGGTGTGTCTACTGTCTTCACTGCCATGTCGTATTGTAAGTCGAGTAAATGCTTATTCTAATTGGTAAATTGTGAAGCTTTTTAATATAACTTATATTGACAATATTTGAAACAACTAAAGTAGACGCAGGATGCAACGAAGGCTCTAGAGACATTGCGAACCTGCCTGTAACATAATATTAAATGGCAAGAAATAAAGAAAATTATATTATCTACTGTTCCATGGGCGATTTTAATATCCATAGGAAGGGTCATAATCAAAGGTACCATGAAGCGGGGATAAATGCAAGCGATACTTGCTTGCCGCGCTAAGATAAATTTGGCGTGGCGATTCGGTCGGTTTACTTTCATGATAAACTATGCCTTGCGACCAACAACAACGTTGAAGCTCTGCACCCCCTTAGCACTCACTTCAAAACCTTCTTTTCAGGCCGGAACAACGTAGACACCAAATACGTACAACTGTTCAGCTGTCTTATGCGAAAGTCTCCGATCTAACAGCCATCCGACGTGCGAAACTCCCCATATTGCCCCGCAGTCATCACCTATGGCGACGGCAAACAGCAATGCGGAACAGGCCTTTGCGCCGGTCCTGAGCGCCGTCAACTCTATGCGTGATGGGACGCGGGAACAGAAGAAGGAGGCTTACGAGTTCCTCGAAAAGTTTCAGAAATCGGTTCGTTTCTCGGCGATGTTCACGCCGCACTGCCCCGCCATGGCTCCAGCTAACAACCCTACGTAGGTCGAGGCCTGGACGATCGCGATAGGAATCCTTCAATCGGATGCAACTCCTGAGGCGAAAGTCTTTGCGGCTACGACCTTGAAGGGAAAGGTATGCCTCGAATAAATATCGAACTGAGGGTTGGTCCTGACATCATAGATAACTTACGACGTCTCACAAATACCCCGCGCTGCGCTCCCCGACCTTCGAACACAGCTGCTGGCATTCCTAAAGCAGTATGCGCCGGGTCCCCGGCCGATCCGAACACAGCTATGCGTTTGCCTGGCCATTCTCGCCATACAAATGACTGAGTGGAAGGATGTTGTTGCGATGGTGGTGTCGACGCTTGGAACCGACGCGGCAAGCCATGCGTGCATGCTCGAATTTCTCAGAGTCTTGCCGGAGGAAGTTACCGAAGGACGGAAAATCACCTTGTCTGTATGTGGAACGAAATCAACTAGCCTGATGGCGTCTGCGCCGACACTACATTTGCAGGACAATACCAGAGTTAGAGTCTAACGCATCAACTAGGAAGAAGAACTCAGCCAGAGAACGCAGGAACTATTGGGAAACAACGCGACCGTGGTTTTACAGCTGCTCATCGACTATTCGCAGTCCTCAGGTAAGGCTCACTCGATATTTGTCTTGTCCCCAAGCTGACTGCTGATATGTAGCTGAGGCATCTACTAACCCACATCTCCTCGAGTGTATCAGCTCCTGGTTACGAGAGATTCCAGTCACAGATGTGGTAAATTCTCCCCTCCTGAACAGCATATTTGGCGCATTGGGCACGGAAGATTCGTTTGACTCCGCCGTTGAATGTCTTTGCACCATTTTCAAGGAAACAAGCGACGTAGACGAGTATATGCAGGCCATTGAAGTGCTATTGCCCAAGGTTATCCTACTGAGGCCTCGCATTGCTGCTGCTGCAGAAGCCGAGGATGCTGAGGTATTTAAGGGAATCACACGCCTCTTTGCAGAGGCTGGAGAAGCTTGGTGTCTTCTGATAGCCAGGCAGCCAGAGCACTTCCGTATCCTCGTGGAGTCAATCCTTGAATGCGCCGCAAGAGACACAGAAAAGGACGCCATCGGCCTTACGTTTAGGTTCTGGTATGAGCTAAAGCAATATCTTGTCCTGGAGAAATATATTCAAGCTCGCATGCAATGCGTGGACGTCTACTCGAAGTTGGTTGATATACTGATCAAGCAACTGGAGTTCCCTACCCCTGACGACCCAAATTCTCTCGACCTCTTTGATGGTGACCGTGAGCAAGAGGAGAAATTCCGCGAGTTCCGTCACGTTATGGGGGACTGCCTGAAGGACTGCTGTGAGGTGATGGGAGTCACTGAGTGCCTGACAAAGGTACTTGAGTGCCTGAAGCTCTGGATGACGAATTATGGAAGCTTGGCTACCCCAGATTCCGTTCCCCACTGGCAAGCACTTGAGGCTCCGTTATTCTCTATGCGTGCGATGGGCAGGATGGTTAACAAGGAGGAAAACATCATCTTACCTCAGATCATGCCAATACTGGTGCAGATTCCAGCTCACGAGAAGCTCCGTTTCGCAGCTATCATGGTCCTCGGAAGGTATACTGAGTGGACATCCAACCACCCGGAATTCCTTGAGCCACAGTTCCAATACATCGTCAAGTCATTCGATGCGGATTCGAAGGAGATCATTCGGGCTGCTGCGATGGCTATGAAGTTCATCTGCACTGACTGCAAGCATCTGCTGAGTGGACAAGTTGTCGAGTTGCAGAAGTTTTATAACTACACCCTAGACGCCTTGCCTCAAATCAGTCAAGAAGAGCTAACGGAGGGTGTTGCGTCGGTCGTGGCTGTCCAGCCACCAAATGATATATATGGGCTCCTGGAGTTATACTGCGACCCTCTTGTTGAGCGGATTATGCGAAACGCCAACGCAGCTAAAGATGAGGATGGCGAGCTTGCTGTTGCCGGTATGAACCGTAACCTATGTTCTTTATTACAATCACTAATATTATTTAGATGCCGTACAACTCCTTAACCCATTCATTCAATGGGTTGTTCCTCGAGTTGATCATGGCCAGCCGGATCCCGCAGTTCAGTATTGCCAAAAGATATTCCCATTGCTGGCACAGATAGTCCAGACATTCATCAAGAGCGCGCCTATATGCGAACGTGTCTGCCGCTGCTGGCGCAACATGTTCATCTCCTACCGCACCGCGATGGAGCCGCTTCTCCCAGTTATGGCAGATAAGCTGGCCCTTGGCTTCTCGGAATCAAAGCAGGGCTGCTTCCTGTGGACTACAGCCGCCATCCTTCGTGAATTCGCCGAGGATAGGGAGCACGTCAGCCCGTCGACTACCGACGCTATCTACACCTTCTTTGAGGCACAATCACGCACCACTCTGCGTATGATGTCTAGCCTCGAGCCTCACGACCTCCCGGATATCATCGAGGACTTCTTCCGCCTGCTCACCGACACCGTCCTCTACTACCCCTATCGTCTCATCCCATCGGAGCTATTTACCCCTATCCTGCAAGCAGCCCTCAGCGCTCTGGCACTAGAGCAGCGCGAGCCCCTTACTGCGACACTGCACTACTTGCGCGATGTGATCGCCTTCGGTGGCCCCAACCCACCTGTCTCGACCGGTCAGCTTAACCCTCCAGAAGTGCAGGCCGCCATGCAAAACATCCTTGCGGCGCACGGCGAGGAACTCGTGAAGCGGGTGATGGCGGGAATGATGATTATATTCCCACGCGACTGTTTCGCTGATGGTAGCGGCGTACTACTGGAGCTTATTGAGCTGATGCCCGAGGCAGCAGTGGGTTGGGTGGCGGTAACTGTGAGGATGCTTCCGGAGGGGACAGTAAGCCCGGAGGAGTCGAAGAGACTGATTGATGGTATTGGAGCGAAGCTTAACGGGGGGCCCGAGGCATTAAGGGGTGTTAGGAGCCTGTTGCAGGACTTCACAAACGCCTATCGCAGGAGATATGTCGCTCCGCGCGATGGACTGGGGAGGTTGGAGGCGACGAGATTTAGGTTCAGCGAATAAATGGGAATGGGGAGGGAAATTGCGAGATGAAAGGCGGGAGGTGAAATGCAACAAGACGAAGGAAGATGGATTGTATGCCGGGAGGTATAGCTGGGTTGCTGTGTGGAAGGCTGCTCTGTGAATCTCTACTTTTTTTGCATCGGGCATAATAGCGTTTTTGGTCGGCATTGAGGGAGAAAGACTCCCTTTGATGGGTAGAGTGGATGTTAAATCCGTATGTGGGAGTGGGAGGGGGTGGTGAGGTTGGTAGATATACGGAGGGATAGGATGGATAGGGAGATGTGATGAAAGGTGGTGGCTAGATGGGGGGATGAGGCTGATGATGTGGAGGCGAGTGGCTTCATCGTGAGATTGGCCTACCATGACGGGTCAGTTAGCTTTCGGAATGAAGAAATCTAACACACCTGTCTATCTAGCCATTGCGAAGAGATAGGAGGGTATGAAGTAATTGCTTAGCTGAGCTGAGTTGGATTCCCAGGATACGCTAAGATGAAGAAAGACAAGCATTGGGAGGACATTTTCTCACAACCATCACTATTTGTTCATAGGAAGCCATCATAAAAACTGCGGAGATATTTACACACTATTGAAGAAATTTCCATAAATCGCGATGATATTTTGAAAATTCATTTTCTCCTAAATGAGACGCTTTGTTTCCCATCGTATGATTCCCATACATGGTCTACTTCCCACCCCCAAGCCCCGACGCTAGTCCATATACAGTCTAAATAATACAACCTCGCGGAGGAACCTCCGGTGCTCAGACGAAGGGGTATTCTCATCGATTTTTGACTGCGACCGTGTAGGTGTCATGAGGTGATTGTCATCTATAGCCTATGGCACTGTTCTAATATGATCGTTGGCTGAAACGGTGGCGTCTCGTACCTGCATGTTGAGATGGGCTGATACCTCTCCAGGTTGGGTATGAGAGGACCTGGGCAAGCAAGAGCAGATCCATCGACAGACCTCCGTAAACCTGTTCTATGTACATGAGATGGAGACGACTGAACGGTGATGATCAAATGATGCATCACTAACAGCCGCGTTTTTTAAATGGAGCATAGGTTGGCCTGTGTCGCCACAATCTATCATAGTCAAGTCAAAACGCCACCGACCGAAACAGGACAAAGCAAGCACTATGGTACGAGGTGAAGACCCTACCAACAGATGGGTATGCTGCGGATGACAACTAGATAGATTGTTAACCGTGTGAGCCACTCTGGAAAGGTTGAGCAAAGTCTTTCTAGTTCAACGGTCGGATGACGACGATGACGACAATGTCCAACGACGGCGATAAACGACGATGATGGGTAAAGACGACGATGTGCAACGGCGATGAACAGCGATGAGATGAACAGCAATGATGAACAGCGATGAGATGAACAGCGATGAGATGAACAGCGATGAGATGAACAGCGATGAGATGAACACCGATCAGATGAACAGTGATGAGATGAACACCGGCGACGATCAACGAAGACGACGTTGAACAACGGGCACGCTGATCGAAGTCGACGATCAACAACGGCAAGTACGAACACTAACGACGATGAGCACCGACGATGAGCACCGACGATGAGCACCAACGATGAGCACCGATGATGAACACGACGATGAACGCCGACGATGAACACTGGCAGTGAACACTGATGATGAGCACTGACACTGACAATGACCATGGACACTGACGATGATGAACAACTACGGCGATGAACGGCAGCGACGATGCACACCGACGAGGATGAACAAGGCCGAGGACTGACACGAGCAAGGATGAACACCAATGAGAATGAGCACCGACGGCAATGAACAAGGACGATGATAAACATCGACCAGGGTGAGCACCGGCGACGATGATTACCAACGACGATGATTACTAACAACGACGGCGAAGAGGCAGGTATTGTGATGGCGTTGGGGGAAGCGAGGTTAAGAATCTATCATATCCAAACGCGCTATCTGACATCTATTCCAAGCCCACTGAGCTCCAGTTTATTGAGCTACTCATCGTCGAAACGCAAGAAACAATCCCCATGACCTCGACAAGATGAATTTCTGGCGACAACACAAGATGACGGCTATACAAGTTAGAGATATATGAAGAGTATAAGTTGCACTTGAGGCGTCTTCCATTCGAGCAACTGTTGTCGATTTATACTTTACCCAAACCTCGATGAAACTCCAGAAAAACCACGCATAAACGACGTTAAGGCCCTCTTAACCTAGACGCCTTCAAACCGCCTATTCTTCAATTCGTGTTCAGCAAATTCCTAATCTGCATCAAATATGGGATACCCCTATCCGACTCGGTCTGCAGCTGCTGCCCTGGTGGCGGCAGTCTAAACCCAAATTCTGGGCTTTGAGCATACCACTCCTCCGCGAAGTTACTATCAAAGTTCTCACGCACACCACGTAATGGTTGGTGATAACTGGGGCGGGTGCAGACGTCAATGAAATCATTGTACGAATGCGCCGTACGCACATTTCCCTGCGACGTTAGGAGATAGTCAAGACTCGGCGGTAGTTTCAGCGAGTAGGCGGCGGCCGACCGCCTGAGTAGCTCCTGCAGCGCCCCAGCGGCTGGGAATCCAATATTTGACTCATGGAGGACCTCAATACCAATCGTTACAGCCTCAGATCCATCTTTAATGGATGGATCGTTGTTGGGCTTTGCTGGGAAGAAGCGGGCGATGAGGTGGCATATATTTAAGACGACGAACATTTGGAGGGCCGGCTGATAACGGCACGTGTAATGCAAACGGTAATGGCGCTCGAGGAGGAGGAGAGCATGTTGTGCGTGGGACCACACGACTTCATCGACGAGCCTGGAGGGAAAGCCTTCCAACTCGAGTAGCGGGCACAAGAGTTGGACAATAGAGTAATCATAAAGGATTCTTCAAATTTTAGTACGGGCTGATCCTTACTAGGGGTTGATTGGTTCTTACAACAATGACAAGACGTGTGGGAGAGCCTGTGTGCTGTTCTCGGCGTCCCCAAGGACAGGCGGCAGCGCCATTCTCCAGGCAACAAATTTACTATATTGCTCCAAAACATGGCGAGCCGTTATGGTATTGGATAGCGGGCTCCATATCATCATGCTGACATCGTTTATGATGCTAATAAGCTTTATCTTCTCTCGATTAGTCGTGGCAAGGAGACTCGGCCAAGCTGGGCACCGGTCTTCTTCGTATCGGTAGAAATGCCACGGCAACTTATCATGGGAAGCTTCCTCATCGTGAGTATTTTCAACATCACGAAACGCTAAGATTGAGGGAAATTGAAAGGTCACTTGTGCCCATTCACTGATCGGATTAGCAGGGTTATTCAAGGAAAAAAAAAAGGCACTAACACGTTTAGACAGCGTATGCCTTGGATGGTCTTCTTGAGTACATATGGCAGCTCATCATTGGAGCTAGCTGAGAGCTCAGCAATGCTTTCGGTGGCAAGCCTGAGATATGACGATGCGCGCAGTCCGAACCCCCTGCCAAGCTCCACCAAGAACATAACCGCTGCGGCTTGTATAGTTGTGATCGACTTATCGTCAGGCTCGAAACCAGCAAGGAATGCATCAGCAAAGTGCACACCGAGCTGGTCAGAGTCTAACTCGCTGTCTTTGGATTGGGTGTGATAACGGCACGCCAGGACGCACATGGCGTTGACGAGCGGAGATGAACAGTGCCTCTGGCTCTGTCCCTTGAACTTGTACGAGTCGACAAAGTGGCCTTCGCTGAAGAGTGTTGATACGGGATGCACCCAGGCGAAGTATAGTTGGAAGAGATGGTCGAACGTGGCCGAGTCGTGGGACACTGTCGTCCACGAAAACCCCGACCCGATTTGGGAGCCAAGTTCATATTCTGAGCCTGTAACGACGGATGAGGGGGATCCAATGGGCGAAACCCCTTCCTGTTCGTCTATCCCCGTGCGACCCAGGCTTTCGGCGATGCTCTCGATGCTCTCGCCATTGCTTAGAGCGCGAAGGATGTTGGGCGCCTTTTCTCTGGACTGCAGCGTCCTAAAGATGCGTTCGCTCAGCCGATTCTTAGTGCGAAGCTCGCGGATCTGTTTCATCAACTCCTCCTTAGCGCGCTTGATATGAACCTCGTAGACGCAAGGTGACGTCTCTGCTCGCGTCGTGCAGCGCGAACAAGGTGTATTCCCATCGCACTACGCACAAGACGTTAGCTTCGGGGACATAACCGAAGTTGAAGTCGAAAGTTGGACTCAGGGCGGGTGGCAAGCAATGGAATGGGTGGCGGAGGTTATACCTTTGCTCTGGCCTTCTTGCAGTTTACACAGGCGTTCCGTGTGATGGATACAGGCACTCGTCGTCGCCTGGAGATCAAGGGACCCGGATCTCGCCCCTTATCGGTTTGGCGCTTAAGGCGACGGTCGGGGCTTGTGGATTCGGGTGTCGACTGGCTGGGGTTACTGGCGGAAGCACTACTGCTATCCGCCACTGACGGCCTGATAGTTCGGAGGGCGACTTTCTCCAAATCTCTGGGCGGCATTGCCTAGATGAGAAGGGGCGCCTCGGATATAGCTATACAGGCGGCAACGTTTACTGCGAGCGGATCGTGGCCGGTAAGAGAGAGAGGATCGCGTCTCGTCGTTGACCGAGGGCTTCATTGCTCAGACGGGCGAGTGTTATAGAAGGGTCTGGGCGTGGCGGATGATATATGTGAGATGCACGACGTTTTAAAAAGGAGACAGCTCAGTACAAGGGTAGGTTATAGCACAACTCTTAATTCTTGCTTCCTCTTTTCAGGGAAATCGAAGCTTCGGTTGAGCTCAAGGGAAGAATAAGGCATCACATCGTCGATTTCCGGCACGGGATTAACATTGCGGCGCACTCTCGGGGAGTCATGACGCACTGTGGGATGTCCCCATTGGTCGCCTCCCATTTATTAGCCACATCTTACTACTACTGATGAAACCTGGCTGGTGTGTTAGGCGCGTATACGAGGCTGGTGAGTGAAGCTCTAGAGTATTTGTCTTGGAATAGTTACGGACGCTGATTGGAGCAACGGACATAAACCGGGCCCTAACGACATCATCGTCGTACGACTTATGGGAACAGTACGAGTCTGTTACCAATTAGTACCCGAGCCATCCTACACATACGAGTGTACTGTGGTACTAACAGTTACCACTATGAACTTGCACACTAACTTACTGTTAAATACTCCGCACATACTCCACTCCACACACGTCCTCACGGCCGTACTTGATGCCAGCCAGAATGACAGGGCTATCGCAGATTCAAGGACACGATCTTCACTGCACGACCAATGTAAAAGCTACACGTTCTTATCTGGGTAATGGTGGTAACCTCTGAGGGCCATACGCTCGAGGGATATAAAGAACTATCTGATCCCGCTAGATCATTCTGTTGGGATTGGGATATATGTGAAATACCATCATTCATGCAGCCGTTCCCTGTGTCAATCCATATATCTACACACTATACCCGGCCTGCTCCAAACAACCCCGCACTCGCCACTTACCTATCTCCATGGCCATCTACCGCCATCTGCCGCCATTTATCGGTATCGTCCGCCATCTACCGCCATCTGCCGCCATTTATCGGCATCGTCCGCCATCTACCCGCCATCTGCCGCCATTTATCGGTATCATCCGCCATCTAGCGCCATCTGCCGCCATATCGGTATCGTCCGCCACCATCCACCACCTACCGCCAATCTATCCCTCAAGTCGAGAGTCCTCTCTTCTCGCTCTCGGAGAAGAAGATGATCATTCTCCATAGTTTCTTCACTAGGACCTCAGCTTCCTCATCGAGGGCCTGGTACACCGTGGTAGTCAGTATGTGCTCCACAGAACAGGGTTTAGGTGGTTGGTAGGGAGAGGTGGGAGTCGACGCAAAGCCGAATACATGGTAAGGTTACAAATAGAGGCGTAAACACAAAACAAATAAGTAAGCTCACCCCTTCAAGCGCCTCGACCAAGCCCGCCGCGCCACCACGTCTCCGCACGTGCTCTTCCACAACTTCCACTATCGTCTGTTCTTGAACCCCGAGGTACTCAACGATCTTACGCTCCACAAATGGTTGCAGCTTCTCCTTGATAGTGCTCTCGTCCATAAACTCCCACTGTACCGTCCAATCCCACAGTCCCTGTCGGTCCGTAGGAATCTCAGCTGCCAAATCCTTGACAGCCTGCTCGCGCTCCTCATCACTAAGGCCAGCGCCTCGGTCAGCTAATGCGTCGTATTTAATCGGGATAAGCTGGCGGCGCTGGGTTTGCGTGGCGTCCTCCTCGTCTTCCAGCAGGCCTTCCACATCTGCAACAGTACGCCGGGTCGTAGTTGCCTTCTGGGCCTTCTGCGCCGCCGCTCCGAGACTCAATTTGAATGGCTGCTGTGCCACTCTAGCCGGCTCGCGCGCTCCTAGCTCCTCAGCCTGTCTGTCCAGGAAGTTATCCGCCAAACCTCTAGCGGTCTCCTTCTCGCTCCTCTCCCTCGCGCTCTCCATGTCCTCATCCGCACGGTCAGCAGCATCCGCCGCCGCCTCCCTAGCCCTAAATGCCGCGCGGTTACGGTTCCACATGCTGCGGTCTGCGTAGTATTCCTCGATTCTCTTGTTGCCTTGCTCGTCGTCGTTCCAATCCCGTAGTCTCTGCGCCATCTTCTCCTTGGCCGCAGTTGCCTTTGCATCATCCCCTTCGTCGCGCTCCTTCTCGCGCTCCACGGCCGCTGTTCGTGATCGCTCACGGTTAAGCCATCTTCGTTCTTGGTCAAGATACTGTTTCTCGAGTTCTGCTGCTCGCTTGGAGGCGCGGCGTTGTTCGAGCTCGGAGTCTGACGCGGAATCGTCATCATCTTCCCGATTAATCCAGACATTTCCCGATGCGGCGCCGTTGGTACCACTACCGTTGACGAAAGAAACACCCTTTTGGTAGTCGCGTGGGATGTTGGAGCCCTTCGGGCCGGAAGGCGCGTTGATGCTCCTGTCTCGCGGACCGAGAGGGATGTTGTTTGCGTCACCTCCAAGTCTGCTAGGTGCTGGGCCCGGTGATGCAAGGCGTGATGGCCGAGACGCAGCGCCGTTGCGAGCGCGCTCAGCTGCTTCCATCTCCTCTTCGCGCTTGAGACGCTCGATGTCCCTGCGGTTGCTACGGTCTCGGAAGGCTGTGATTTCTTTGGCGACGGTTTCACGCATCTCGGCTGGGATGTCGGCGAGCTCATCATCGATGGCGAGGGGGATGTTGACAACTTCTACAGCGTCGCCGGAGTCTTCGTTGTCGTGCATTTTTACATCGCCGTTGGAGTCGTTGGCTTCGACGCGCGCGGTGGGGTTGAATAGGTAGTCTACCGCAGATTTGAGCGCGGCGCGAGCATTGTCAAGACGAGACTGCTCGGCAGCTGGGTCATCGCCTCGGGAGGAGTGCCAGTTCTCGAGATAGTTCAGAGAGTTGTCGTCCACGAATACGAGAAGCTTCTTCTTTGCCGGCTCGTCTTTATCGTCTCCGTCTCCCTTCTTGGCCTTGGAATCTGGTGTTTGCTTCTTGAGTGGGATTTCAATGTCCTTTAGAACTTCGACCGCAGTAGACAAGCTCTCGGCATCCTCGTATTGCGCAAACCCAAATGAACATTCCTTTCCATCTGAATCAATGGCCCTGTCCCAGCGTCGTAGTCGCCCAGCAGAGCTCAGTATACGCTCGATCCCTTCGTTGCCCCCAGCCCCTTCCGTAATGCCTGCCACGAAAATAGTTCGAACAATCTCCTCCTTCGTTGGAGGCGCAAGCGCCATCATGCTGTCTCTGAGCGCCTGACGCTGCTGATGCGGGTCCATACCCCTGTCCGCACCCAATCCCGGTCTGCCACCACCTGCAGACTCACTCCGCCCATCCCTTCCTCCGGGGCCTCCACTGACTGGTGTAGATGGTTTGGCCGGGCCAGTTCCAAGGCGTATAACGGGAGCGGAGAAGTTGATATTCGGCATGACCGTTGGGCCCTGGAAGCTCGCTGGTAATCCGCTTGGTCGGCCGCTTTGCACGGCATTGGCTTGGTTCATTCCTGGAGGTGCGGTGCCGGGCGCAGACATGCCTGGGGCGCCACCTGTTTGGGGTTAGTTTTTGAGGTTCAGTTGGGGCACGCGAGCAACCTACCCATACTGGGAGGAGGTCCCATACCTGGGGGGGCTCCAGCTGCGCCCGGGAAGGCGCCAAAGCTTGGTGGGCGGCCAAAGGGAGGCTCTGGGAATAGGTTAGTTGTGAATATAAAGTGCGCAGGCTGGCGTTGAGGGCCAGGCCAATGGAGGGTAACTTACGCCCATAAGGATTGTACGCCATGAGGCTGTGAACTTGGGTTTGCTACTTTGGTAAGATGTTGTAGATTATTCAAAGGCAAATAAAGAAGCGCCCAGTTAAGTTCAGGTGAGATTGGTTGGTCTCTATATTCGTTGGAGAATATCGCGAGTCGTTGTCGCAAGTTGAGGCTGCCAAAAATCGCGGTTTGGCCAGGTCCCGCACGAGCCACACCACGGATTAACTTTAGCGCGGCTCGGGATCTCAAGATTCAAAAAGTTCGTTGACCTCAAATCACCACCCGCAGTCAAAGGGCTTCCACTCCGTGCGATTGGAAATGCTCAATTCGTATGTCTCAATTGTATTATATAGTGTGAGAGGGTACTGACTTTATGCTAGACCTATGATGGAGCTCCGGAAAGCCGCGGACGCTTTACTGCGCTCCCAAGCGTCTCCGTTGGCGCAGATTCTCGCACCCTCGACATCGACAAGATGGGCGACGTCTTCCATGAGACTCTCACAGCGGGCCTTCTCATCCTCTACTAGACGATACATCGCAGACTCGAACCAAACAAACCCAACCTTAGCGCCTACCAATGCCAACCGTGGCACCCAGAACTCTCCTGACTCCCAGGCCAGCTCCCAGGGCTGGGCCGCCGGTGGACGCAGCAACCGCTCCTCTTCGCGCATCCTCCCCTCGAAATCGTCCGAAAGCGCCGACGCCGATGCATGGGATAGCGGTATTAGCAGCAACAGCGCTGCTCAGGATCTCCTGACAGGCTTCAACGCTGGCCGCAAAGAGCGCGGAGCCAACTCCCCACTCAACAACAGGAAGTCGATAAACCTGGACCGCATGCTGTCCCCTAACGTTAGCGACAGCGATCTTAAGGATGTGATTAGCAACCTGACTGCGTCCGTCACCGCTCCTGTGCCACCGAAGCCCGCGTTGCGGCTGAATGCGAGGACCGGCAGGTCGGTTGTTGTGGCTGGAGGTGTTGATATTGGACGGAGCTTTAATTTGTTGGGGATGAGCTGTTCTAGGAATAGGGTCAGGCAGGACTTCAACCGCCAGAGGTTCCACGAGAGAGGCGGCCTGAAGAGGAAGAGACTAAAGAGAGAGAGGTGGCAGAAGAGGTTCATGGCTGGGTTCAGGGCAACTGTTTCGAGAGTTAAGGAGATGAAGAGGCAGGGCTGGTAGATCCTGTATTTGTATATTATGGAACATGTATTGTAAGTGTGATTTTATGGTTGGCCTACGACAAGGAGTGTCTTGATGTGAAGTTTAAATATCGATAAGTTTTGTATGGTCATCTCGGCCTTGTATAACTACACACTGTCTTACACCTTCCTACTACTACCTGTTTTTGACTCGTCTTTGACCTCTACATATGACATTGAAGATATATAAATGCTCGCGGGTATTTAGACGCTCTGGCCGCGCCTAATCGCGCGTAGGACACTGTCGTCATTTTTGATCGAACCTGTTTTGGTGGACCCTGGGCGGTATAGTTGGCAGATCGCGGAACATTATCCACAGCCTCGCACCCTGGCCAGGAAGTTATACCGTAATCATCCTTACGATTGTACTCTTTAAGGACATAAATTGGCAATGGCTTCTAGCATTGCCCCAGCTCCGGTAATCCCAGGCCGCATAACAGCAGAAGCACTATCCAAGATCTTGTTGGAGCCATCTGAGACCAACAAGGTTGCAGTTATCGATGTGAGGGGTGAAGGTGTGTGCCCATATTCCAGCGACGCCATCTTATCATACGCACTTTTTGGTATTTATGAAGGCAAATATTACAGATCTAACTTTATTTCATAGATCACATCGGCGGTCACATCCTCTCCTCCATCCATGTGCCCTCCAACACCCTCGACCACGCCATTCCCGCCTTAATCCGCAAGCTCGCCGATAAAGAGATAGTCATCTTTCACTGCGCATTAAGCCAGGTTCGAGGCCCAAAAGCAGCGGCTCAGTATATGCGCGAGCAACAGCGCTTGTTGGGACCACAGGGCGCTGGGAGGGGAGATGTTGGGAAGAAGTTGGCGAAGAGCAAGGTCCATAGTGAGGGAACGGAAGGCGAAGCTTCGGATTCTAAGGATGGCGAATGGGTTGATGAAGGGACGGCGGATGAGAAAGACGAAAAGTCAAAACTGAAAGAGCAGAAGGTTTATGTTCTGGATAAGGGGTTCGAGGGATGGCAGGAGATTTACGGAAGGGACAAGAGGTTAACTGAGAATTGGTCTGAGGAGTTATGGCATCCGTGGTAGAATATATTAAGTGGCAAAGGATTCTCTTGCCTTTGCTACAACTTTGAGTAACCAAGAGCATTATTTTACTTACAGTTACTGTAAATATTGGCATATGTGCAGTCACTCACGAGTAGGTTTGGCAGGTTGAATATGGTGGTCCACTAAAGGACAACGACCCTCAAACTATAGGTTTTTGGTTCCCGCCGGCAGCTGACAAACTCGACGTCAACGTCGGACGATGCTATATCATTCGATCATTTATGTTTACATCATTTTGCAGGCTCAAGTGCAGTAAAAACGCTATCATTCATCATGTCCTCAGTAGAAACCCTTTTTAGAGTATGGACAAATATAGGGGTCGCCTCCTCTCACCGTTTACAAACTCTCTTATTCTCAAATCCATGAGACGCTACCTGAACATACTATTATTCCAGGTCCAGGTTTCGTCCAAATCGACATGTACATAGACCCGTACGTTCTCGCCCTTAAAACCGAATCGGATGATCCCAGCAACCTTGGATCAATTCTATACAGTCGCACCGACGATGAAGGCTCACTCTCACATACAATTATACGGCCCCTCGAGTCCTCTCACCCCCTAATTCCAACTGATACCTCCGTCGCCGCCGAGACTACCTCAACCACCGCAGCCTTGGAACCCCGCAAGCAACCATCCCTCATCTCCTCGCACATCGGCATCTTCCTATCCTCCATCATCGGCATCTGCGCCTGTCTAATCTTCTTCTACTGGCTCCACGGCTACTTCAAAGTCGGCGGCCCAGTCCGACCCCGAGCACCGACTCGTTCTAACTCTCCAGGAATCCCGAATAGACTCCTTCGGTATTTTTCACAGGCGAAAGCAGAAGGGAGCCGGATATTGAGTGCCAAGAGAGCACAGAAAGCAAAGGAGAGACAAGGGCCGTGCAGCTGCCATTGACAGGACTGCGAGAATGCGTATCCGTGCGCGATGCTGGTCCCGCAATAGAGCTATGCAACTATGGTGCATCGGGTGGCATGGCAGGACTCAATATGCCCCTGCCTGTGCTGGGGGGCGCACATATTCGCGGGCCTTCGTATAACTGGGACCCCTCGATGCCTCGCCGATACTCCAACGCCATGTTCTACACATCGCACCCGGACCCCAGCTTGCGAGGGATCGGAACTACCGAACCAGGCATTTTCTCAGGGTTGACGATACCGACAAGGTCGTTTATGAGGTGCGGGAGGCGCTGGATGGGAGGTAGGCCTGATGAGGAGACTTACTTCATGGATCGGGCTAGAGGTTATCCCACCCCGCTTGAGGCGGGTTTGTTTGCTGATGAGGGGTTGCGGACACCACCGCCGAGATATGAGGAGATGTATATAAATGGTTCGAGACGTGCTTTTTAGATTTTTGGGTGGGTCGTGGCTATCTAAGGGCTGCGAAATCGAAATCGGTGCTTGACTTGACCTGAGAAATGTTTGATCTATTGTCATTCTTAAATTATTTAAATATGAGAATGCGAAAAGGTTGCAAATAGCCACATTGATAAATACCTCCTGGATAACAACAACAGACATTTATCTCATCAGATGAAATAAGGCACAATCGACGGTCACTTCGTTTGAATTCATGGTATGATAACAAAAAGCAACCAGGCGCGGAAAACAAAAGCTTTCCAGAACAACACCTGGAGATACGCCCAACATTGGCAGCCATAGCTACATTTCGTGCCATGCCCACAGTGACCGATCCAAAATCAATACAAACAGAAACCTGAGCGGGCCTCCCATCAATATGTCTTCGGCAGAGCCTCAGCATAAAACCTCCGTATTCAACTCAACTTATCTCGTCTCCCACTCTTCTTCACGACGTCCCCTCACGACTCTTGCGGTAGCTGGCCTAGAGATCCTCATCAGCAGAGTTTAAGCACTGTATTGCGCGGCTCTATTCACCTCCTGGTCAACCTGAAGGTTGTCCACAACCGGGGCGAGTTCGCTCAGGATCTCGTATGCCTTCTTGTGGAACTCCAACTGCGCCGCGATCAAGTCTGCAAGGTTGCGGAGTGGCTCTGGGGTGTCGAGAACCTACGTAGCAAGTTAGTATTTAGAATTGCGCACAAAGGAGCTGATACTCACATTCTTCATGACACCAACAGCCTCCTCGGTCTGGCCAACGAACTCGTCCTCAGCCTGCTCAATCTCAACCTTGGCATCCTCCGAGATCTCGGCCTCCTCGTGGTGCTGCTGATCCGCCTTGCTAGGGAGCTTGAACAGGCCACCCTTAGCCCTCGTCTTCGCCGCATCAAGCAGCAATCTCGAGTTCTCGACGCTCCTGCGCGCCCTCGTAGAGAACATCAAGTTTGTGTTGAGGGTAGTGTTCCATCCCGCCAAGAAGCGAGCCTGGATCTGTGCATCCTGCGAGAGCCTGGCCTCGCCAACCTGCTCGCTGGCAAGGGCATACTTCTCGAGTGCCGTTGCGAGAGGGTCCTCGCCGGCGCCGGAGTGCTGTTGTTGGAGGAGCTGGCTGCTGGCCAGGGAGGCGCGGGCAACGGCGTGGGCGAAGGTCTTGGGCTGGGGCTTGGTGACGGGGGGTGCGGTGAGGGCGGCCTGGGCTTCGGCGGCGGTGGTGGCGGTGGAGAGGAGTTGGATCTTCTCGCTGACGCTGCGGCCGAGATCGCTGATGTTTTCGCGGATGTTGTTGTAGTCGTAGCTCTCGTTGGAGTATTGTGTTCTAAAGCGCCTTGATTAGTTTTTGTATGACGGTTTTGGCCAATCCATGGGCTACATACGTGACTTGGAGCATCTTCTGGTGAACCTGCTTCAAGGCATCGACCCGCTTCTCAAGCTCAATGTAATCCGGGGGAAGCTGGGTCTACCCGCTGTCAGTAGATGCGCCTGGAACTCTCTTTCCTTCCATATAGGGCAAAGGAAATAACACACCCTATCCTCAGCTTGTCCAAGCTGCTCCTTCACATACTGGGTCGTGCGAGTCGCAAAGGGCGTGAATGACGAGCTTCGGGTCATGTCAGCAAATCCCTTCGGGTTTCATAGGCAGCAATAGCCCGGTATGGATCAGAGTTGTCTTACCCGATGCTCTTTCCGAAAGCTGACACCTTATCCATGATTGCTAGCTGCACAAAGAGGTATACTGATGACAATGAATGATGGATTATAGATTTGAAGACGCTACGTTTGCGTTGTTTACTTGTAATCTCGTTGCTTGGAGGTATCTTGGGGAGCTTCGACCATTTCGCTAATTTGGATTGCTGCACAGCACGTGGGTGTCGACAGGTAAGATCACGTGTCATTACTTTATATAGCACCACTCAGGGACGGTTAAAGGGATTTATTCACTTGTGAGATACCCTGAATAACATCTATTCATGCGATGAGACACTTCATAGCTGGATTAAAAAACTAGGGTTTCTATGATAAAAGCCGACCCATCCCACCAGAGCTCATCCCATGAAAGACGTCTCCAGGGTATCTGCATATTCACACTGAGACTCCTTGCGCACAAATTCTGAAATCCAATGCGACAAAACGCCCCTCCAAAAGCGCACCAAGCACACTAAAAACAGAGACGCTCCCCTTTCCATGCATACAGTTTGAACCAGAGATTGCGACGGGTAGTTCCTATGGCGCAAATATGCCGGCGCGGCTTGTTACGCTCCACTCAAAATGTATCGCCTGGATATAGCTGATCGGTGTGGGGTCTAAAGTAAGAAACAAAGTGTTTGCCGTTGGTAGTGTTGGGAATAGCTATGCCGTACAGTTGCTGAGCCATATATATTCGTCCTCACCAGTCGCTCTCCATCCAAGGGTATCATACGCATCGTTCATATCGTTGTGTTCAACCAAATTCCCTCGCCACTGTTCACCGCCATCGCCCTTTGGACGGCGACGAAACCGGCTCCTCAAAGCCCTCATCCATATCGGTATCCCCCATTCCAACCTCGTCTACGTCCTTAACCTCAAATGTAGTACCGAGCGCCTCTTTCCCCTCTCGGATCATTGCCTGTAGCTGCGCATTGAGCTTGCTCATACTCTTATCCGCCTCGAGATCTTCCTTGCGCTTCTTGGCCGCCCACTTCTGTGCTTGAATGGCTGCAGGGCTCGCGGCAGCGGCGCTTTGAGAGTTTGACGAAACGGGAACTGGGATCTTTGAGCCGCCAGGCGAGCGTGGGGAAGCGAATGACGCCGGTCCGGAAGAGCGCAGGCCTGGAGAGCCAGCATGAGATACCGCGGAGGCTCTGGTATGCAGCAAAGGACGTCTATGCCCTGGCCTTGTTGACGGCCGACTGGCTGTTGATGCTGCACCGTTTGGTTGCCGGCGGCTTGCACTCGATGATGTGGGCATACTGTATCTACCCGCCGGCTTGGGTGCTGCCGAAGCTGGCTTGCTGGGGACAACAACCCAATTCTTTCCAAGACCAGCATCACTACTACCAACATCGATCTGTCTCCGCTTCGTCGCACGCGCCGGAGTGCCTTCAGGTGTTCCGCGATCCATAGGGTCGATAATACAGATACTCTCATCAGGATATTGCCCCGGGACGGGAGTTGATGAACGGCCGCTTGTATCGTTGAACAGCGTCGTTTTCCTACTTATTTCCGACTCCCAAAACTCGCTGTCATTTTGGTTGTCGGGTTCCGTCTCGATAGTGTGATAGGGGTCGAGTTGATATTGTTGTCCACCACCCGCCGTGAATCCGCTGAATGCCCCAGCCTTGCAGAACTGCCACACTCGGCCGACGACACCCCCAACGACACCCCCAACGACATCAAGCGCTGTTTTGCTCCAGCCTCCACTGGTACTTTGTTGCAGGGATGGCACGCGCGCCTCTCCGTTGGTCTCCATACTCGCAGATGACGGCAGCCGCGCAAAACTGTGGTATTCGGCCTCGAAGTGAGGTTTGGCACGGCCGTCGCTGGGAAGGTTCCTGCGGTAGCCAGTATCCGAGAACTCGCTTTCTTCAAAGTAGTTGGCCGCTGCTGCCGACGGCGTATCCAAACCACCAGCTATTTGATATCGCGTATTGACAAAGGGTAGCGGCGACCCTGGATCCAAGCTCCCTGACATTGCGATAGAGTCGCCGGTTGGATAGCCGTTGGACCAGTCCATGGTCTGAGAGATCGGCGTGGCTTTATTACTCGCTGTTGAATCATGGCGACTTCGTTTCTTGTTCACTATGAGAGGTTCGTGTTTTTCCATCATTATCGAGTTTGCTGGTTGCGCAAGGTGGACCGAAGATGAAGCTGAGCGAGTTCGTGGTGGTTGGAATACATTCGCTCTGCGACCCACCCTCTGTGCATCGTGTGTGTTGAAGGTGGCCGACATCGTGTGCAAATATGGTGTCCCCAGAATCAAAGCATGTAAAGCTCATGCGCAGTGTAGTTGCTTGTCGTCGTCGCTCTCTGTGATGCAGTATTCGGTCGAGTCTAGTCGAAAGGGTATCACGGTGGCAGAACGGGCTGACCGCCTTGCGAGGCGGGGTCTCTGGTGGTCACGATGAAGAATAGGTACAACGGCGGCTGGTACATGTACTTGTGAGATCCAGCATTTTGAAGACAAAGGGGCAGGTTTGCGACGAGGTTTAAAATTGCATGGATTTGAAATTCATCAATATGCAGGGCGATAGGGAAAGTTTGATAGCTTGACCGAGATCCACATAATTGCAGGGGTCTGGTTGCTATAGCAAATGCGCAGAAATGAAGCTCTAGTCTAGTCTAATCGATAAGAATGCATCTGGGAAATCTTATAAACACAACCAAGCTACACTCCAATAGATACAGCGTCTAAAATTTCAAGACCTCTTGGCTAGGCTCTATTCCCCCTCTTTTCCGTAATACTCGTTGAGATTCGCGACGTGCTTCTCACGTTTCTCGGTCTTCTTTTCATCGCCCTCATTCGAGAAATCCGTGTGGACCCCGCCATTTGCCTTCCAGAACTCCGCTCTCTCCTCCATAACAGCATCACTCCATGCCCTGACTTCCGGCATCTTAATCTTCGTTGCGACCCATGTGAACTCTCCCAGATCAAGCTTCCCCTGCTTCGACTTTTCATATTCGAACATCTGTAGGATAAGCTCGATCTTATCCACGTCATGGACAAACTGGCTTTCCAAAGTCACGCTGTCTTCGTACTCTTGCCAGATTGCCTTTATATCTTTGCCGGTCATGCCGCCGTTGACGCGCCCAAGGAGACCATTGACGAAGTAATCCATGGTCGTTGACTCGCGTCTTGATTTTTCTGGCTTCGATACGCCATCCAGTGGGGTTATGTCTCCGACAAGAGCCTCGGCCATGTCATGGATAAGGGCCATCTTCGTGCAGTGGGGGATGTTGAGTTTAGATGATAACGAGGGCGGCGCGAACATGGTAATGAGGGACATGCGGTACATGTGGTCTGCGATCGACTCTCCCCTGAGGGGTTAGCGGGGTAGAAATATTGTAAAGGAGGGATACATACTGGTCAATGCCGAATCGTCTCCACCCCTCTCTCTTCGTAGTTTTTAACCGTTGAAGCATGTGGAAGAATGGTACTGGCGACTCAGATCCGGACTCTGGTGCCCCGCCAATCATTGACGCAGCGATATCTTCAACAGCCCATGGCTTTTCCGAGTCTGAAGAGAGTCAACATGAGGAATAAGGCAATAGCGATTGAGGCAACTTACTTGCGGACATCTCAGTAACTGTTGCGACCTGGGGGTAAATCTCCTCGAGTGGGGTTGATTTCTCTCTCTGAAATCTGCTGCTGGCTGGGATACCAAATATATGCTTCTCAGAGGATCTGCTTCCAGTTTTAAATAGCAGCGAGCCTCTTTTGACAGCAAACCAAGCTCAGGCACACGTGCGGATCGGAAGGCTAAGAATCTCTAGACGACCAAACATTAGTGCGGGCAGCTACTCTCGTCGTAGCGCCAAGCCCAGCTTTGTTTACACTGCCGACATTCTGGCACACACACTCCAGACCGCCCTCACGCAACCCCAGAACCACCAAACGACGTACTCTCCGGCATGCACCAGCCCGGCACTTCCTCACCATGTCGTCGGCAGCGACCGCAATCTCCTCACACACACGCAGCAAGAGCCTGCGGGTCCCTGCCTCAGACTCCTCATTCCTAAAGCGGTCCGTGGGCACGCCGACAAACTTGCAGCAAGCAGCCGGACCTTCGCATGTTAGTCTGTTTTTGACGAATTTGAGACTGCTGGATTTGGATAAAAGACAGGATTGGCCGGGGATTACGCCGGTTACGTTTACGACGAAGGATTCGCAGCAGAATATTAAGAAGAGGATTCAGTGTGTGGAGTGGGCGCTTTTTCGGCTGTTTGAGATTTGGGAGCCGGAGGAGGCGAGGGAGGTGGGTGAATTCGTTGATTGTGAGGGGATATGAACTGACGTGTGCTTCTTGTAGAAACTTCAACCCTTCTTTCCGCCACTCGAACCGCTCCAGTCACTCAACTTGCGCACGGCGCTCTTTCGATGTCTCGACCAGGCGAAAAAGAATGGCACCCTGGGACGGGATGCAGTCCTACGGAAGACCATGCTGGATGAGTGCAAGGGCGAACGATTGGAAGAAGTCCTATCCGTCTTCTCCACAGCCGTCGTGAAGCGCTCGGTTCGCGAGAATCAAGATGGTCCCGAGGCAATCGCTCTCCGCCTCGCTATGGAGAACTTCTCTTACACCGGCGATCGCGCTAGTCTTTCAGCGCTGGTATTGGCGCACAAAGGCAGCCTGCGGAAGAAAATCGAACAGAAAGATCGGGCACGGGAGATCTACAACGATTTCTCGGGACTGCTGGAGTTGAAAGATCGGCAGATAACGAGGCGCAGGGAGCAGTTGAAGGTGGCTATTGAGGAGGATGAGAATACGGAATACATATCGAAGGCGGAGACGTATGAGGTCCAGGAACGGGCACGCAAGAACTGGTACGGAAGTGATGATTGGCTCGAAAGTATATTACAGAGTGACCGGCAGGCGCAGACCGATATACTATTCTCCGAGCCATACGACCAGGTATGGAAATACGTCGAGAAGGGAAGGATTGGGGAGATTGAAGATAGCCAGCGGAAAGGCCTGTTACGGCAATTAGACGCCAGGGTGAAGGAGCAAAAGAACCGCTACGTAACGTGGCAGAATTTCGAAAAGTCTATCAAGGCCAGGCGCTCGGATTCTAGCAAGGAGAATGCTGCGATATCCACCAAGCCGGCTAAGGATCTGAGTATCAGCTTTGGGGCACACGAATCGCTACAGCTGCCGAGAAATCCTCTACAGTCTACGAAAAGCTGGGAGCCGCTCCCTGAACAGGCGGAACTGTTAGCAAATCTTCAAAGGGAACTCGCGGATGTTGGGAAGCTAAAGCACGCCGAGAAATTACCGAGACGCCGGGTTTCCACGCGAGGGGGGGCATCAGAACCGCAGCCGGAGGCAGTTAGTGAACCGCAACCTCTGGATGATGAGAAGGACTGGGAATCCAACACCGACACCGACAAGCAGGAGACTCCCGTTCCTCAGCGTCGACACACGCGGCGCAGGGTAGAGCGGCGGAGAGTCGTAGCGCCACCACCGGAATCGTCAGAGACTGAAGATGTCTCTGACAGCGATGACCAGAAGGTTGAGCAGGAGACACCAGTTCCCCACCACCGTCGGCCTTCGTGCCTTGTGGCTGAGAATCATAGCGATGCGGCACCGCCACCACCACAGGAACCGTTCTCCGAGATCGAAGAAGCTACTGATAGCGACAACCAACAGTTTGAGCAGATGACTCCTATTCCTCGGCATCGCAGTGCAGGACTCCCGCCGCCATCAGAGACGGACGAAGCCACAGACAGCGATAATCAGCCGGTTGAACAGGAAACTCCAGTTCCCCAACGCCAGTCCCGCATCGTACCAATCTACCGCACCGCATCACCACCACCCGAACCATCCTCCCTCTCAGCCACCTCCCCCATCCCCTCCGACCCCCCCTCTCCACCCGCCCCCCGCATCCTCTCAACAATCTCCGATGTGCCACCAGCCTCCCGCCCCTCCCCTCCCATCCCGTCCCCAGACACGACGCACCTCCCCCTTTATACCCCCGCCACCTCCCCCTCCCCCCAAAACCGCGCCACATCCTCTCCCTCGCCGAACGAACACGCATGTCCATGTCTCGCTCCCTCCCGCGCGCTAGCGAGCAGGACTTCGATTCCCCCCCCGACCTCCCCCCGCCGCGGTTGTCACCAAGCATCGCCACAGACCCAGAACTCGATCCCGCAGCAGCGGCAGCAGCAGCAACCGCAAAACGGCACGGAGACCTCCTAGCGCGCACGAGACAATCAATGTCCAACTCCGCCGCCGTCGCTAAATCCGCACAACTGGAACGCCGACGCAGTGTTAAAACTGCTGCGAGGAGGAAGAGGGAGAGTTTTATGCCTGTGAGGCAGAGCTTGGCGCCGTATGATGAGTATGGACTGGAAGGGGTGGATAGGGAGGCGTTGATAGAGGGGGAGGAGGTTGATATGGAGGCTGTGTTTATGAGCCGGCCGAGGGTGAAGACTAGTCCTGCTAGTAGCCCGAGGAAGGCGTGGGGAGAGATGGGGGGGGGGAGAGGGGAGGAGGGGAGTTTGAGTCCTGGGTTGTAGGGGAGCTCGAATCCTGGGTTGGAAATCAGGGGGAGGTGGACGCAGGGAAGGGGAGATAGGGGCGGGGATGGGGTGGGAGATACCGGGTCCTGGTTCGCACGTGAATATTGTATTGGAGGCAGGGGGTTGTGTTGTGTATGTATGTACTGTCTATTATAGACTGCACTGCAGTGCTAAGTGCGTGGTTTTCCTTGCTTTTTTATCTGGGGAAGATGGATGCGGGTGAACCCGCTGTCGGGGAATGGGACGTTTGATGTGATGTGTTGCGGTGGGCCTCGGTAGGAGTGTAGATCTCGGTATCCCCTCCCTCCCCTTTCCGCTACTCCCTCCTCTCATCCCTACTCATACGCTTTCACAAACCCGCCAGTAACGGATTATGCATTGGTACCTGAAATCACATGGGCGAACTGTTGAGCCACCAATCACAACCAACAATACTGGCGACGGGACTTGGGGTGGATGGGGAGGGGAGGGGAGGGTATCGTATCTCTCTTATCTCTCACGCCTCATATGATTGTATGGTGTATGGTGTATGAGGGATGATGGATGATTGTATGAGGGATGGTGGATGATTGTATGAGGGATGATGGATGATTGTATGAGGGATGATGGATGATTGTATGAGGGATGAAGGCGAGAGGCATGCGGATTCGGGCCTTGTTTATCGGATCGGCCGGGGTGGGAGTGAGGAGTCGAGTGATTTGAAGCGCCGTAGCGAAAAAGCCGCAACGGCGGTGCTTTCCCTCAGGTAATCAATCCGCAGAAGCCGCCGAAAGCGCCCGCAAGCGCTGATTTGTTGTTTCCATGTTCCAAGGGTCCGGCGCATAAGTCGAGAGTATCTCCGTACTGTATTTGCACCAGCCCACGGCAGTGACGATGATGCGATGATGGGTCAACCAACCCCCGGCCCGATTTCCTGCTGAAAGCCTTCTTCCTCTTTCCGCCCAGCTATAAAGATGGCCTCTTCTGCCCCTTTCCGTACATTCATAAACCATTCATAAACCATTCATAAACCATTCACCTACTACCACCTACAATCCACCGTCGTCGTCAATTTCCATACTTCCTCTCAAAAACCCCACCCGCTATCCTACGTCAGAGATCCACAATCTCCCTCCTTACCAGAACGCCAACCCCACTACAGTACTAGGCTCTGGAACTAAACACTCGCCATCATCCACCCAAACTCCACTTCATCACCACTACCTGTGCAGCCAGGTCCCCTCCCCCCCCACCCACCCCCTCATACATATATATCATCGACCTCGTTTCCCCTTTCCCCTTTCCCCGGATTCTCCAGAAAAGCAGAAATCATACCAGCTCTCGACACCCCGCTCTTTCGCATGAGTGGAATCGCATGATCATACGCACCCCCTGAACATCAATCATTTTTATCACACGCCGTAAACGCAGAAATGGAGAACTTAACTATCACCAACAACATGGAGGAGAGCGATAAGAAGAAGGCCGTCCACTTCGGAGCTGGCAATATCGGGAGAGGCTTTGTTGGCGAGGCAAGTTGCTTCAGAATCCCTTATTCCTCATTATCAGGCTAACCCTCTCGGTTTAGTTTCTACACAACTCTGGATATGAGGTCGTCTTCGCGGACGTGCAAGACTCCATTATCGACCAGCTAAACGCAAAGGATTCGTACGACGTCATCCAAGTAGGAACCGAGGGCGAGCACAGGTCACAAGTGAGGAATTACCGCGCCATTAACTCCCGTATCAACGAGGCCGCCCTGATCAAGGAAATCACCACCGCCGACGTAGTAACCTGCTCCGTCGGCCCCAACGTGCTCAAATTCATCGCCCCCGTCATCGCCCAAGGCATCGACCGCCGCGCCACCGGTCTCCGCCCCCTCTCCGTAATCGCCTGCGAGAACGCCATCGGCGCCACCGACACCCTCGCCGAGTTCATCAAGAAGGGCGTATCACCCTACCGTATCCTCGACCTCGGCAACCGCGTCCGCTTCGCCAACTCGGCCATCGACCGCATCGTCCCCGCGCAAGACGCCAATACGGGGCTCGACGTCAAGCTCGAGAAGTTCTCGGAGTGGGTCGTTGACCGAACCCCGTTCGCGCCGTACGCCCCGCCGGACATTAAGGGCATCAAGTGGGTTGATGACCTCGTGCCGTTTATCGAGCGCAAGTTGTACACCGTCAACACCGGTCACGCTGCCGCGGCGTACCACGGGTATTACCACAAGAAACAAACCGTCTTCGACGCCATGCAGGACCCCCGCATCGTGAAGCAGGTGCGTCGCGCGCTGGCCGAGACGAGTAGTCTCATCGTCGGGAAGCACGGCATCGGGGCCGACGAGCAGAGCGAGTACGTCGAGCGCATCCTGCTGCGCATCTCGAATCCTCACCTTGAGGACTCGGTTGAGCGCGTCGGTCGTGACCCGCTAAGGAAGCTCAGCAGGAAGGAGCGCTTCATCGGCCCGGCTACCGAGTTGGCGGAGATGGGGCGCGAGTACTCCGCCCTGTTGTTGGCGGCGGAAATGACGTTCCGCTTCCAGAATGTGCCGGATGATAAGGAGAGTGAGGAGTTGGCGAGGCTGATGGATAGTACGAAGGACGCTAAGGAGATTGTGGAGGAGGTGTGCGATGTTGAGCGTACGCACCCGCTTTTTGATGAACTTGTTAAGATTGTTGAGCGCGTGCAGGGCGAGGCGATATAGATGGGAGGGTTTACCTTGTGCATTTTTGTGTTTTTAAAAGGGCTCTGCTGCGTCTTTTTTAGGCGGAATTAGTGGAGGGGGAAAGGTTATAGCGTTGCGATTCCTGGCTTTGGATAAAGCCACTCATTTGTTATGTTTAGAAGAAGCGTTGTATTGATGGCAATTGCGAATATGAATCTGTATGAATATATGATACTCCAACCAAGATTATTTTTCAAGCACGTGTGTTTTTGGTAACTACTTTAGAGATCGAGGGGAAGCTGTGAAAACCATACCATGAAGCTCTAGGATGAGAAAATTTCAATCTCGGATCCCGTGGTTGCCCCTCTGGATAGTGAGCTTTTGGAGACCCGGAGCAGAACGCTTCGTTCTCTTGGGGAAGTCGGTGTGTTGTCGTCGTTGGTGTGCTGTCGCTGTAGCTGCTGTCATCGTGGCTGCTGTCGTCGTCAAATCTGCTTTCATCGGTATTGGATGCTGTCGTTACATGTTCCTGCCACCTCCTTCGGCTTTGCCTCGGGGATTCTTTCGTTGATGAGAGATTCCTTTGGCCGTAGATGGTGATCATGGCCGTTTTTAATCTTGGAAATTGAGCGACTGAAGAAGACCATCAACTCACTGATGGTCTTCTTCAGTCGGTCAATTTCCAAGTCTTAAGAACTACTAGAAGACTGTTGCGATGCTGTCGAATTCCTCACTCAGCATAATACGAATATGAAAAAGATATGTATCATGTGACTTAGGTGTAATCATTTCACGTGATATTTATATACCCAAATTAAAGCCTCAGGCACCAACTTCCAACACCACCCAATCTAGCCTAGCGCACTACCCTACGGCGGTGTAGACCGGCAGCCCACGCAGCTGGAGCTCCAAAGACCACGAAATCCAAAAAGGACCGCCGCAGCCCTCCTGTCCCCTCCCCGCACTCCGCCATAAACCCACGAATTCATTACCTCCCCAGGGCATCACTGCGCATACATACGACGCAGGGCCCCGATTCTATACGTCCTGCTATTTGCAACACAAGGACGACGGACTGTTGATTGAGATTTGGCGAGGAAGCCACGTTGAGAGTGCTTGTGTGAGGGTTTCAACGCCGACGAATACGGAGTACGCGAGAGAGTTGGCAAGATGCGTTTGGACGTTAAGGTATATGCTCCATATTTCTCTATGCCCTTAATATGATGGGGGACCCTTGATTTGGGGAGCTGATGGTGGTGCTGGGGAGGGGGGTGGGATGTTGGAGGCATGTGAAGGGGGGTTTTGGGAATAGTTGGCTAACGGGCATGGAATTATAGAAACAGCTCTTCGCGAGGAGCGAAAGGGTGAAGGGAATTGATTTCCATCCTACGGAGCCGTGGATCTTGACTACACTTTACAATGGTATGGATAGTCTCCCCCCACCCCCCAAGGTCAGGGAACTGACACATATACCCCAGGCCATGTATACATCTGGTCCTACGAGACCCAGTCGATCGTCAAAACCTTCGAGCTGACCGACGTCCCCGTGCGCGCGGGTCGCTTCATCGCGCGCAAGAACTGGATCGTCTGCGGCTCCGACGACTTCCAGCTGCGCGTGTACAACTACAATACCTCGGAAAAGATCACCACCTTCGAGGCGCACCCGGACTACATCCGCGCCATCGTCGTGCATCCCACCCAGCCTTTCGTCCTCACCGCCTCCGATGATATGACGATCAAGCTGTGGGATTGGGAGAAGGGATGGAAGTGCGTTCAGGTGTTTGAGGGACATGCGCACTACGTTATGGGCCTGGCGATTAACCCGAAGGATACGAATACGTTTGCTTCGGCGTGTTTGGATCGCACGGTCAAGATTTGGAGTTTAGGGAGTTCGACGGCGAACTTCACATTGGAGGCGCATGAGACAAAGGGTGTGAATCATGTGGATTATTACCCGCAGTCGGATAAGCCGTATCTTCTTACCACGTCGGATGACAGGACGGTCAAGATCTGGGATTACACCACCAAGTCCCTGATTGCCACGCTCGAGGGCCACACCAGCAATGTCTCATTCGCCTGCTACCACCCGGAGCTACCAGTCATTGTGTCTGGTTCGGAAGACGGAACCGTCAAAATCTGGCACGCAAACACCTACCGTCTCGAGCAGTCCCTCAGCTACGGCTTAGAACGCGCGTGGTGTGTTAGCTACCAGCGCGGCAAGCAGGGCGTCGGAATCGGTTTCGACGATGGAGCCGTTGTGATCAAAATGGGTCGCGAGGAGCCGGCTGTTTCCATGGACGGTTCGGGGAAGTTGATCTGGGCCAGGCACAGCGAGGTTGTGTCGTCCATCATCAAGGGCGGCGATGCTACGCTGAAGGATAACGAGCCAGTCTCCCTCCCCACCAAGGATCTGGGAACGTGCGAAGTCTACCCGCAAACCCTGGTTCACTCGCCCAACGGCCGATTCGTCTCTGTCTGTGGTGATGGAGAGTATATCATCTACACTGCTCTGGCGTGGCGTAACAAGGCGTTCGGCTCGGCACTGGACTTTGTCTGGGGGTCGAAGGAGAATAGCAATGACTACGCCATCCGTGAGTCGGCGACGAGCGTGAAGATTTACAAGAACTTTGTGGAGAAGGCTGGGGGGCTTGATGTTGGCTTCCCGGCTGAGGGCCTTGCTGGTGGTGTTCTTCTTGGTGTTAAGGGCCAGGGTGGAATTGGCCTGTTTGATTGGCAGACTGGAGGCTTGGTTAGGAGGATTGAAGTTGATCCCATCAATGTGAGTTCACTCCGTCTAATCCAGTATGGTAACGTTCTAATTTTCTAGGTCTACTGGTCTGAGAGCGGAGAACTCGTGACGCTTGCTTGCGAGGAGACATTCTACGTCCTGCGCTTCTCGCGGGATAACTACCTCCACGCTCTGCAGAACGGTGAAGTCGAGGAGGATGGCGTCGAGTCAGCATTCGAGGTCATCAGCGACATCAACGAGAGCGTACGCACCGGAGAATGGGTGGGTGACTGCTTCATCTACACGAACAGCACGAACCGCCTGAACTACCTCGTCGGCGACCAGACCTACACCATCAGCCACTTCGACCACCCCATGTACCTCCTGGGCTACATCCAGCGCGACTCGCGCATCTACCTCTGCGATAAAGACGTCTCCGTGACCTCCTTCTCCCTCTCCCTCTCCGTCGTCGAGTACCAAACCCTCGTCCTCCGCGACGACATGGAATCCGCCGCCGAGCTCCTCCCCTCCATTCCCGCGTCCGAATCCAACAAGATTGCCCGCTTCCTCGAGGGACAGGGCCACAAGGAACTCGCCCTCTCCGTCGCCACAGACCCAGAACACAAGTTCGACCTCGCCCTCGCCCTGAACCAGCTCCCCACCGCCCTTGCCCTTGCCCGCGTCGCTGACGCTGAGCACAAGTGGAAGACGGTCGGTGATGCTGCGCTCGCTGCTTGGGATGTTGCGCTGGCCGCGGAATGCTTCACGCACGCGCGTGATCTGGGATCCTTGCTGCTCCTGCACTCTGCGACGGGTGATCGCGACGGACTCACCGGGCTGGCAGAGCAGGCTCGCGAGGGAGGCGCACATAATGTCGCTTTCGCGTGTCTGTGGCAGCTGGGCGATGTACCAGCGTGTATCGCGCTTCTGAGCAGCACCGGGCGTGCAGCTGAGGCAGCGCTGTTCGCGCAGACCTACGCGCCTAGCGCGGCGCCTAAAGCGGTGGAGGAGTGGAAGAGAGAGTTGGAGGCGGGGAAGAAGGGGAGGGTGGCGAAGATTCTTGGTGTGCCGGGGGCGGAGGGGGATGAGGAGTTGTTCCCGGAGTGGGATGAGTGGATTAGGTTGGAGGAGGAGGGAGGGGTGGCGCCGGTGACGGAGCAGGAGGTGCAGGAGAGGGAGGATGAGGTGAGGGAGGTGGAGGAGAATTTGATTGATGCTGAGGCGTAGATGTGGGGGTATAAATAGTAGAGTAGGGGTACTGTTTGATTTGTCTGCCTGTGGCAGTTCCTGCCTTGTGGGGCACGGCGGGGTCAAAAAGGGAAGATAGAAGATAATGACATTTCATATTTTTTTAGTTCACGCGCATATGAGTACTCCTGCTGCCCCAAAGTGTCTACAGATCCCGTCGTGGTGATGGGTGGGGTGTTAGAAATTAGATGATTATACGGAAATTTAGGACTTTGATAGGATGCTTCAGCAGAGTCCCTATACAGGTGTGTGGGCGGCCCGAGTATTGTGATCTAGAAAGGAGGGGAGAGCGCACAAACTACAGCCTCACAGGCACTGTTTACACTCATAACAGGTTCTCCTTCCTCCACTACTACATTCTGTGATAGCACCTGCCCCCACGGGCACAGTATTATACAAATGATCTAAGTTTGTTCTGACATTCATTTGATGCACAGATGCTATTATATTATATAAAGGGCATCTAGCGTCAGACACCATCCAAGTAACCAGGACACCAGAGAAGCGGTCAATGCGACTAGGTACGGCGACACACAAAAGATGAAGACTCCTCTAGCGCGCAGAAAAGAAGGTTGTCACTAATGGACACATCGAGGAATCCAACTAGTGACTTGAATATAGTGACGAGAATGTAGTGACGAGAATGTAGTAACGAGAGTGAAGCGACAAGAATGTAGTGACAACAGCACACGAACAGACCAAAGGGGTAGCAGAGACTAGAATTCATACGAGATTGTATATTCGAGTTCCTCCTTATGAATGACATGCTAACACGGGGTATCTCTCTAAAGCCACTGCCAAAGAAGAAAATATTGGTTTCACAGTCACATTCTAAATCACATTGCAAAGAAAACCGAGGTTTGGTGTCCATAATTGGATCTGATATTTTTTAGAACTTAAAGAAGTAAACGCGAATGTCAAAAGCCGAAACCCCCTATTGATATTTGGTTGCCGAATATGCGATAACTATAATTCTTAGTGTCGTGCGTGATGAAAACGCCGTCGGTCATTATCAGAGGAAAACCTCATCTGAAGGCTGAGAAGTCACAAATAGACCCGATGGTAAGCGACCGACAGGGAGAAAAAATAAATAAATAGCCCAATCTCCGAGACATAGGAGCAGAAGATGCGTCACTGAGAGTGGGAGAGATTTGAGCTAGGCCTCCAAGGGCAAATGTTAGTCGTACGGTTTCCAGCCTTTGAATCCCGCGGAGAATTTCGCCCTGGCACTTTACTGCCAATACATATTCCATCGAAGGTTCGCGTGAACGGGGCCGTGTCTCATCTTTCCGTCGTCAGCGTCCATCAAGTGCAGACGGGCCCGCTCACAGGCTTGATCGGCATAGTAGACCGGCGGGCAGACAGCAACCGAGGTCGTTGCGCGCGCATAGGAGGAGCATAGGTTGAAAGTCAGACGCTGGAAGGCGTCGGCTCCCATGTTGTTCTCATCCACTATGGTCACATAGCGGGTTGGTCTCTTGGTTCCTTGAAGATCCGGGCTGTGAGATAGGTTAGTCATTGATTCTTCACGCAGAGGGTTTGGGAAGTATAACTTACTGAGCGATGATGAACGCATCATTGATGGTGGAGGAGTTCTCGACCACAGTGCCGCATGGGACGTTTCCAAGCTTCGAAGCAATATCTCTGTCGGCAAAGAAGCGTGTATGATGGCGTTTGATCGCTACAATGATTGTGATCTTTGCCTGGGCTCCGAGCTCCTGGCATAGCTCGCGCAGTTTGAGACCCTCTTCGGTTTTGATCGACTGAAATTCTGATTCTGAAACTCCATCACGATAGTAGACGATATGCTGGGGATACACTGCAACTGTTAGCTTTGGGACCACTTGAGGAGGTGGCAAATGACTTACATCCATTGTTTTTCTCGGCGTAGCGCTTGAGAAGTTCAGCCATCATAGGTTTCACATTTGCAATAGACCCCAAAAGAGACTCCTGGATACTTGCCACAGCCGTATATGCCGTGCACTCGCGGTCCCAAGTTCCCACAAGTGCTGCAGTTGAAGGGGGCGGGTTGACTGATCGAAGCGCGCCCGGAGCTGCGTGAGAAATATCACCGCCCAAAAGCATGCAACGGCCTGCTTTGAACAAAGGTTCCTCCGCAATGCAGTTGGTCCCGCCGAGCTTGACATTAACCTTCATGGCGATGTTCGCCAAGTACTGAGCCGAACCACGTCCACTAAGAGCTTTCTCCTGAAGCATCACCTGGGATGCAATGCCGATATGAACATCAAGCCCTGCCTTCAAAGTTTTGTAGATAGGAACGCTGGCTCCTTGGAGTATGATAAAGATAACGTCTGGAGGGACTCCGAACTTGTTGTGCGCGCGGGCAACGGAATCCTTGACAACAAGTGTCAAGTTTCCGAAAGGATTTCCAACAATGATCGGAGGACCTTCTCGAGGGACCGTCATTCCGCAGTCAGTGAATGATCGAACCATCTCGCTTCCGAACCTCTCAAGCTGATTATTATCAAGGGGTTGTCTCGCAGGAACATAAACGATAACCCAAGACTTAATCGTGGATGGTCGAAGAAATTTGAGGCCGCGTAGGTTCCACCTGCCATCTCTTGGAGTCATTGGTCGATTTCCTCCATATGTCAAACGAGGAGCAGGTAGGATGCGTGCCTTTACGCTCATCATATCGGTATTAACCTTGAACCCATGTGCAGCAATCGTAGGGACATCATGGTGGCTAAGCAGCCTCAATCCGTGCTGGATCTGTTTTTTTCTCTCATAAGCAGGAGCAGTGGCAAACCTTTAGCAGTATGTTAGCGTTGCAGAAAATCATATGGGAGTGGAATACATACTTTATGAAGTCCGCCGTCTCTTGGCCTTGAAGAACCTCCTTGTACCGCTCTCCATCGGCACTAAAGCACACTTCAAGCGGAAAATCTCCAAACCGAGTTGACGCCAAAGGAAGCCTAGGGAATTGGAGCTTAATGTTATACTTCCTCTCAAAATAGTCTGAAACCGAGGTCGTTTGGGTTGTGCTTTCATCATCGCCAGCTCTCTCCTCAAATGTTGACTCCATGGCATTCCGCTGAGAAAATCCGGTCAACCTGATCTTTTTATCCTTCTTTGAAGACGTCAAATGTCTGATATTGAAGAAGCTGCCGCGGAGTCGACCACAGGAGACAAAGAACTTCTCGGGGTTGGAAAGAAAATCTCCTTCCAACCGACCGGTTTGGGTTCCCATAAGGGCGCACGCAGTATCGATGAGACAAACTCCTGGAACCCAGAAAGGAGTCGTGGCTGTGTCGATGTTCAGTGTAATGCGACCAAATCGAAGCTGCATAGATTGGAAAACGCCACGGCGTGCCTCAAGAACATTTTTGGTGGATCTAAGCATCATTGTTGTCTCGGGCGAGCGGTCAAAGTAGGCGCTCGAGTTCGGTCTGGTGATGAAGCGGGTTGCGGGATCCTTCCGAAAAACCGCCTGAATCCATTTCAGAATGTTTTCGATGCTCTCATTTCCAGCCGGGTTCAAGTCGAACTTTCCACCTTGAATATAGCCGACGAGAGTTCCAACTGGGAGAACCCCGGTGCTTCTCACTGATACCTCGACTGAGTTTGGTTTGCCATCTCGGCGCTTCTCCAGCTCGACAACGTTAGTCTCTGCCGTCCCCACCGGAACGATTACATGTGGTGACCACCCAAGGCTCACACCATCAAACACGAAGTCTTCCTTAAGAAATGTGGCCACTGCCTTTGTCATCAGGACACGTGCGAGCTGCTGCGAGCTCACTTTGTCGCTGCCTTTGAGTTGAGAATCCTCCGGGACACGGAATCGAAATTCATATCTGGACGGGAATATTAACACAGAAGAATACATGGATATGGTGATAAGCTTACTGGTATATTGCTTTTGTTGGAAGGGACTCAATGGTGTGGTGATTCACCTGAACCATCACTTTTTCTCCGACGGTGCCTCGGACTTGGAGGTCTGGATAAGGTACTTGTCGAGCGCCTTCAGGGATAGGGACGTCGTTTGGTAACTCGGGAAGGTTCGATCGCGGGGCATCTCCCGGGGTGTTTCCTTGGTAACCACCTCTGCCTCCGCCTCCGCCTTTTTTTCAAGTCAGTAATAAGCAATAGTCGGGGTGACATAGGCTTACGAGGTTCTCGGAACCGGTCTCCACGTGGGCCTCCCTCACGTCCAGGCGATCTGGATCTATCACGGCGCTGGTGGTCTCTCCCACCACGATCTTGATACCCTCCGCGGTCACGGTATCCACCTCGATCATTGTAGCCCGACATTGTGTCTTGATGTTGTGACTGAAATTGATTTGAGCTGAGAAGTCAGTATGGCATGAACTGAGTAAAATGATCCAATGCTGAAGATGAGGATCTGAATGAAGCAATTCTGGACTTGAAATGAGCAATTGGCCTACCTAGAACGAATATTCACGTGGTTAAGTGCGGTTGAAGAAGAACAGGCTCGGTATGGCAAGCTTTGGAAGAGAAGTTAGTCCAACGAAGGCTCGATGTTGTTGGTTGTTGATGTGGAAGGAAGGAGAAGGGTGAAGGACGAAAGATGAGCTTTTATACTCAGGAATTGGTGGCTTTGAAGTTGTTGATTGATGTGTTTGGAAGGAAGATGAAGGGTCAGCAACCAAAGATGGGGTTTTATACCCAGTAATCGGTGATGTTGCTTGAGGAAAGAGAAAATGGCTCACGTGGAAGGGATATTTGAACTGATCAAGGGCCAAAGACAAGAGAGAGGTATTTGTACTCACATATGATCGTGATGATGAACGGGAAAATGAAAAGCGTCTATTTACACCCAGGCATCAGAGGATAAGATGAGAGTTTGTAGAAGATAGTAGAAGGTTGGAGAGATGGCAGGTGCAGAGTAGGACCTCAGATCGAGGTCTGGAGTATTGGTGCTTGAGTTCACCTTAGGTTGACGGTAGGCTGACACGCAGGAAGGAAAGAGCGACAATAACGAGGCCCTTAAATCAAACTATATGTTGTGTCTGTGATATCATATGCTTGTAATGGCAACGGAATGTCCTCGTAGTATCTCAAGAAGACGTGAGGAAGCACAATGTCAACAAGGATTCAGAAATGCCCACAAAAGCCTCTCCACGGACAGACAGTGACACCAGAATGAGAGCTCAATTGTATCTTTGATCATTAATTATATTGCATCAAAGACAGAATGGATACTTCCACCGCCTTTTATTCACTTTGAATGATGAATTCATCCACCCAAAGAAACTGGATAATAATGAAAATAACCAAAAAAGAATTGATGGAAATTGTCTCATATAGACCGCATATTGAGAATCAGAAACATCTCATACAACAGACATCAATGAAAGACCTGTCCGCGACATATCCCTTACCTTGATTTCCTCCATCTTGTTGGTGTTGATGGCGTCTCTTCTCACCGCCAACCTAAATCTGTCCACCGCTCAACAATCCCACCTGGCCCCTGCCGGTCTAACCACATCAAGCCGGATATCAGCACACCCCACCCATCCACCGCTGCGAGGTAGCAACTCTTGATTCCCCATACCCCAATAAACTACATACTATTACTCCTAAAATCCAAGTAAGATGAAACAAAGAATAAGCTGCTATAGTTTCCAGGCAAAGCTGACAGTCTACAGAATACATTGCACCAGAACTTCAAAATGTCAGGCGTTACTCTCAGCCCCGCCTTCAACCAGGCCGTCATGGACAGCAAGAAGCTCGTCAACAAGCCCACCAAGGACCATCTCCTTGTACGTCGGCACCCCGCTACACCCCCTCCCTCCAGAAAGCCAACTGCTAACACACACAGGAAATGTACGGCCTTTTCAAGCAGGCCACCCAAGACCCCCCGATCGAGAAGTCCGAGGCCCCCGGCGCCTTCGACCTCAAGGGCAAGGCGAAGAAGCGCGCGTGGCAGAAGGTTGTCGATAAGGGCGTGACCCCGGAGCAAGCGCAGGAGCAGTACATTGCGCTGATCGAGCAGCTGAAGGCGACTTACGAGTTTGATGAGAGCAAGGTCCCCGAGGCCGTTGGTGGGCAATAAGCGGATGGTGGTTGATGTACCTACTTATGATGCGAGAGATACACATGGCGGAGGCTTAAGCTTGAACCGCAAGGGCCGCGCAATACAAGATTATTGAAACGAAGATGGGACATGTGACGAAGTGTTGAGAGCGTGGGATTATATTCTCCAGCTGGAGCTCCTCAGCTCTATAATCCGTATCCGTGGTATCCAAGTCCAGCCCAAACCGCACCAGCAACTCCTGAAGCCCAAGCACCTACACCCCGTACGACCTTCCCATCCAGTCCAGCTCCTCATAAGCCTTCGTAGCACACCAAGGTTCTTCATCCGCGCCGTACCTAACAAGCGGCAAATCATAAGGCATCCTGCACCCAATAGTAATCTTCCCATCCACTGCCTCCTTCGGCCTATCCGTTTGAAAAGTAGGCACCATCACCGCATCTTCCGCATACATGCTCGGCGATACCAGAACACCCAACTCGTAGCTACAAATCCTCACATCACCAGCTGCATTGAGCCTCTCGCCCCATGCCTGCTTCGACAGGTTCGCGGACGTAACAAGCGCCCAGTCGATGCGCGTTTTGGCTTCATCGGCGAACCGGATATAGGTCTTGATATGGGGCGCCGCGCGATTCCGCCCAGCTTCTCGCACTGTGCTAGCCACTGCACTGGGTCCCGCGCGGTTCTGCCAAGCCTCTCGTACTGTGCTCGCTACTGTGCTAGGTCCCGGGGACGAGGTGGACGGTGGGGACACAGGGCGGTTATCGCCTGCCCAGTGATAGAAGAGGGGTTTGAGATACTGGAGCTGCTTTTCTTGAGCGACTGTTTGTATTCTAACGTGGATCGAGCCACCGGAGTTGTAGCCATCGAGAGACTTCCTGATTTCGTCTGGGGTGGGAAAGACGATACCGAGCTTGGGGGTTTTGCTTGGGCTGTTTGATGACGCTGAGAGTGCTGCGAACAGCGTCTTTTGGAGCCACTGGTCCGTGACGCCGAGGGTGGCAATGGAGGAAACTTGCGCAACAACTTCGGGTTTGTCGCCATTGTGAACGGGAATGGTATTCAGTATCGCGCGGATTGCTGACCAGCCAAAGAGGGTTGGGTTATCACTCTCCACATGATGTCGGCCTGGGACGTGCCCAACAAGAGCGCCGCGGATGGAGGAGAAATCGTACTTCAATAATTCCTCTATCAGGGGCTTGCAAATAGTGCGGCGGCTATCATACGCTTTCAGATAACCCAAGAAGTCCAGCTTGAATCTTAGGCCAGACCCGTATGAAGCCGATTTTGAGCCTCGAGCCAGAGTTTGGTCTGCTAATTTCTCTGCAGGAAGAAGGGGTAGAAGAGGGCTTGTCCATGCATCTTGGCTCAAGTTGGCCCAGTCCTGAGGGATCATGTTGGCTGTGTGAATGATTATTTGGGCCTGGTCATCATGCCTGAGTAAAACCATCATCTTGGTATGGTCTAATCGATGTTAGGTTGGGAATAACAGAGGGACGCTGGCATGGCACTTACGGGTACCAAATATCTCTGGCATATATGCACAGCGAAGGTGAACATTGGGATACTTCAGTGCTTGGCTCTGTAATCATGTCAAACCTCATTTATCCTGTTGAGAGTCCAGTCCAGGTAAACTTGGATTTGAGATCTGAGATGGAAAATTGGCAGGCAAAGAAATAATCCGGAGATCCACACGAATAGTGACTGTATGACTGGACACGATGGGCAGATACCAAAAGTAAATAAAAGGCTTACCTTCATGTGAAGGCCTGATTCTTGTTTCCAATACCCGTGGACAACATGGATTTTCACCGTATCCTTCGTATCCGGATCCATATTGCTCATCAGAAAGTCCAGGTCATGCATATAGTTGAACTGCCACATTTCACGGATCATGGGGTCACAAACTATTTCCCCCAATGAGACGCTGCCATTGTTCAGCGAACCCGGAGAATCTCTGATCCTCGTCAACTTGAAGGGTGATGATATAAGTGAACCAGGAGCAATTTCAGGCTCATTTTGACGAGGCGTGCCATTGGAACTTGTCCGGCTTTGAGTAATCCGTGGCCTCGGAGGTGAGATTGAAGCGCGTAAAGAACTGAGAGTAGACCCTTCCTCAGAAGCCCCTGTCGTTCTCACTCTCTTCCTGGGAGGCTCATCCGTGACATCTTCTGACTGGCCGCTGAGCGGCATACCGAAGTTTTTTGCAGTAGAAGTTCCTGAAACAACCCTTGGTTATTGTCTCGTCGCTCAATGTCTCACCTTTAATTTTGTATGGACAGTTACGATTGACGTTGCTGTGGCGGTGCAAGACTGTGGCTTGCGTGACGTTCGTGAGGTCCAGCCAGATTTAGCTTTCGCTTATCCACAATCTCTCGGCGTCGCAACGTGGTACAGCTAACTCCAGTGGCATAATCCTTCCAACGACAATGTCGATCACTGTTTTCTCTCCTTTGTCGCCATGTGCTTGAAGAACTACTAGGTTTCCTCTTTCTACTGAACCTGTTCTGTCGCATAATCTGTCCAGCACAGTCGCCAGGGTATCTCCGAATCGATCGACATAATTGAAACGAGTAGCTTCTCCCAGGTGCAAACGGAAGTCGCATTCACGCTACCCACGCGCCTGTCGGCCTCGCAAATCGAACTGCAGGCTTCTCTATATAATAATACAGCTTGGACGCGCGCGAGCGGTACGACTACAATATGCGATTCCTCTCGTCGACCGCGCTGCTCGTAGTGGGAGCTCTTGCCACGTTGATAAGAGCTGTGGATACAAAGACAGATGTGTCAAAAGATGCGGGCGACTCGCCAGCGGACGAAACATATACAACCTTCAATGGCCAGAAGGTGCCAGAACTAAAGGAAGTCGGAGATAAGGCGCTGGACGAGTTGATCCAGAATGGGTATACAGCTGTCAAGTTCTATTCTCCAGGATGCCATCACTGCCAAGCGATGGCTCCAGCATGGAAGACCATTTACGAATATTATTGGACTTCGAAGCCTGTGCCGTCGACGACTACAGAAACCAAGGAGAGTCTTAATGATTTCCACCATTACTACGGTTTCGACTTTGCCAGTGTCAACTGTATAGCCTATGGAGACAGCTGTTTCAAGTACGGCGTTGATGGGTTTCCCGTTATTAAAATATTCAAGGATGGGAAGGAGGTAGACGAGTACATCAGAAAATCGGATATGCCAGCAATGGGCGTTGAAACTATCGGGAAGTTTATTGAGAAGACACTGGAGACCATCAGGCCGGGATCCCGCGTCAAGGATGGACCAGTGTGGCCAGAAGCAGGAGCAAAGAGTGTTGAGGGACTCAGCACTTCAGCGGCTGCTCCGAAGCCAACGGCTATAGCAAAGACGAATGCGATCGCGCCGTCAACCCCCCCTAAGAAACCAAAATCTCACAAAACCCCTTCAACCCCTGCAAACCCCCATGGGGCGTCCGTCTCATTTACTCCTGAGAGTTTCCATACGCAGGTTACAGTGTCGCGGGACTCATGGTTCGTCAAGTTCTATGCTCCTTGGTGTCACCACTGCCAAACCCTTGCGCCGATCTGGTCGGAGCTGGCGAAGGAAATGGAGGGCAAGCTGAACATTGGCGAAGTTAATTGCGAGGAGCACAAGGCGTTTTGCAAGGAAGCGAAAGTACAAGGATACCCGACTTTGGCCTTCTTTAGCGGTGGTGAACGAGTCGATTACGATGGACTGAGAGGCCTTGGAGATTTGACCAGGTGGGCAGGCAGCGCAATTGGGATCGGTGAAGGCGTTATGGATGTCACAGCCGCCGAATTCAAAACCTTGGAAGAGACGGAAGAGGTCATTTTTGTCTACTTTTACGACCATGCCACAACCAGCGAGGATTTTGATGCTCTCGACCGAGTTATCCTGAGCTTGATCGGCCAGGCGACGTTGGTAAAGACCAAAGATCCAGAAATGTATGAACGGTTCAAGATCACCACCTGGCCGCGACTGTTAGTGTCGAGGGATGGCCGTCCAACTTACTACACTGCCCTTGCACCGTACGACATGCGCGATTATCGTGGAGTCATGCAGTGGATGCAGTCTGTCTGGCTCCCTATTGTGCCCGAGCTTCTTCCAGGAAACGCACGTGAAATCATGGACGGCAAGCTTGTCGTCCTGGCCATCCTCAGACGGGAACGTCAAGATGAGTTTAAGGCCGCTAAAAACGAGATCAAGTCTGCAGCGATGGAATGGATGGACAAGCAGATTCAAATGTTCCAGCTGGAGCGTCAGGAATTCAGAGATGCCAAGGGGCTCCGCATCAAGGAGGCCGAGGCAAAGGATGACCAGCGTGCAGTCAGAGCAGCGAAGAGCATTCGCATCGATATGACCAAATCGGACCGCAAGGAAGTTACCTTTGCCTGGGTTGATGGTGTATTTTGGGAGAGATGGATTCGAACGACTTATGGGATCAATATCGCGGATGGGGAGAGGGTTATTATCAATGACGAGGATGTAAGCAATACCATATTATTGCATTCACTGATCATTACTAACTACCCATAGAACCGACGCTACTGGGATACTACTATTAACGACAACTCCATCCTGGCATCTCGCACGTCCATACTAGAAACCATCCCCAAGGTGATCACGTCGCCTCCGAAAATCAAGCCAAAGTACACCATCTCGAATTTCTCAAAGGTCTTCTTTGACATCCGCCGCGGCGCGGGAGCGCATCCAATACTGACCATCGGACTGGTCGTTGCAATTATATTAGCAGTCGTCGGATTGGGACGCAAGAAGAGGAGATCACGTGGAGGGTTCTTCCGCCTCGACGACGAGAAGAACCTGGGTCTGTTGGGGGGCGGTGGAAACGGAAAGGTGGACTGAGAAAGGCGACGAGAGTTGTATGGTCGGGAACGATGAGTGTAAATCATTGGGGGGCTATTGGCGTTTCAAGTATTCATAGTGCCTTTTTGGGTGTTTCTTGGCTAGCGGGCCTGGACAACGATATTCCATGCCCGTGGCTCATGCATTGCCAGGTGTATGGGGTGTAATTATTATGGTTTCTCACAAATAACTGATGCATCAAATACGTAACGTGCAGTTTGACTCGTTGATTTTCTAGTCTATATGTACAGTACAATATCGCAGTCTTGCAATGTACATTGCTGCTGCATCACAGCAGCTTTGATCATTTAGATCGTATAAATCACTTGCGTTCGAAGTACACCCATTGGCCCTCAACCGGCTTCTCCTCGAGATCTTCCCATCTGTGATTGGTTAGTTTCGGTTCTAGAGTCGTCTCGCGGGATTGTACATACACCTGGCTCTTCTCCATCGTATCAACGAGGTTCAGCTCTCCCTGTGCAACTTCGATAACCTCCTCGATCAGACCAGCTCCGATTTTGTCCTCAATCTCTCCAATCCTGCGTTCAATTAGCTATAGCTCAATGTGAACAACCGAATATCACCTACTGTTCAGCAGTCAGGCTTGGCTCATCGTCCAACTCCACACGCTTTGTCTCCTCTTGTGGCCTCTCCTCGGCCAAATCCGCCTGTGACTTTCTCTCCGCCTCCGTCCGTGTGCCTTCTAATTCGCCCTCATAGACCTTCTCGCCATCCCACTCATCGTTCTGCTCATCGTAAACCTTTCCGAGTGTGCTGGTCACGAACTCGTTTCCTCCTATAGTCTCCTTGACGTGCATCCCTCCCATGTACGCAGCAGCTCCCTTTGGTGTCGTGAAAACATCCGGGTTCTCCTTGATGAGCTTCTGGAGCTTCTCCTGCCACGCGGCGAATCCCTCCGGCACGACGGACTCGACAATCTGCAGGCGCTGTTTCGTCAGCGCCTCTGTTGACTTGCGGTAGACCGAATCCTCGGGGAATTTCTTGAGCTTCTCGAGCGTCGACGAGTACAGGTAGATGAGTGCGGAGCGCGGCGCCGGGTGGGTGAAGAGGCCTGTGAGCCCGGTTGGTGCGCCGGCCTCGAGATACCTCGAGGGCTTCACGGAGGCGAAAAGACGGATCGTCGCGCGCATCGTGAATGTGGTTACGCGAGTCAATGGCTTGGTGGAGGGTGGTGAGGTCGTGAGAGGTGCGATGTTGGCGAGCTTTGGGGAGAGGCTTGGCGAGGCAGTTTGTAGCGCGGTCGGCATCGCAGCAACTTTGAGCCGCATTTATGTGGATTGGTTTTGTATGGGTTTTGATAGGCGGGCCACGTCGTTGTTATATTTTGGTGGCTAATCTACTTTAATGATATTCCAAGATTGAGACAGCTTTATTCAACGATTTCTGAGCCCAATTACTACTCATAGTAATCTTGGTTACGGGAAAAGCGTCCGCTGGAATCCCGCGGAGTTCCCCTCCCGTCACGTGCTTCTGTTCTCATCTATCCAAAAATTACACTCCATCATTCCAACCAACGCTGGAAACTTGCATATTTTGACATTTGATCTCGAGGATATAGTACGGTCTCCTCGAGAAAGTTAGCGGCCATATTAAGCTCATCCGCAGGTCTGCGACAACCCTATCAAAGCATGACCCCTCCCTCAACATCAACCTGCTCATCCGCAATGCACCCCTCCCCCGCCCTCAAGACCGCAAAATCGGCGCTCCGAAAAGCCATAAAAGCTCGTCTATCTACTCTCCAGCCCTCCAGAATAGAAGCACAAAGTTAATCTGCCGTTCTCCTACCACTCTGCTCAGAGGCTAATGCACCATAGGCACCGCCGTCTCCAATGCCATCATCTCATGGCCCAAATATCAAGCCGCAAGGAGCATCAGCGTCTACCTCTCTATGCCAAGCGCGGAGCTCTCCACGGCAGCCATTGTGCGTGACGCGCTTTTGAGGGGGAAGAAAGTGTTTGTGCCGTACCTTCACCTGGCCACGGAGCGGGATCGGGGGCAAGATGGATACCTGCCGAAGCGGTGTATGGATATGGTGCGGCTCCATGGGCTGGAGGATTTTGAGGGGCTAGAGAATGATAGCTGGGGGATCCCGACGGTGGCAGATGAGGGGATAGAGAAAAGAGAGAGGGTTTTGGGTGGAGAGAGGGAGGGGCAGCTGGATTTGATGCTTCTTCCTGGGGTAGCTTTTCAGACAATCAATGGTGGTGAGGAGGACGGGATGATTAGGAGGTTGGGGCATGGGATGGGATTTTATGATTTTTTTATAAGGAGATACAGGGCGAAGACGAAAGAGGTGGCGGGCGAGGAGCCGCTGTTGGTTGCACTGGCCCTCAAGGAGCAAGTGCTGGAGAATGGGGATGCGGAGGTACCGTTGGGAGAGCACGATGCTCTGCTGGATGGATTGGTGGTTGGTAATGGGAGGATACTTGCTAAGGCATGAATAGCGTTGAAGGGCGTACGTAAGTCATGGTTACTGTCAATGCAAATTGTAGTGAAGGTGATTGAGGAAATAGCTCATATTTAGAGTTTCCGTATATGTGAATTATAGTCGTAAGGTTTAGGGGAGATATTTTGGTTATAGTTTCTGTAAACATTGTTATAGTTGTAGGTGATTAAGGGAAGATATTTTAAAATTAAGTCTTTAGGCATCTACCTACCTGCATTTTAATTACATGGGAACTTTCCCAGCTATGGTTCTCCAAAAGTCACATCTCGTACCCCTTCCTCCTTCCCACGTATTAGCGTTAGCGACTGAAAACGCGTTCTTCAAGCCTGGTTCCTGAAACTGAGTTACCGCTGCCCCGAACATTGTTGATCTGCTGTGGTGATGATGCCGTCCAGGCCGGGAATTTGGTAACAGGGTTAGGTACCGATAAGGTAGTGGGCTGGCCTCCACTTGCGAGGGCTGCAGATATGGACGGGTTGGAGGTGGTTAAGAATTTGCCCCATATACCTGTTGGTAGTGAGTTAGCTAGTCATCCAGGAAGACGGGGACATGTTTCGGCCGTGAATGCAGCATTCGCCACATGAACCAGGGGATAATTACTCCTGAAGGAAGCCACAAAGCTATCGCTATGATTTGGCTAGGCAGGTCCGAAGATGGGAGGCAGATCATCGGTATAGCCTTTGAATGGTACGCTATACTGGTATTTGTATGCCGTTCGGCCATTACCGGTATACGCGGATGCCAGCCAGTACGAGGGGCAAACGAATGTTACCTCAGCATAGATATTCTAAAAGTCCTCAAGTTAGTGTCCATCTGCAAATAGTTGAACATCAGGATCCCTCACATTTCCTCTCTGCTGCTGCCCTGTCGCAACCTGCCTAACATTTACCGCCGTTACAGGCCCAGGCCCAGTTGTTGCAAACATGGGATGATCAGGATTGACGGGTCCAGACGAGCTTGGGTACGCAGTGAGAATCTTGGCTATATCGTCGTCGGATATATTAAGAAACTCAAATTTAGCCAATGCCTCCGTAGATATAGTAGGGGGTACGAAAAGAGCCCTTTCATTAGCGTTGCTCTGTTACAATATCAGTCCGAGGTCACAACTTGGGAATTCAATGGAAAGCCCATACCCCGAAAGTATTCTCTTGCCATTCACTTTTTTAGCAAGTAGCTGTTTAGATGAGAGCTGCTTGATGAACGTGCCATCTGTGACGGGTAGGAAGGTCCCTAGATATCGTTAGAACGGGGCTGTGAGCAATCAGAGAACGAAAGCAACCGAGAGTAACTGAGAAAACGAGGGCTTCAAATAGTATCTGAGGGAATGAAGACCAACTTTGCTCCATATTCGTATAGCCAGGGCGGCCGACGGCATTTTGATATCATCCGCCCGGCTCAATAGGAAATGTGCTCTAATTGGCTGGGTTTGACTATGGCAACAGCGCTTTGTAATCGGAAGGCTCGGAGGACAATTATGCTGCCTTAAAGCTGCAAACGTATATATTTGTATATATAATTTATTATTTCGAAGTCTACTGTCATATATAACTCTTCAACATCAAACCTGTAGTTTCGTGGCATCGCTGGTGTTAAACAGTGCCTAAAAAGTCAGAGTTGGCCCCATTCCGAATCTCATACATATCCTGGCAAACAAAGCAGAGCTGGATTGCTCACCTTCACATTCCCCCTTTCCCACGCCAAAACGAGGACGGCTTGGACGGTTTCTTTCGACTATATTACCTATAAACAAACTTCTAAAATGACGACCTTTGATATCGAGATCGTATCAGACCTGGTCTGCCCCTGGGTTCGTGTCCCCTCATCCACCCGTACTTTCGTACTGACAAACGATAGTGCTACATCGGCTATCGTCGTCTGCAAAAAGCAATAGCCATGTACCGCAAAACTTACCCCAACGGATCCAAGGACACCTTCAATATCACGTGGAAGCCTTACTTTCTGGACGAGAACCCCCCCGCGACGCCAGTCTCCCGATGGGGTAAGTCATGCTTCCTCATCCCGACCAAGACCCATCGCTAACCAACCACCCAGAACGCATGCTTGTCCGCATCGGCCCTGAGCGTGCCCCCGCCATAGCAGCGCGTCTCAAGGACATCGCCGCTGGAGAAGGGATCCTCCTGGCGGACGACGGCGTGGTAGGCGGCACTGCGCTATGCCACGTGCTCCTGCACCTCGCTGGTACAATCAGCCTCGAGCAGCAGAACAAAGTGGCCGAGGAGCTATTCCACGCCTACTTTGTGGAAGCGAAGGATATTTTCAACGCGCCGAGTTTGGTGGAGATCGGAGTTGCAGCGGGGATGGATAGAGGTGCCGTTGAGAAAGGCTTGGAGGATGGAAAGTCGCTGGAAGAAGTGAAGAAGGAGGAGCAAGAGAATAAGGCCAGGCGAGGCAGGGGTGTGCCGCTGTTTTATCTGGGGGGGAAGACGATCGAGGGCGCAAAAGATATGGAAGACTTTTTCGAGGTGTTCCTTCAGATCAAGGAGGGGAGAGACGAGTTGCCATGAGAAGGCTGCGCAAGATCAGTTCCGGATTGGTGGTCATAGCTACTACGAATGCAAACTATTATGAGAGTGACTGAGTAGGCATGTATTATTTTGAGTTCCTGAATACGTGAATTATAGTCGTCAGTTATCAAGGGAAGATGTTTTGGCCACAAGTCCTGTCATAGAGTCAGATTTTATTACGCATTGTCTTGAATTTTACTATACTCATACAGTAAATATCCCTTATCCACCCCATCCCGACCCCCAATGCCTGCCCTCACAACTTTCCCCTCCCTGCCAATGCCGCCTCTCCATCCACAAGCACGCACCATCCCTCACTGCCGCCTCCTCCTTCCCCTCCAACCGCAACCCCAAAGTTCTCTCTGGCATACGCCATAACGTCCCCATCAAACGTGCCAGGCTGGAGCCACACCGCCGGCACGCCCAACCCTTTCGCCTCTTCCAACACCTTCTGTGTGATCTTCGGTGGCGTGATGATCGAGACCGCAGTGGTCTTGGGAGAAGGGAGCGCAGACAGCGACTTCACGGCGGGATGATCGGCTGACAGAGCAGTGATAGTCGCGGCCGTGGGATTGATGGGGGTTACGGGGAGCGACTCCGAGAGGTACCATGCGAAAACTGGTCGGAATTGTTAGCATGGGGTGGACTCCAAAGAGGGGAACTGAGCGACGGGGAAAGGACGAAAGCTGGGAACGCACTCTTGTTTCCATACTTGGATGGATCATTGGATGCTCCCACCACAGCAAAGGCGGGAATCGCAAAGAACGCGCGCGCGGCTGCCTCTCCAGTTTTCGTGGCCATTGCGGATGAGATGGCGAGGGTGAGTTGATGACGTGCGTTCCTGAGGCCGAGAACTGTACCGCCGAGATGAGGGGTCGTGGGATCATAGTTAGTAAGGTGCGGAACCCTCCGGGCCGCCAAGACCGTATATAGACTCAATTTATCATTTCTTTCTACAGGTTCTCATAATCATATCATTTAATCGAGGAATTATCGCGAAATGTTATGTATTTAATAATCCTTTCGTATTCTCCCCACTATAGACTCTCAAATTAAATGAATGCATTTTGATTATTCACCACCGAGATATATACTGAAGACACTGTTATAATATCTCACTGCCATAATCTCTCATATCCTCACTACGTAACATTCTCTCATTGCATTGGGATTCAATTTAGAAAGCATCCCAGCTCGAAGTATATTAAAGTTACTGTCATGATAGTCGACTTCACAGACTCTCATACCTCCAACAAGTATCATAGTCTCCCACGACATCAGGATTTCAAAACATATATTCCATCCCGTTCTTCGGCTTGGATATCGATTTAACCCCCGTCAAATCGCACCTACCCGGCAAAACACACGAAAAACGCCCGAAAAAAAAGTATAAATTCGCGATCACGGCTCGAGCTGATCCTGCTTTCGTTCTTATTTTTTTTGGACACCGTTCGAACCTGAGTTTGCGACACTCAGGGAAAATCGAAATATGAAATCGGAAATGACTTCGAAAAAAAAATGACTCTGGATAATGATTTGGGAAAACGACTTGGGAAAACGACTTGGGGAAAACGACTTGGGAAAACGACTTGAGAAAACGACTTGGGAAAACGACTTGGGAAAACGACTTGGGAAAACGACTTGGGAAAAATGATTTCAGAAAGGGACCTGGGGAAATTATTTGGAAACCCGATTTCGGGGAATGACCTGGAGCAACAACTTCGAAAAAACGACTTGGAGAAACGATTTGGAGACACGATTTGGAGACACGATAGAGACACGACCTGGAAAAATAAAATTAAGACAAGAAGACAAAAAGGAAGAGAGGTAAAATAAATAAAATCACGATGATAACAGTCGTAACTTTATTTATTTTACCTCTTAATAATATTAACAAATAAGTTAAGTTAAGTTAAGTTAGATAAAATTTAAATAATAAATGAGAAAAATAAAATCTACGCCAATTAAAGTGGTAAATTTATTTATTTCGATTTAACTTATAGAAAACGACAATAATCCGACTATCACAGACTCTCACATCTTTAACATGTATCACAGCCTCCCATGACCTCTGGGCCCCATTTGGAAATTCTTGTAAAACGGGATATATTTCTAAGTTATATTATAATAGAATAAGTTACGCTTCAATTCGTCTCCTGTCTCGTCTTATAACGATCGACAGATCCCTTCGCGACGAATACCTCCTTCTGCACACCATTCGTATTGACCTTCTCTGCAGTCGCAGACCCCCAAGCGCCACCACCAGGTGTGTTAATCACGATCCTATCGCCCTTGGCCATCTTAACCGTTGCCTTTCCTCCAAGGTTGACTCTGCTCTCACCATCCTCGCCTTGCCTAACCCAGTCATTCCTGCCCAGAGCACCCGGTCCGCCGCCCTCCAGCCCGTACGGACGATGGCTGCGGCGCTCAGACAAAATAGAGCACTGGACCGGCACCAGGAACTCGATATCGCGAACCACACCATCGCCACCGCGGTGCAGACCAGTGCCACCGGAGCCCGCTCTCAATGAGAACTCGCGCAGGATACATGGGTACCGCTTCTCGAAGATCTCCGGGTCCGTGATGCGTGTGTTCGTCATGTGGGTGTGAAGACCACTCTGTCCGTCCCAAGTAGGGCCGGCACCAACACCACCCGCAATCGTCTCGTAGTAGCCGAAGCCGTCAACGTGGTTTCCATCCTCTCCCTTGCCGCCTGTGCCAAAGGTCAGGTTGTTACAGCAACCCTGAGATGCGGCGCAGGCGCGGAACGCCTTTAGGATGACGTCGGTGATGCGCTGGGAGGTGAGCACGTTTCCACCGACGACACCAGCGGTCTTCGATGGCGATAGGAGAGAGTGGGCAGGGATGCGAATATCAATCGGGTTCAGGCATCCCTGGTTGAGCGGAATATCCGATTTGATGAGCGCACGTAGACAGTAGATGATAGCGGAGTGTGTAATCGCAGTAGGGGCATTGGTGTTGCCGAATACTTCGCTGCCGGTTCCGGAGAAGTCGAAGATGGCTTCACCCTTTGCGGCGTCGATTGTGACCTTCAACGCGATCGGGGTTCCGTCATCCATGCAATCCACTGCTTCCAACACAGAACCGAGGTTCTCCGAGGTCGTTTTGAGGAGCTCGCGAACGGCGATTTCGGCCGTGCTTTGGATCGCGTACATGTAGTTGTGGACGCACTTCAAGCCGTACTCCTTGATTAGCCCATTGATAAGCGAAATCCCCCTCTGGTTTGCTGCTACTTGGGCGCGCAGGTCAGACAGGTTGTCTTGGAGGCATCTGGTTCCCGAGCAGCCCTCGAACTTGGCGGGCTCCTTCAGAAGCAACTCAATCATTCTCTCCTCGTTGAAATGACCGCCGCTAACAAGCTTCTCTGCCTCGATGGAAGCACCCTCCTGCCACAGCTGGGTGCTCGTTGGAGGCATGGATCCAGGGAGGGAACCACCGATATCTGCGTGGTGTCCTCTGGATGCAACGTAAAATACAATCTCGCCATTCTCAAATACGGGTGTAATGACAGTAATATCTGGCAAATGAGTTCCTCCACATGTTGGGTGGTTTGAGACGAGAACATCGCCTTCCACGAGCTTTCCAGCCCAGTACTTGTGTTGATATCGGACAGCAAATTGCATCGACCCAAGATGCACTGGCACGTGGGGTGCGTTTGCGACCAGGCCGCCGTCGGGAGAGAATAACGCGCAAGAAAAGTCGAGACGCTCCTTGATGTTGGTGGAAACGGATGTCTTTTGAAGGGTTCGTCCCATCTGCTCAGCAATCGACATAAATCTGTTGCCGAAAATGGATAGCTGGATAGGGTTGATGCTCGTATCATTGGATTCGAAGGTAACATCAACATTTGGCTTCTCCTTCAGATCGATCAATACGCATCGTTCAAGGATATTTGCCACAGCGTCAGGGACGAGGACGATGGTTTGAGTCTTATCAATAATCATTGCAGGGCCCTTAATCTGAGAGCCGACCTCAAGATCCTCAAGCTTGTAGATGGGAGTGTCGACGGATCCTTTAGATGAACCGAAGTAAACCTTGGAAATCCCTTGGCTCTTCTGTTCGGAAACCTTCTTTGGCACGACTTCTTTCACCTACGTTATTTATTAGCTAGTTTTTCTTTGAATGGATACTTTGCACTCACCTGCATATAAGGGCTCTTTTCCTTCCCGTTAGATGAAGAACCAGTACTCCTGACACGAATATCGTCGACCAGAATAGCTTTATCCTTTGTCAAGAAGCCAAATTCTATCAGGTGCCTCTTCTCAAACTCGGACGCAAAGTTCCAATCTTCGCCCTTGAGAATCATGAAAGGGGTGCTTGTACCAGCATGGCGCATATTAAGATACAGCTCATGGTGGATGTCCTTCCCCGAGAACCCTTGAGACTCAAGGTCATCTGTGGACTGCTGAACAAGCGCCTCCAGTTTCGACTGGAACATGTCTTGAGTTGTGTCGTTGAAAATATCAGCAGCAGGCTGTTGAACCTCGTTCACCACATCCGCCAATGCCATTCCATAAGCAGAGAGGATGGAAGAATACTTGTGAATAATGATTCTTGAGATACCAAGAACAGTAGCCACAGAGCATGCGTGCTGGCCACCAGCACCACCAAAGCAAGCAAGATTGTGAACTGCGGTATTGTGGCCACGAGCTTCAGTTAATGCTCTGATAGGGCGCGACATGGATTCATCAGCAACATTCAAGAAACCGAGAGCGACCTCCTCGGGGGTAAATTCAATGCGTCCCTTTGACTTTTGTTCCTCGTTGATAACGGCAGTAAGCTCAGCAAACTTCTCTCCCGTGATAGCCATGTCGAGGGGCTCGTTTTCGTTGGGACCGAAGATTTTTGGAAAGTACTCAGGCAAGAGTCTGCCCAGGAACAGATTGGCATCGGTGACAGTAAGAGGTCCGCCCTTTCTGTAGCATGCTGGCCCAGGGTGTGCTGATGCCGACTCGGGGCCTACAACGAACAAGCCGTTCTTCCAGAAGAGCATGGATCCACCACCTGCTGCAACAGTGTTGATATCTAATTGTGGCGATTGGATAGACACACCAGCTGTTGTGGTTTCAAATACGTGGTCGTACGTGCCCGAATATCTCGACACATCAGTCGAGGTTCCTCCCATGTCGAAGCCAATCACAGGCACCTTCTCGGCAGCATCGTATGAAGTCTGGGAATAGCCAACAACACCACCGGCTGGACCAGACAAGATCGCCTTCAGTCCGCTAAATTTGCGGAAATCAACAAGGCCACCATCCGACTGCATGAACTCAACTCGGGTAGTATTCGAGGCGAGGCCGCCCTGGAAGTTTGAAGATATTGAGTCAATATAGTTTTTGATAACTGGGGTGAGGTATGCGTCTGCCGTGGCGCTCATTCCACGGGGAACAACCTTGATCATGGGCTGGAGGGCCGAGGATAAGGCAACGGAGAAGCCCATCTTTACGGCTGCGTTCCCAATCAAATTTTCGTGATGGGGGTAGGTATAGGAATGAAGTAGGACAACCGATATCGACCTGTATCCTTCCTTCTTCAACTGGAGCAGCTGTGCATCTACAGCCTCCATATCCGGCTTGGTAATGATTCGCACATGCTCTCCGGTAATTCCTCGAACAACATTTTCCGACTCTTCAATAGGTTCGGGGTTTTGGTTCTCGGCATATCCCTCGAGTGTGATGCGCTCGTCAATCTCAACCACCTTTTCAGACAGCACGTCTGGCTTTGAAACTGAGAGATCGAAAATGTTCGGTCGTGATTGGTTTCCAATGACAAGCAGATCCTTGAATCCGCGTGTGATGAGGAGTGCTGACCGAGCACCCTTTCTCTCTAATAATGCGTTGGTAGCAACCGTCGTTCCCATTCTCAGGGATTCGATTGGGGTCAAGTCGAGCAACTCACCGCGGGGTAGGGTCTTCCCTGTCGCAACTTCGAGAACTCGCCTGATACCTTCGGTTGGGGCATCTTGGTAATTTCCAGGGTCGACGGACAACAGCTTCAAGATAATGTCGCTGCGGCCAGGCACCAAGGCGTGGACATCGGTGAAGGTTCCACCGCGATCGATGGATATCCTTAGCCTTCCGGCCGCCGGCTTGTGTTGTCCCACTGCCATGTTGAGGGGTATAATATGGAATCTAAAAAAACAGTCGGGCACAACAGTCAAAGAGAATACAAGAAAATAAGATTTAATGGCATGGACTGAAATATGGGGTGCGGGGGTACAGGCTAAGTTATAACCTAATCGCCTGAAGTCGGCGTCAGCACCGAAGCTCCCACAACAGAATTTCCGGCACCATATGATCGGATCCTGATACCGGGTTGCCACAAGAGACCCACGAAACGGGCAAATACTACACTTACAGTTGCTTCCGGTTACAAATGAGTTCTTCTTTGGCAGTTGAATTGCGGGGAGAACGTGGGCATATCGCGTCGGAGGGGTCAAATGCATGACGAGGTGGACATTTTACGATCGGGATCCAAAGCCGATCGCGCTAGGGCGGCACATGCCCCGGCCGGCCGCATAACATGGGAGGGCGGGTGGGGTAGAACAACCACCACAGCGGAATGAAAAACTGGAGTAGATTTGCCTCGGCGTTCCTGACCCCCGCAAATGATTTGATGAACGAACTTAAACTTAGGTTCTTGTATCGTGCGATTCAGCGGAAAGAGTCCGATGATGGGGCCCGGCAACGGAGGCAAAGACGGGTAGAGAAGATGTGCATGGTTTAACTTCTCGGCTTAGTTCTGTATATATGCTTTGATGGGACTTTGTATTGAAAAACTACATGTATATTCTTTCTTCCCGCCCGAAAAATGATCGAATCCGGCAATAATGCAGCTCTATCAACCCGCCTCCTCGCTCGCAACAACCAAATAACGCTGACATCGGGCCTCGCCCCTAAATATCTACAAGCAAACCTTATCATCCTACCGTCCCGTTTCGCATCAGACTTCCTACTCCTGTGTCATCGCAACCCAGTCCCATGTCCACTGCTCGCCTCCTCTCGCACGCCAGGGTCCGCCACGGCCCTGAAGTCTCACCTGCCTGGAATCTCTGACGCCGCAATCGCGTCAGCGCTTGATATTTGCACAGATGTCCCGTTATACATGGTATATGACGATGGCAAGCTGGTCAAATCACACTGCTCAGATATTGCCAAGGAGTGGACGGATGACCACGTCGCATTCCTTATCGGCTGTAGCTACAGTTTCGAGGCCGCCTTGACAGCAGCTGGTCTGCCTCCGAGGCATACGGTCATGGGCCGCAATGTCCCCATGTATGCGACGAATATACCACTCTGCGCCGCGGGCGTGTTTACCGGCGGCACTTATGTAGTCAGCATGCGGCCGTACAGGAACGCGGATGTCGAAAAGGTTCGGGAGCTGACGAGGCCGTATGTAAGCACCCATGGCGAGCCTGTTGCATGGGGCTGGGATGCGGTGGAAAGGCTGGGGATCAAAGATATCAATGCACCCGAGTTTGGTGATATGCCGCTGGATCTAGACCCAGCGGATGACGAGATTGTACCGGTATTTTGGGGTTGCGGCGTTACGCCCCAGCTTGCGGTTATGAAGGCGCAGTTGCCGGGTCGAGTGATGGGACATGCCCCGGGGCATATGCTGGTGATAGATGTGATGGAAGATGACATCGTCGAGAAGATTTAGCTGTTCCACTGCGTCCAATCAAAATCCATATTCACATCAAAAAATTCGAACCCCTCCTCCCAAATCCTTTCGTCCCCCGCGCCAGCCTCCTCAAATAAATTCGTATCTACGTTGGAAAATATGCCGGCGTTAGCGTTGTCGCCATCCATCTGCGACAAGAACGCTGCGGATGGATCTGGTAGTGGTGCCAGAGCTTCTGGGGCTTGCTTCTGGATCAGAGACTCGTCCGAATTCTCCAGTCTCGTCATAGGGTATAAACTAAGCAGAAGTCGATGCAATGATTTGATATGTGCATTGCCCTTGTCGGCAATTCCATTCAGGACCTCCAGCGCCATATTCATGGCAGCGCGGTCTCGGGCGTTATACGGGAAGGCGATATTGACCATGACGAGGATGATTGCCGCTGAGAAGGCGTGTTCGCCATCCATGTAGCCGTACGTTGCTAGTTATGTTAGATTGTGTTATTCAGGATGCGACTTGCGTGCCTTACCTATCAGATTCTGCTTGGAAGTTGTAGACATGATTGCAATACTATTCCGTGCTGCTGAAATACAGGTATCAATGACTGCAATTGTAGTTGGAGACAGTCCAGTCTTCCAATCGCTTGCGTTATTTGTTGAATCCTTACTTTGAAGCCGGCTTCGAACGACGTGAAATACAAGAGGCCGAGCAGTCATATTAATGCACTGCGAATAGTGTAAATATATCGAAACTGCCTCACGAGAGATTTCCTTGTCAAGCTTAGTAAAGTCAAAATGAAGCACCTGGGGAAGGTTTGTGTGCCAATTCGACAGGTCAGTAAGAATGGCCTGTACAGAGCTGACAAGACTGTAGTTTTCTGTGCGCGTCCTTCGATACAGGTCTATCATAGTTAGTTGAGTGGCCTTCCAGAACTAATAATGACTTACTTTTCATTATCTTTCCCAGTATTCGTGACAGCTCTGTATAATGTAACAGGACAGTAGCTGGGCACATTTCAGGTTCGTCTGGCTGATTTGGTTAGTAAGGATTCTGCGACTCCGTATGAAACTTACCAGTCTTGACGGAGGCAGAACTCCAATGTCATGGTCGGCAATTGTCAAGGGGTTGCCGGATTTCACGCAAAGAATCCTGCAGGTGTTAGCAGGCATTTGACAACCTGGCAGGACTTCTTACCTATCCATGCTGTAAACAGACCACCACAGTCGCCGCCGATGTTCTCGAGCCCTGTCGTCGAGATTTTGATCGGGAACCTCCTGGTGCAGCCCCATTGATATGGCCATACGCAATGCCAAGCCGATCTATATATATATTAGAGAGTACCACACGGAAGGGTTTATCACTTACATAGAGAAATGCTGCGTCTCGACGATTCAAGTTTTGGAAGAAATATCCAACTAGGGACAGAACTTTGATAAATGTCACAGACCCTTGCTCATGAAGACCAGGAAGCAGCTGCATTGCGTGTTGAAAATACTCAAATCCAGGAGGTCCATCATTGCTTGTCCATTGATTCACAGAGTACATTTGACCAAAGGCTAACGTGAGGAGTACTTCGCAATAGACAAGGCAATCGTCCTTGTCGGACACATCCACCGGCCTATCATATATTTCATGGAGGCTCTCTTCAAACAAATCCATATCTGTAAAGGCGAAGATGGTGCCAAGATAGGCATACTGTGCGGCATAAAGACGCTTTGCGAATGCGAATGGGGGAAGCGAGATCTTGGGTTGGCCATCTTGAAACGAATTACGACGAATGGAGAAATTCGTACGGCTTTGGGTGGGCGCATCGAACTCGATTCCGTTATTGAGTTCTGACTGAAAGGTTTTGATAAAGTCTTGGAACCTCAAACCAAGACTTGTGGACGACGAATCTCCGAGATACTCTAGTTGAATCATAAGTCCTATTCTCATATATTGTCTTGCAGTACTTACGGCGCTCTCCTCCTCCGGGGCTCAGCACAAGGTGCGCCGTCCCTTCAATCAGGGGGTTCTTATCAATATCATCCTTGTCAGTGTCACGACTGGTGGTAAGTTGAAGAGGAGCAGAGGATTCTGGGATAATGTTTTCGGCACCAAGTATTTCAGGTGTGGCAGCGACAGAGCTTGGAGTCACGGAAGTTTCTTCGGCCTTGGTCTCATACGCCTTGATTCGAGCCTCTAGGTCCAAGAGGTAGCTATTTAAACTCAGCATTAATGAGGGCTAGAGATGGAAATGAAGACACCCACCCTTCCGAAACCAAGACCTTCTTCTGCGAGTTTGGGTAGATACAATCTTGTCTTGAGATGGCGCAAGTTCTGCATGGAACTCCACCTAGACATTTCGTCTTTCGTTTTCTACATCTATTGCAGCTGCTACGACTCAGTACGTGTATAGCTGACGTTCCTGGAGAGACCTCACGCGATGGGTGCCCGCCTTATGTGGCCCCCCGACTCCGATATAGATGACATTCCGATCGATGGCTCCTTGAGATATCGACGGGCATTGTAGGCCGAGAGTGGCGGTTCAGCCTAGGGATGAGCAATGTAAACTTTGACAGTGATTCTCTCAGAGATCATGCCTCTTCAACCAAATTACCGTGATAGTCTCTCTGTGGGTGCCGACTACGAACAGCCTTGCTACGGCAGAAAAAGGTCCCACGAGGCGATAAGGTACCTATGACGTTAGGCCCCACTGGTGTTAATTTTTGAGCCAATCAGCAATACCATTTTATGTTCTAGCCAATCTCCTGTCCCTGATCGACATGGTATAGTCGATATCGGGCTAGCGCTAGAATGGCGATAAGGCTCGGTATAAGATCCCGATCTCTGAAAGGGACAACGCAACCACGAGATAGAGAAGTGGAGATTTGCGGGGAATTTGTGGGGGAAGGCATGGAGATCCTTTTCTTTATCATTTCCTCCGCAAACTCTTATATATGACAAGGTCTAGCCAACGGTTGGCTTGACAAATATCACCAACTTTGCCACGAACTGTCCATCATTTTTTTGACTACCATTGACTTTACTCTCGCTCGCCCATTCGGCATACCATCTAATATGGGCTCCATCGAGGAAAAGGAATTGCCTCTCGAAACCAAGGTTGCCGATAGCCAGGTTGAAGCCCGCGATGACCACTATATCGACCCAGCCAAGCAGGTCAAGCTGCTGGCAAAGCTAGACCTATGTCTTATCCCAGTCATTATGCTCGTCTACCTTTGCTGCTTCTTGGATCGTTCAAACATTGGTGTGTTGCCTTCAAGGCCTTGAAATTACCCCTTTCTAACCCAAGCCAGGCAATGTCGGGGTAGCTGGTATGCCAGAGACCATTGGTGCAAGTCACTCGCAGTTCTCCATCGCTGTATCCATCTTCTATGCTACCTACGTTACATTTGAGACGCCATCTGCCCTCCTCTTGAAGAAATTGACGCCTCGTTATGTTATTGCCGGGCTGTGTGTTATCTGGTCACTCGCTACCATTTTCTCCGGCTTCATCCAAAATGTTGCTTCTCTGTACGCTACGCGATTGATTCTCGGCGCCTGCGAGGCTGGTCTATTTCCCAGTCTGAACCTGTACTTGACGATGATATACCAGAGAGACGAGCAAGCAAAGCGTGTTTCGTACTTGTTTGTCTGCGCCGCACTTTCTGGTGCCTTCGGCGGTCTCCTTGCGTATGTCATCCTGTTCATGGATGGCCTTGGCGGCTTTGAAGGGTGGAGGTAGGTTAAGAATCCTTTTATGCAATGGGTTATCGCTGACATTTAATTACAGATGGATCTACATTATCGAGGGTCTGTTCAGTGTGATCTGTGCTGTAGTTGTGTACTTCGGTCTCCCAAACGATCCAGGGAATGCCTACTTCTTGAGCAAGGAGCAGAAGGAGTTTATGGCTATCCGACACGAGAGGAACAAGGCCTACAGCGGCAGTGGAGAATTCAGCTGGAAGGAGGTTAAAATAGCCGCCACAGACCCAAAGGTTTATGTCAGGTGAGTTTGCACGGTACTATGCGGAGGCAGCATGGACTGATCAATATAATAGCGGCGCCATTCAATTTTGTCAAGATATCCTTCTGTATGGCTTCAGCACCTTCTTGCCAGCCATTCTCAAGGAGATGGGACATTCGACGCTCCAGACCCAATACCTCACGATCCCCGTTTATATTTTCGGTGGTATCTGCTTCATGATTTTCGCCTACATCTCTGACCGGATGACTCTCCGTAGTCCAGTAAGTCATCCCCCTCTTTCATTGCTGGCTTTTCTAATATGTGGCAGTTCATCTTCTTTGCCAACATCTTTGGCATCATCGGCTACCTTCTACTCCTATTCGTATCCAACAACAGCGTCAAGTTCTTCGCCACCTTCTTGTGCGCCATTGCCGTCTACACAGGCCCAGGTCTCAACGTCGCATGGCTCAACGTCAACATTGCGCCGCATTACCGCCGCGCAACCGCTATCGGCATGCAACAGTCGATGGGTAATACTGCCGGAGTTGTGGCCGGACAAATCTACAGAAAAGCACCCTACAAGTTGGGCCACGGATTCTCGTTGGGTATCCTCTGTTTGTCGCAGGTGCTGATTGTGGGCAAGGCCGTTTATATCAAGAGGTGCACGGCCGAGAAGGCGAAGATTGCAAGCGGCGAGATGGAGGATACGAGGAAGGTGAAGACTGGAGACTGGGAGTTGGATTTCAAATACCATATTTAGATAGTTATATAATTACGAATAAATGTTTATAGCGAAGAGAATGGCTACAGGTAATTTGAATGTCCCACGTAACCACAGTGACTGCAAGAGTCCACGAATTTGACATAATCTATGATATGTCCTGGACGTCTCAGTGACTATTATGATTATTTTTTACATTGGTGCCCCAACCAGGAAGTCCGCGGGGCGGGGACTCAAACTGGGCTTCCGGTTTCTGATGACCAAGATGAGGGAATTCGAAATGGACGTGCCGAGCGTGGCGCGCAGGTCTCGCGCGAGTACTGTGGGCGTTGGGGATGGACGACTTTGGAATATACGGTGAAGGAGAATGTTCCGGGATTGGAGTAGGTAGGACAGTGCATGTGAGATTGGACGGGCAGCAGAGTTACTGTCCGGAGAGAGGGGTGCCGATGACTGTGATGCGCACGAAGAATAAGAAGCACTGAACCGTTCTCATATATATAAAATTATTATAAATTGCATCTCGCGTCATAAGGAGCGTGGGTATCTAATTCGGTCGTTAATTACTCAAGTCACCCATCCAATCTACAGTCGCTGTCATATTCCCCTTCTCTCTTAGATCCCCTCCCCCCAACGTCTATCCTTCAATCCTTCAACCAAACATCACAAATCCAATCACAAACACCACAAGCGCCAGCATACCCCCGACACCACCACCGACTCTCAGCGCTTCGTTGGGAATCGCAGGGACCGTCGGGGTGGGAGTCGGTCCTCCGCCACTCCCAGTAGGTCCCGCCACACCACCACCCCTACCTCTACCACCGCTGCTCGTGGTCCCGGTAGGTACATCACTCGGCACATCTGTCGACGCCCCCGTCTCTGTCGTCCCCGGCTCTTCTATCGTCGAAGTTGGAACTCGGCTACTGCTCATAGTCATGGTCGAATTCATCCACCGCGTCGGCGTAACCGGTACTGCATCGCCTCCCTGCGTCTCCCCCGGCGCCAGGATCGTCACATCCCCACCCCCGTTCTGGCCCTGTCCACCCCCCGGCGCGACAACGCTTTCACTCCCATGCGCATCGCAGAAGTCGATCCACTGCTGATACTGCGGGATAACGTAATCCTGCAGAGTCTTCTGCGTCGCATCCCCATTGTTCACGACACACTGTTTGCAGGCAGATACGTAGTTGAGGAATGCCGACCCAGCCGCGCAGAGAGCGGGGGTCTTGCCGATGGCTTGCCCGGCCGTGACGATGTTGTTGCACTGGGGGAAGCAGATCGCTGGTGCGGTTTCCGGGGCGCGTCTGCGCAAGGCTGGGACGGTGTAGGCGGCTGTGATGGTAGCTTGGCTGGCCCAGTTGCCCGTGGTGATGGTAGCGACGGGGACGCCGTTGACGACTTCAACGACGACGTCTTCGGAGAAGATATCATAGCTCAATCCGAAAGCGAGAGGCGAGAGGGCGAAATACCCGGGCGTGAGAGGGTAATACCCAGTTTCTCCGTACTTCCACTCCACCAGCTTAGCCTTGGGTGCATCAAAGCAGTCCAAGGGGTCGCAGACGTAGTTGCGGGAAGGCGGGTCGGCGAAGACGTCGCAGCCGAAGGGATGGCGAGGGGCGCAGATCCGGCCGGGTGGGCAGCCCCAGGTGTAGTTATCGGGTTGGGGTTTTACGTTGCGGATTGTGGGGGCGGGGACGGCGCAGGTTGAGACGCGGGTGCCGATGTAGGAGACGGAGGCGGTGATGGTGGTGACGATGCCGGGGAGAGTGATTGGGGTGCCCGAGATGGAGGTTACCACGCCAGGGAGGGTTGTGGTGATGACGGGGGCGGAGATGGTGCGGGTTACGACGTCGGTTTTGGTCTCGATGTCGGTCTCGTGGACGGTGTCGGTTTGATGAACGGTGTCGGTCTCGTGGATGGTGTTGGTCTCATGCACGGTGTTGGTATCACGAACGGTGTTGATCTCAGTCAGGTAGGCAGTCGTGATGATGGTAGTCACCACATCCGGCTCAGTGACGGTCGTGATGGCGCCTGCGATGGTGGTGGTGTATGTCACCGGCGGCAGGGTGATAACCTGAGTGCAAGTCGTGACGGACGTCTGGGTAACCTCGTATGTATGCGTGGCAGTGACGGCGTACGAGTCAGTCTCGACGGATGTGATGATATGGATCTGATTTGTTAGCTATTGTCTTGATAATGGTGTTTTGCTCGACTTACCTCGATGCATGTAGCCGTAATCGTAGCGCTGGAGAGGAAGTCAGCCACATCCCATGTATTTTGATAACAAAACCCCTTGATACTCGAGCGCCTCCTTGTCGGACAAAACGGAGGAGCTCAATGCATGCCATCTCGGCGCCGCCACAAAGAAAGACCGCCTAATTGAAGTAAAAAATGATAAACTCACGTCTCTTCATCCACGACCGTCGTAGGCACACTAGAACCCAATTAGCTTCCTATCCACACCCACATCAACGCGGGATACTTGCACAACAGTCTTGGTCTTGGTCTTGTGCTCCGTCTCCGTCTTGGTCGTCGTCACCGTCCCCCCGACCCCAGTCTCGGTAACAGTCTCAAGGCAAGTCGTCGTCTCCGTCTCCGTGACCGTACCCCCAGCTGCGGTTCCCGTGACAGTCACACCTGGCTGCGTCTGCGTAACAGGCGGCAGCGTCAGCGTCCCCCCCGCTGCCGTCTCCGTCACCGTCTCAAAACAGGTAGTCGTCTCCGTCTCCGTAACCGTACACGCCTCCGTCGTCGTCGCGCTGCAGTGGTCTGGGCAGCGCTGTACCGCGACCTTGGCGTCGAGGGGTCCTGTGTCGACGCCGACCTCGAGGGCACGCGCGCGCGGGGCGGTGGTGGGGACGGTGGCGGCGGCGGAGGTGAGGAGGGGGAGGGTAAGGAGGGGGAGGGTAAGGAGGGGGAGGGTAAGGAGGGGGAGGGTAAGGAGGGGGAGGGTAAGGAGGGGGAGGGTAAGGAGGGGGAGGGTAAGGAGGGGGAGGGTAAGGAGGGGGAGGAGAGAGCGCATTGCTGCTGTGATGGGGTGTTTGGGATTCTCCAGCGAGTGTGTGGGGAGTCAGTCAGGTCAACGAAGGTGTTGGTGATCGATGTCGATGGTGTTCCATTTGCTGAATAGAATAGCGAGGGAGAGAGAGAGAGACAAAGGGGGTGGATGTGGGGAGGGAGAACAAAGGGGGTGGGGGGGGATGGGGTTGGGAGGAAGTATATTTTGGCAAGGATGGAGGGTACAGGGTGGAGGGTACAGGGTGCATGCAGCTTTAGAGTTCAGGCTTCAGGCTTCAGGCTTTAGAGTTCAGTGTTGAGGCTTTAGAGTTCAGGCTTCAGGCTCCAGGCTCCAGGCTCCAGGCTCCAGGCTCCAGGCTCCAGGCTCCAGGCTCCAGGCTCCAGGCTCCAGGCTCCAGGCTCCAGGCTCCAGGCTCCAGGCTCCAGGCTCCAGGCTCCAGGCTTTAGAGTTCAGTGTTCAGGCTTCAGGCTTCATGCTCCAGCGTGCATGTCGACGACACGAATGGTGCACAAGCCGCAGTGGTGCCAGGTGTTGGGAGGAAACAAAAAGAGGGATGGATGGCTTACCTTACCATAACCAGGTTGGCGACCGGTGAGGGTGAGATGGGGGTGAGATGGTTAAAGGCTCCAAGAAACCCACTCACCCTTTGCTCGTTTTGGTCCTTTGTTCCTTTGCTCCTTTGTTCCTTTTCTCTTTTCTCCTTTGTTCCTTTTCTCTTTTCTCCTTTGTTCCTTTTCTCCTTTTCTCCTTTTCTCCTTTTCTCCTTTTCTCCTTTTCTCCTTTGTTCCTTTTCTCCTTTGCTCCTTTGTTCCTTTTCTCCTTGCCTCCTTCTCCTTCGCTCCTTCGCTCCTTCTCCTTGCCTCCTTCTCCTTCGCCCCTTCGCTCCTTTGTTCCTCCTTCCGACACCCAATCCCCCTTCCAATACTCCTCCATTGGCCCCGCGCCCTGTCGTCCTATATCTCATCACCTCCCAACAAAAAAAGTGGCCCGCCTGCGCGTGCGATGATGTCTCCGCTGCATCCCATCCCATCCCATCCCTTCCCATCCCCCCCATCCCATCCATCCCTTCCCTTCCCATCCACCTCCTTCCCATCCCATCCACCTCCTTCCCATCCCATCCACCTCCTTCCCATCCCATCCACCTCCTTCCCATCCCATCCACCTCCTTCCTCGTCCATTGCCTCGCTGTCCACCATCTGAAGTTGTGAACCCATCCACCACCGCCACACCATCGTCATCTTTTGTCGCATTTCCTTCCTTTCGGTAATTTTAAAACCATCGGCCCTCTGATGACCACCGTGATGGTTTCACCGTGGCCGCTGGCCCTATCGCTGTTCCTGCCCCTCCCCCTCGCTTGGGCCCAGTCCACGGGATGGGTCCATAACGAGCTTAATACGACCATGTGCACATGGTCCCTGCCTCGCGGTATGATGGATAGAAGCCAATCCATAACTCTTTCTGACAACTCTCAGTGGGCGTCATTCGGGATACGGCCTATATCGACGGTGGTCAATTATACTGGCAGCCTTTGCTGAAAGACGGCTCACCCCATGAGCTTGTCCAAGATCGTAAGTGAGAACCACCATTGCAAGCCCCAAACTAACCAGCCCAGAATTTCATCATGGGCTTGTCTATACCCTAAACTTCAGCACGCCCTTCAAGACCTCAGACAACTTCTCCGAGGTGCTGACGCCCATCACGGCCGTCACCGGTGCCTCAAACGACATCAAGCCGATGTACTACGACGGCGCCCTCCTCGCCAATGACGGCGAGTTCCTCGCATATGGAGGTCTGTTCACTGCTCTCGCGGTCGTATCGGCTCCGGACGCCAGCTCAACATTCGGATACCAGCGCTACTGGTACGGCGGCAACGGTAAGAAGTTTGAGCCGGGCTTTCTTCTCAACACACAAATCACTGCGGGCATCACGCGCTATGTTGGGTTTGGCGCTGGCGTCAGCGTGCCGTCGGAGAATAAGGGCTATTACTTTGGAGGCATGAGCTCGAAGAGCCAGGGCCCGGTCAACTACCCGTCTGGCAATACCACGACTGATCCGACGACGTATTCGAGGGATCTAATCTCGGTCGATATGGCGACGCAGATGGAGGAGGTGTGGACGAACGATACCATCAAGTCGACTGTTCCAGGCCGTGCCAGTCCAGAGATGGTCTGGGTGCCGGTAGGGAAGAGTGGGTTGCTGGTCGTTATTGGAGGTGTCGTTGATCCCGTGTTTGCAAATGCGTCCTTCACTCTCACTGCCGAGAAGATGGCTAATAGCGTGAGTTTTTCTCTTTTATCATCCCATAATCACATCCCACCCCCCAATCTAATCTAACGTTCCCCAGCAACTCAAAAGCCCCGCATTTCTCACCACAGTCTCGGTCTACGATATCGAGTCTAAAAGCTGGTTCCAGCAGGACACGACTGGGGGGCCGAAAGATACGGCCTGGACGCAGGGATGCACAGTTGTTGCCTCGGCCCCCGACGGGTCAAGTCACAACATCTACTACTACGGCGGCTTCGACGGCATCAGTCTGCGCGCACCTTTCAATGATGAAGTCTGGATTCTGTCCTTGCCGAGCTTCACATGGATGAAGGCGGCCGTAGGTAGATCCGGCCACGGCCGCGCCGGCCACCGCTGCATCAAACCCTACCCGGACCAAATGATCGTGCTAGGCGGCTACCCCGCCAACGGCGGAACAGCACAAACTTGTGTCACAGGAGGGATTGTCCAGCTCTTCAACCTCACCTCGCTGGAGTGGATAGACTCCTACGACCCCCGGGTGTGGAGTAACTACACCGTCCCCTCCGTGCTCACCGCCGCCATATCCAGCTCCGCAGCCACGAAATGGCTTAACGCCTCCCTTGCCACAATCTTCAAAACCTCGTATGACACCACGAAAATCACACCTTGGTATCCCTACGCTTACACCAACACCCCTACCGACCCCACAAACCCCCCTATCCCTACCTCAGCCACCGTACCTGCCCCGGGAGGCGGGACGCCCAAATGGCTCGCTCCCGTCCTCGGCGTCGTCCTCGGCGTCGTCCTCCTCTCCGCCCTCGCAATCGCATTCCTCGTCTACCGCCGACGCCGCTACTTCCACCGTCGGGATAGCGCGGCCGCTACGTCGGAGGTGAACCGGAATCGGATACTCAGCTGGGTGTGGGGACATGATGCGAAAGCTGGGACTGTGACGAGTGATGAGACACCGAGTACGGCGTTTGATGACGATGGGACGGGGGCGGGGGGTGGGGGAAGAAGTGGAAGTGGTGGGAGGCATTTGAGCACGGGGACGGTGCCGAGTGTGAATGTGGTGGAGGCGGGGGGGAATATGGTGTATGAGCTGCCGGGGACGACTCAGGTGCAGGAGCTGAGCGCGGCGGGGTTGACGTATGTACCCATCGCTGCTGGGGGGGCGGGGGAACTGCATCCCAGTCCATCAGTAGCCTCAACAGCATCAAGAAGCAGCAAGCCCAGCGCTGATGGGGCGGGCGTGGTCTCGCCCCAAGGGGAGTCTCCGGGGAGGGAAAGGGACTCACAGGGCCTGAGTGTGGGGAGTGCGGCGGAAGGAAGAGAATCCCCCGGCAGCGGCCTCGGCAAAGGAGAACTTGATGGTGGTGCCGGCGCGGGAGAGAGGAGACGCAGCGGACCTGTTACGCCGAGGGGGGAGAGGTGGGGGAGTATGGGTAGTGTGGGGGAGGGGGAGATGAGCTCGACGGGGGGATTGAGTCCGGATGTTGGGTCTGATGGGGGGAGTGCGGGGGGTGCGGGGAGGAGGAGGAAGAGTGCTTTTGGGGAGATGTTGGATGAGGAGAAGTGAGGGGGGAGGGGTGGGCGGGCGGAAAATGGGGAAAAAGAAGGGGGGGTAATCAGGGGTAATGAGGGGGATTATATGATAGGGATCTAGGTGCTAGTTTTAAGATGGATGGGTATGTGGACGTGAAAACTGCTTCTTCATTTCCACACCCCTTCACTTGGTTAGGGGGGGGGGATTCGACAGAATCTCTGTTCGACTGTGGTAGTGTTGTCGTGGGGGGTGTTGTCACCGCCTGGCCTGCTGTCATTGTCGCTGGCAGCGCTGCTATCGTCATTTGCCTGTCTGCTGTCTAGCTTCCTATCACCGTCACCGCCATCACCCGCTCGCAACCCCGCCAAGACCTCGACGTTCATCGCGGCATCGACCGAGGGCTCACCGATCCATTCAGACCATTCTCATCGCCACATATGCAGATAAAGATATTTTCAACATAGATGAAACTAGGCTCTTTTGGAAGATGACGCCAACTCGAACGCTAGCTACTGAAGCTTCGAGTGGGGGAAAGAAATCCAAAGATCGGATTACTCTCGCATTTACGACAAATTCGAGTAGAACTGAGAAGCTAGATATATGGGTTGTGGGAAAGTCGAAGAATCCTCGATGTTTTAAAAATATTAATGTTAAGCGCATGCGGATTCAATATCGATACAATGAGACAAAATGGATGACAGGGCTAATTATGAAAGAATACCTAGACTGGTTAAATGATGAAATGAAGCATCGCAAGATACTGTTATTACTTGATAACTTCTCTAGACATGAAGTCGGAGTTGAACTTGTTAGTGGATTACAAGGTTTGTCGAATGTTCGAATTGCTTGGCTTCTACCAAATACAACATCTCATTGGCAACCTCTTGATTAGGGAATAATTGCAAGCTTCAAACTTAGGTAACGTGCATGTATAACGAAAGTGCCAAACAAGCGAAAGTGCCAAAATCATGCGGTGACCAACCCCCCCAACTAAATGTTAAATTCCTCCACAACAAAACATGCGCCATAAAAATGATGAAAGCAAATTAGTGCTAGCTATCCAAGCTATGCAAAGCGACCCAAATTTGCGCCTTCAAGTTGCAGCTAGGATCTATTCCGTAGACCACCGCAAGCTACGTCACCATTTACAAGGCGTACCTTCACGACGCGATATCCAAGCCAACTTACAGAAATTAAGTAACCTAGAGGAATCAGTTCTTGTTCAGTATATACTTGACTTAGCTGCTAAAGGGTTCCCTCCTCAGTTGTCTATTGTTGAAGATATGGCAAATCGACTACTTGCAACACGCGACGCGCCACGCGTCGGGTCACGTTGGGCTTCAAACTTTGTTAAGCGCCATGTAGAGCTCCGGACACGCTTCCAGCGAAAATACGACTACCAGAGGGCTAAGTGCGAAGATCCAGAAGTCATTCGTGGCTGGTTTGAGCTTGTATGGAACACAATTCTAAAGTATGGCATCAACAATGCAGATATCTACAACTTTGATAAGACTGGGTTTATGATGGGCGTCATCTCAAGCGCAACGGTAGTAACGAGCTCAGATGGGCGGGCAAAGGCAAAAAAGGTGCAGCCTGGCAATCGGGAATGGGTTACAGTAATCCAAGGCGTTAGTTCTCAAGGTTGGGCAGTGCCGCCATTTGTCATTGTGGCAGGTAAAAACCACCTTGCATCTTGGTATGAGAATAGCGGATTTCCAGCAGATTGGGTAATCGCTGTTACTGCAAATGGCTGGACTACAAACGAGAGAGGTATGGATTGGATTCAGCATTTTGAGAAGCACACAAAGCCCCGGAGTGTTGGTGGTTATCACTTGTTAGTCCTTGATGGTCATGAGAGCCACCACTCAGACAAGTTTGAGGAGTACTGCAAAGAACACAACATTATTACGCTTTGTATGCCTGCTCACTCTTCCCATATACTCCAACCACTTGATGTTGGCTGTTTTGGCCCATTAAAGAGAGCTTACGGTCGGCAAATTGAAGATATGATGCGGGCTCATATTATTCACATTACTAAGGATGACTTCTTTCCTACCTTCCACGCTGCATTTAACATTGCAATGACAGAAAGCAATATTCAGGGAGGGTTCCGAGGTGCTGGGCTTCTTCCATTTAGCCCTGAGAGTGTAATATCTACACTTGACCTTAGGTTTAAGACGCCAACACCTCCAACCTCTCACCCAAACACCGCTCAACCATGGGTTTCTCAGACACCAAATAACCCAACTGAAGCTGTATCACAGTCTACTTTCATTAAAAACTGAATTGCGCATCATCAAAATAGCTCTCCAACCTCAATCTATGCAGCTGTTGACCAGTTTACAAAGGGTGCATCGCAAATAATGCATCAATTAGCATTGTTAAAAGCAGAGAACCAAAACCTGCGACAGGCAAATGAAGTGCTAAGCAAGCGCCGGAGAGCTAAAAAAACACGACTACAGCAAGGAGGATCACTTAGTCAACAGGTAGCACAGGAGCTACAGGACGAGAGGGACGTTGTGCAGCAAGTAGAGTAAGAAATAAGGGCAAGTAGTGGTCGGAAGCCAAGGGAAGAAACCCATGCACGTCGCTGTGGCAAGTGTGGTGAGACTGGACACAATGCGCGCACTTGTCAGATTGTAATAGACAGGTCTGAGGAAGAGGACTCCGAGTAGTTTTAATTAATTTATATTGTTGTGGTGGATTTATCGCAATTCTTATGGGGTAGTCGCGATATTTTGGCATTTTCGCTTGTTTGGCACTTTCGTTATACATGCACGTTATCGAAAACAATTGATTAATTACATGTTGCGCTAGCTCGAGGCTAATAAGAACCCTAATAAAACAGTTAATATTCTAAAGGCGATACAGTGCAGTCGACTTACGTGGGAAGTAGTGTGCGCCACGGGGGACCGTCGGTTCGGAACATTTCCAGACTGGACCGCGGTCTGGTCTGGAAATATTGGAAAAACCGACCAGACCGGTGCGGTCCCCCAACGGTTCCTTGGCAAACCAACACGTGCAATCTGTCACGTGCGTATATTCAAATCTACGATAACTTCACAGACAGATATATTTAGTGTAGTAAACGAATATATTTGGTATCTACTTCCCCCAGTATTGGTTCCTCCCTTCCTTACTCAAAGTAGCTGCCCTGGGAACTGGAACCCCGTCATATAGAGCCTCATTGATTGCACCAGTTTCATGTCCTTCTGCTGAATGGTAACACGCTTTGCGTGGATCGCAGCAAGTTGCGTCACTGTAATGATTACTATAATGATTACTATAAAATGGATGTTCACTTACTCTCAAACCCCTTGACCAAAGTGGTCTCAGCTGCTTCTTGTAGTGCAGAAACTGCAGTCGCTTGGATTCGATAGGGCGATTTCAGGTCAACCATGATCTCTTTGATGAGGCAGACGAATGGCGCATGGGGAATGAGTAGCTCTGTTGTTTTCTGGTATCGCTTGATTTGACGAAGTGCAACAACTATTTGATGTCAGTAAGAGCTTTATAGTAATAAGTATAGTAATCAACCTACTGCCTGGCTTGGAACGACGCTTCTTCGCCTTCATCACAGTCTTCCCACCCACTGGTGCCTTCCTTGGGGCTTTGCTGGCCGTATTCTGGTGAACTTGTTTCTGGCGAGCCATGCTGGATATCTTGGGTTCTTTCTGGCTCAGTACTTGGCCTGGTGCAAGAGTTGGGATTGGGCCTCGGGAAGCCTTGGGCTAGGTTGGAGGAGGTGATTGATGTTGTGGTTGACGCTGGCTAGAGCGCGTTGGTGTAGTTGGAAGGCGATGGCGACCCATGAACTTAGGACCCCTAGTACCGTCTTGTGCCGTTTCGGAATCTGAACTTGAAGTCACAGGGTCCGCGTCGTCATAGGGCTCGTCATCCATATTGCCCTGACGAGGTGTTACTATAAGTATTACTATAATATAAGAGGAGTGGTTCACTTACCAGTCCACCCGTGAGTGGCTTGTCACATAATAACAGAAAGGTTGAGGGAGGAAAACCCAAATTTGGGTGGGTGTTGTGTTCTGGGTGAACTGCTGGCTCGCTTGGCGAAATATATTGAGCTTCACCCATTATATGGTAATAGGCGTATTAAGTGAATTCTACCATAACAATACACAACAACAATAGGAATCCTAAGCTTCTGCCACCACCCCAAACTTCCTACTTCTGCCACCACCCTGAGCTTCCTACTTACTGCTACCACCCCGAGCTTCCTTCTTCTGGATTTCCGAGCTTCCTACTTCTGCTACCACCCCGAGCTTCCTTCTTCTGAATTTCTGAGCTTCTACCTCCACAGTCGCCTTCTTCTGTCCACCCACCCACCCTCCACCACCAAGGTAAGTCTTTACTCCCTCCTACCATCAATTACTTTATAGTAACCATTATAGTAATCACCCATCACCCACCATGGTCGGAAAGCGCAAAGAATCAACCGAGAAGTCGACCAACGAGAAGGCTTCCCGAGGCCCAATCCCAACTCTTGCACCAGGCCAAGTACTGAGCCAGAAAGAACCCAAGATATCCAGCATGGCTCGCCAGAAACAAGTTCACCAGAATACGGCCAGCAAAGCCCCAAGGAAGGCACCAGTGGGTGGGAAGACTGTGATGAAGGCGAAGAAGCGTCGTTCCAAGCCAGGCAGTAGGTTGATTACTATACTTATTACTATAAAGCTCTTACTGACATCAAATAGTTGTTGCACTTCGTCAAATCAAGCGATACCAGAAAACAACAGAGCTACTCATTCCCCATGCGCCATTCGTCTGCCTCATCAAAGAGATCATGGTTGACCTGAAATCGCCCTATCGAATCCAAGCGACTGCAGTTTCTGCACTACAAGAAGCAGCTGAGACCACTTTGGTCAAGGGGTTTGAGAGTAAGTGAACATCCATTTTATAGTAATCATTATAGTAATCATTACAGTGACGCAAGTTGCTGCGATCCACACAAAGCGTGTTACCATTCAGCAGAAGGACATGAAACTGGTGCAATCAATGAGGCTCTATATGACGGGGTTCCAGTTCCCAGGGCAGCTACTTTGAGTAAGGAAGGGAGGAACCAATACTGGGGGAAGTAGATACCAAATATATTCGTTTACTACACTAAATATATCTGTCTGTGAAGTTATCGTAGATTTGAATATACGCACGTGACAGATTGCACGTGTTGGTTTGCCAAGGAACCATTGGGGGACCGCACCAGTCTGGTCGGTTTTTCCAATATTTCCAGACCAGACCGCAGTCCGGTCTGGAAATGTTCGGAACTGACAGTTCCGAACCGACGGTCCCCCGTGGTGCACACTAGTAGGAAGCACTTAAAGCACCAAAAATCCAGAAGTGTTGGTGGCGATCAACTCTCATAAAAAAACCAGAAAATATGGATATGCGTCAAGATAATACTGCTGAGGTCAAGGAACTAGGAATGGAAGTTGCAAGGCTACTAGGAGATGTCATGCCAATTGCAGATTTTCTCAACCCTATAGGCGAAGAGATAGTTGACAGAGATGAAGATATTTTTGAAGCTGTAGTACAGAGATACACTATTACAGAGGAGGATGGGATTGCAGACAGGGATGAGGAAGGGGAAGAGGAAGAGATCTGACCATCACTTGCAGACGCAAGCCAGGTGCTGAATACCCTTCAATTATTTGCTTCCCTCGCTGAAGATGGAGGTCAGATTTCAGTAATAAAGGCATTAGAACAGATTGGCAAGGATATCTCGCAAGAGAAAGTCGCGAAGAGTACCTAACGTTTACTAGATGGCTGGGTGTCAAAGTAGCATACATTTTTTTTTTTTTTTTACATATATTCCTCAGATTTCCGTGAACCTCCACATAAGGATATCCTCACTATAAGGATGCCACACCCGGTCCTGAGGGCATCCTTATATTGAGGTTCAACTGTATATCAATTTTGCTATTTTGGTCTTAGTGTTGCCTTAATCGTTCTTTGTTGGCGTAATGTTTAGTATATAGCTCCTAGAATTGACTGTAATGTTGGTTGCACCAGATGTGAGAATCTAGCCACCCAAGGAAAGGGATGATTTTACTAAGACAACACACTGTCTTAGGAAACAGAGCCAAAGGGTTGTATCTTAGACTATTCCACAACGCAGCAATCAGTTGTATGATGTAGTGGAGTGGTTTAGACAAGTTGTACAAATGTTGAGTCTGAGAACTTAGGGATAAGTCAGAGGTTAGCACCTCACTGACTTTTCAGAAACAAGGTAACAAGATCAATGCTTGGAAGCTTGGAAAAGACGTAGAAGTATGTGATAGTTAATTTACTGTATTGTCTGCTTGCCCTTTCTTAAGGAAAGGGCAATCCTATTTATGCTAAAGGAGTGTAGTTCTCTCATTTTCCAAGACTTTCCATGACTAACCAGGCTTGGTAACTGTAGTCGACGTAAGAGAATCCCATAGAACCATCTCCTAGGTTCCTAGCCTATAGGAAGTGAAAGGAGGTCCAAGGTCAGCGTACCCCTATAGACAAATTATGTCATAACTTAACCAATCTTGTGGGTAACTAAGGAGCGATGATGTGTAATGAATCATAGAGGGTTGTAGAAGCTTTTGGAGCTATGATGTGTAATGAATCATAGAGGGTTGTAGAAGCTTTTGTAGCTATTGTTCATGTTCCTAGGCCTCTAGTTGATAGAGATATGTCATGTGTAGTATTAGCCCAGTAACTAAGGAGTGATGTCATGTAATGAATCATAGAGGGTTGTAGAGATATGCTATGTGGTCATATCGGCCCAGTAACTAAGGAGCAATGACGTGTAATGAATCATAGAGGGTTGTAGCAATCGTTGAGTAGTATTGCTCCTGTTGTTGGTGTGACAAGCCAAAATATGTATAGTGACTTGTAGGTTTGAGGAGGAGATTTCTAAGTTTGCTCTTGAGTTTGATAGCAAACTGAGTGCAACGAATGTCAGTATGACACACTGGCCCAATGCGTTCCATGACTATCAATCGACCTTATTGAGTCGCTTTCACCAAACCAAGGTGCGAGGGCGTTTCCTCAATCATACTGTAGCCACCATTGCGCGATCTCAGGGTTTCACAGGCCTCCAGCTAGCACATTCAACTTTGAGAAGAGGGGATAGACCTATTATGAACGCTTCAGATCTCCTACAGCACCTGACCTTCAGGAGTCCCAAAATGAGATGGATCATAAAGGATATTATGGAGCACTGCATGAAGCCAGACAAGGATGGAAAGAGGAATAAACTCTTGTGCTCTGAAGAGATACCAGTCTCCACTTGGTATGTAGAGATGGTTTGCAAGACCTTCTACATTCGAGCAGAGGTGTTACATGCTGGACTGACCGACCCTCACTCTAGCCTTACCGTACTCATTATGATGTATGTGGTTCATCCCAATTAGATGGTGCATGTCACCGTGTTTGTTCGATAACAACAGCAATCAACCTAGTTGAAGGATACAAAAAAGATGAAGAGAGGAACCCCCGTTGGGTCAATCTCCTTAAGTACCCGAAACGGGTCCAACTCGGATAACCTACCCTAATGCTCCCCACGTGACCGTAACCTGCCCGACTCCGATGCTTTCCATCACTGAGGGCTTTGGCATCCTTACAATTATCGTCCAATCGGAGTAAGAGCCCCCCCTACCCATGGAACATGTACAGAGGAGGGTGCTAATCCATATGGAGGTTTCTCAGAAAAAGAAAGTCACGATAGTTAGACTATCTGTGCTAAACAGCCATGATGCCTGGCGAGAAATTAAGCAGATTGACAAGAACATCATTGATATTCTGACCAAGCTCCGTTCTCCCGAGTCATTCCAGGCCATTGCTGATGCACTAAACAACATGTGAAACGAGGTTGTGGCTGCTCATCTCTCTCCTGAGGGCCAGATACTATTGGCTGGGAAAGAAATTCTTCCTTTGCAGCTTCACGATCATCCTTCGTGCCTGTCCTAGAGGATGTTAATTTGATTACTCCTGCTCCTACGATTGGTGATTCTACCGCTGAGGATTGGACTAGCGACGAAGACAAACCAGGGCCATCATTTACTCCAGTTAATCGTCCTCTTCTGAAGAGGAAGCATGCGATGCTAGCAAAGACTGTTCGTTCAGCTCATGGAAAAGAGGTGCCTTCCTCGTCTAGCGGCCCTTCTGGAGAGTATATCCCACACGGGATTGATAGCGAATCTGATAATGACATCAACGCTATAATTGCCCCTGGTGATCTAAGTGATGATGACAATGGGCCTGAGCTTACACCTACTGATTACATTAAGGATTTCAAGAAGTTGTAGATGAAGCTTACCCCTGAGGAGAAAGTTCTTTACGACCAAGATGAACTTGATTTTCTTGTGTTGTTAAGCATGGACCCAAACCATGTGTAGAGATCCAGGGTACCCTTGACTCAGCGGTTGCAGAGCGTGGATTACGCCTCGTTATTCTTGATGCTCCAGCCAGTTTAAGACAAGGGTTAAGGTCTCCCCTGACATTAAATACAATGCCCTTCTTGACCATAACTAAGACAGCGAGGAGCCCTTCTTGTCCCCAGCATTTTCAACAACTTACGATATCGGAAGGAGCTTGGCTCTGAGGCGCTTTGTGTGGATGCTAGCACCAATCTCTGAGGTTGTGAGCACGATCGCTACCACCCACCTTAATGCTAGCTCTGTTCCAATGACTATGGACTCTCCTGTACATGTACAGAATTGTACTGCCAGACACTGCTCCTACTGTCAAGTCCTACGGTATTAGGATGTTGAATGTAGTAGACCCAGTCAAAAGCCATGATCCGGTTCTTAATGAGGTTCTGATGGATACGACTCCTGACAGACCATTGAGTCCTTCTCTTTCGACTGCTCATTCTGAATAAGGCAGTAGCAGCTTTACTTCAGTACCCCTTTTTACAGCAATGTTTTATGGCGTATGGCTAATAGTGGAGGATTTGTGGTCATGGATGGATTTTCTACCGTCATTGTATATTAGAAAACCGTAAATAGGATAAAGTAAATCACATTTGTTCTGGAATATTATGATTTGTATATGACATGTGTATGTTCATACATAAGGAACGATATTGTATTGAATTTATATGGAATAGTTTCGAAACAATCCTGTCATAATGACGATACTATTGTACAGCTATTTCCATACTCTCTCATAGAGCACTTAGTTTATTAGCTCAGTTTTGAAGGATATTTGGTGCCATGGATATCGCTTGAGAGGCCTATCATAGTGTTGAATATTGTTACGGTGGAGATATTGTACTGGGCAACTAGTCCTGGACTGGTCTGGCGAGCATCATATGGCCCACAAATCACCCATGTAAAATTAGGCCAGCAAACCGTCTAAAAAAATGGGCCGTCGCCCGTAAGGTAGTTGTGGAGCACGGCACCAATCGGCGTTTGGTGCTAGCCGCGTCCGGGATGCCCATTCTCACCCGTTCGGTAGGGCCCAATCCATGTGACATATTCAGTACTCGCCGGCACTTGGCGCCTACTGAACGCCAGTCGAGCTTGGTATCCATGGACTGGAATTTGTCAGGCAGAATGTCGTGCTCACCGGCGCTGGGCTTTTGGAGTCAGGCGTCCATCGATACTCGGGGAACACCAGCCATACCGACCATCCAGAGTGCGAAACTCGTCAGTGTCCATCAGCGTCCGCCGAATATCAGTTCCCATAGCGCAGCGCTGGAGTATGGCGCGAGTCGCGCTTGGTCTGCCTCGAGTATAAATTGACATATTTACATATTTCTTCGTTTTATGGTACCGCGACCGCCCGCGCCCGATCGGATTGGTTGTGCTGTATTCAGCTATGCTGCTCACGATTTTCATTGTCCGGGCTACTCATTGGCGTTTGGTCTCTCCACCGTGACGTTGGACCAGGCAGGCTCGCGGAGCTTACGAAAGACGTGGGGCGTCACAGAGTTTGGCAGTGCGAGCCGCGTTGAGAATATCCTGGTCTATACAAAGGCTCCCCTGGCTTCACGGATGTGGCTTTCCTGCGCTTGTTTCACTCGAGCTATGCCTATACAATATTTATTATTTGGCTTCCGACGAGTACTTGGCGAGCGTCTGTCTAATTTGATACAAGTTTTGCAAGGGGTACGGGTGCGCCTAGCGTTGTGACCGGCAAACGATAATCATAGTCACGTAAAGATTTTAGGAATGACAACGATTGTATTGTATCTAAGCACCAGATTCTCGAGTAACTCGTGGCCAGCCCTGGATGCCTAAATGATTGCTGTCCGAGTTACCAAATGAACGCCTAACTGCCACAAAAAAAATGCTTCCACACTCTCCCCCAATCTCGCCACATCCTCCGCCCAAACCCACTGGAGGGTTTCAGGAGGGGTTCAGCGTAAGGTGACAAATAAAATATGCCCGATGTGATGACCTGCGCGTGCAATAAAGAAAAAAAAAGGCAACAAAAATAATCTTTTGTTTGAAGGGCCGGCTTTTTCATTATGACGATGTGGCCGTCGGGCAACGGCAGACAAACGAGACCAGAAGACCAGAAGACGGCAAACAAGCTTCTGATGCTTTGTCTGGGCTTCATTAACTTCGCCGGAACAGAAAAACAAATCCACTTTGCTCCAACCACGAGAAATATCACCTAATCGAAAACCAACCCAGTTCGACGAGAAACGAGGTGACACAATTTACTATAACACCATCAATGATCGTCAATGCAGAATGAAGTTGGATTGAAGCATACTTGACCTGATGGAGGTTGGTTCGTCAGGTGCATTTGTGCCAGCCAGTTTGCCAGCGTGGTAGTCTGTACCCGGATGGCTTCGGTTTGGTCCGCTGTGGCTGCGAGTTGCTTCACCGCGTCCTCGTGCTGCATCGCTGTCTGTTCGCGAACAGCCGTAGTTAACTCGGTCTGTGCTGTCATCAATAGCTTGAAGTTTTTGTTAACATCTGCTGTTTGCTCGTCTGTGGCTGCCGTTAAATCAGCAAGCAGGACACTTTGCTTCTCATGGCAGTTAGTAGCAGCAGCTGTCTGTACTTTTGCCGTATATAGATGGATCATCGAGTGATCCCATAGGCTTGCTTCGAGGTGGGCCTGTATTTCGGATGTCCTGACATCTACACTCCTTAGTGACCTGACAGTATATGAACTGAATATATTTGCGTTTTGGAGGGACGCAATTAATTGCTGTCGACAGCAGCGGAAAAGTTGCTGCAAATGTGCCCCATTGTCATCATTATCGTCAAGAGCGATGAGGTCCTGCGCCGCAGACTGTAGATCTCGTAATAATATGATACAGCGATCGGGCACCTATCTGTATTAATATTTGAGAAGACGTGATTTGTAGCATGGACTTACCTCTAGACATGTATTGTTATCTTGTGCACAAGTAATGCAACTGTCTTTGCCTGGTGCAATTTCACACGACAGCGACGAGTTTGGATCATCCTTGGCTGCACATCTAACGCAACAGAATATATGCACTTCATGCATAGTATAGTCTTGAATAATGCTCGCGTCATCGTTGGTCTGTCTGCCCTTCCCTTTGTTGGCCCCCTTCTCGTTTGATGTAGGTTTGCTAGACCTAGCACTTTCGTCGACTCGCATGCGTTTGGATCCGTCTGCATTTCTGTCATATGTAGGCTCGTTGGTCTGGATGCCTTTGTTTTATTAGCTTTTGAACTCACAATGCCATATTTAGTTGACAAACAAACCTCCGCTCCCGTTGTATGCAATGCTCTTTCTATTGTTGGTGGCATTCTTTCCGCTTTGACCGACTTCATCAGCTCGTCCTACTGTGTCGGGGGCAGTGGCGCATTGAGCTGATACACGAGGGTGCTCGAGCATAACATCATCATCAGATCCACCGATCTCAATCTCGTTGGTATACTCTTGGGCCTTAGAAGTGGATATATTCGTGGTAGCCTCAGCTACCTCCGTGATCATCATTAGCGAGCGCTAGAAATGAATTAGTCAAATGACATGTTGTATAAGAACTAGAAATCAAACCATTTAGAGCTGTATTGTGTACGAGGTGTTTGGCGTCTGTGGATGAATATATTTAGTTGACGAGAGGTAGAAAACAAAGTCGTTGTTCGAGATTTGATGGCATATGTAAGAGATAAGAAGCAATGGCATATTTACGGAGGGAGTCTATAGCCACAATTTTACAGTTTGTATGCTTATCAACCTTCAAATTCACTTTGGGTGGAGGTTCATTATTTTACAGATATTAAAAATGCACGACAATCAGGATTCATTCTCTAGCTCCATTATCTACGACTCTCCGTTGCCATCAATCAGAGTTACTATTCGTGCAATCATGGCGTTCCATAGTCAATTCCCAGTCCCGCATTCTCTTCCACATGATCAACTCCTCATCCACGTCCCCTCAACTGCCTGGACTGGCTTCTCGGTTGGCCCGGATCGCATCACATAAACCTTTCATCTGTGTGCACAAAGCACTGTTTGTCGTCCGGATAATCTCCTCCATACTTCGAAGCTGCGCGAGATGAGCTTCCTGGAACGCCTTATCCTCATCTCTCTTGCTCTTGTCGGTTGCCCGCTGATCATTGTAAATTCGTTTGACGTCGTCACGGAGGCCATTCACAGCGATTGTTGTCCGGTCAATCGAGTCCGACACTTTAGTGGCGATATGTGCAGCCGTTTCGGTCATTGCAATTTCGTCGTGACGCTGTATCTTCGTCTGCGATGGGATGCTGCTCCTGTGCAAAGCAACATCGTTCGACATAATCTCCGGTGGATTGCAAACCATCAGATCGAATTGGGCTTGTACAGTGTTCAGGCGGTTGGTGGCGGCCTGGTTGGTAGTGTCCTGCAAAACTTGGGTTGCAGAGTCTCTGAGCATTTTCAGTTGGGCGAGGCATCTCTTCGGGACCTATATAAATGTTAATTATCATAGTTTCGAAGGGTTATCATATGACTTACAATGGTACAGTTAATGCCTTTTGTAGTGCAGTCTATGCATTTTAGAGCATGATAACCTTTCCAGCATTGCAAATTTGGGACTTTGCTGTACAGTGCAGCGCACTGCACGCACGGGATTGACGTTCTCTGGCCCGCATTCTCTAGGTGGTCTGGAATTACCACTCGTGAAGTGGACTTGTCGAGATTCTCAACAGGAGTCTGGATTGGTGAAGGTTGTTCGTTGTGGACCTTCTCGGCATCTGAGGGAGTTGATTGACCACCTTCGGAGACATTAATGCGAATGTCCCGAGTAGCATGGTTGGCAACACTTGGTTGGTTGACGACTTGTATAGCAGAGGGCTGATTTGCCGCGTCTTGCGTCACGAAATCCTTGCCCTTTGGGGAGAGTGTGATGTTCGACAATTCCATACTAGCGGGCGCATCCTCGGCAGTGGACACATGATGGCCGATTTGGCCGACTGGCGCAAGAGTTGTAGTAACCAATTGCTCATCCTCCTGAACGACCTTGAGTGCACTAACGCGGTCGCCTTGAGCGGAAGCCTCGCAATTTTGCTCTCCGTCAACGGGCACATGGTTATCGTTCCGGCTAACTGGTCCGGGAGTTGTTGAAATTGGTTGTTCGCCCTCTTGAATGACTTTAGGTGCACCAACGCGGTCGCCTTGAGTGGTAGTCTGGCAAAGTTGCTCCGCGTTAACAGGCACAGGTTGATCGCCCTGGCCAGTGCCATGCGCCGTAACGGTTGTAGAGGTGCCACCTGGAACATCATACGTTTGCTGGTCCTGAGACTGGTTCGTCGGCGATGTAGTAGAAGTCGTCCTCATGTCGTTGCCGTGTCGCTCTACCATCCTTTGGTGTTCGCCCTCCTCAGTAACCTGACCTCTGAGACTGGTACCTCTGCCGTGCGGGCGCCCGTCTGTATGGTTGGTAAACATGCTATCTCCCTGTTTCTTCTTCTCAATGTTTTCTTCGTGTTGAAGGCCAACATCCACATGTGCTTCCATAAGTTTGAAGCGGGCAGCGATTTCCGCTTGAGTGAGTCGTCGGTTTAGCGGAGTTGGCTTAGTACTCTTCTTCTCCGTCTTCTTTAGCTTGGCAGCGCCACCGGTTGCCTTCCTGTCCGCCTTCTTCTGCCTCTTTGTCGTGGCTCCGGTATCAACAGGGGATGTTGCCCTCCGTTTTTCCTCGTCAGGGGCCACATTGCCTAGCCCGCGGGTTTCCATTGTTCCTATCTATACATTTCAATGTCAGTATTGAAAGATGGAAATGAGTTTGAGACAAATACAAGTAAAGAGGACTCTTGGTCAACTTCAGTTTGTGGTATGTAGATTTAAAAGACGAAGGCAAATAGAATATAACTAACCTATCAGACACTCGGCCTATATCAGTAGATCGTGAGTTGAAGAAGTTCGGCACTAATAACCCTAAATGACAAGTGGTGATTCCAGTTTGCGATCTGTAGATGAAGTCGGTTTTAGTTTTAAAAACAATGCCAGAAGATAACCAACCTGTCGGATACTCGGGCAGTGTTGTTAGCTCATGGGTTGAACTTCAGCGTTACGTGATGAAGATGACGGAAGGTGTAGTAGTTTGTTTTGAGTTTGGATCCGCGAGGGTTTGTGGATCTAGTGAGACAACCAAATTGATTTAATTTGAATGCAGCCTGCAGAGTAGCTCTCGTTACTATAAGGACAATTATAATAAACATTTATTTAATTTCGAAAGGTGCTGTACTGTCATTGGTCAATTATCATATATGGGTGGACAACCGCGGTAAATAGTTTAATTCCACGTGATTATCCACAAGCGCGAGACGTGGTCAAGTTTATTTCAACATCATGCCATCCAAGTGCTGGGATCGACAAAACAGGACGTCTACTGAAACAGACGATTCAACTACTTGTGCATTTATAACTATCGAATTGTCATGGCATCATTTTGTAATAGAAATAAGTAAATATAGTGTTTTGAATTACTTATAAACTAAATGCGAGACACGTTATGCATCTGCATATCAAGTTTGTCGTTTGGAACATGATAAAAAAAGAAATATAATAATGAAAAAAAAAAAAAAAAAAAAAAAAAAAACTAAGAAAGAACGAAAGAACGAAAGAACGAAAGAACGAATATTATCTCGTTTGCATCTCCTTTCCATCTCATCATAAAATGTAGTATGCACGAAAAAAAAACTATAAAAGCATTCTGTAATATCCACCCCTCATACTATAATGAGTCGTGTTGGTCATGTCAGTCGTTTCGAGGAGCCTCTTCGGAGGAGGTGTATGCAAATTAAATATGAATGTAGCTGTGTATATAGTTGGAAATAATGTCAAGACAATTGTGAATGGTGCATACCAAGAAGTTGTGCGTATATTACTGCGTTGTCTTGGGCTTCTTAATTCCAAGGCTCTCCATCTCGAGGCCGGTCCTTTTCTTCCCGCCTTTTCTTCCATTCCTGGTGTTGATTATGGCAGTCCCCGTGACTGGATTGCAATCTTCCCCGTACATTCTCTCCAAGAGGCCAGGGTAGTGGTTAGGGTTCTCGAGCTTCTCCCGCTCGATATGTTCCTTGTGGTTGAACCCATCTGGCAAGTTTTTTTCCATTTCAAGACCAAGTTCAGTTGAGACACTACTGTCATCGTTCCCACTATCACGAAGCTCCAGTGTTTTTCCGGCAAGAAAATGCTTGAGTGTCAAGTAGACAGCTTCTGTGGCTTTTTTCGTCTGGTTCTCCTCCATATTCTTCATCATCGCCATGACGCCCGCCATGGCTGTTACCAAATCCAAGTTCTGTGCCTTCAAGTCCGCGACTTCTGCCTTCAAGTCATTCATCATGGAATTTAGGCTCGTGTGTCTCATTTTCAAAACTGTCATGTTGTCATCAATCGTCTCTTTCACGGCCGCGGTAATGACTCGTTTTGCATCACTACCTAGCCGCAGTTGTAGGATAGGGTGTTTGTCGTCTGCTATTGTTCCCATTAGACCATTCGCTGCCTGGAGATGCAAAGATAATAAATTGAGATTTTTGTCTAGTATTGGCCTTGAAGACTGGATATTATTCTCGCTGCCATTCTGAAAGTGGGTTCGTGGCATGGAGCAAGTCGTCGTTGAACTAGATTCCTTTTGTATGTCCTTTGTAAGAGTTGTGTCCTGCGCGCCGAGGTTGTCCTCGACAAGTTCGCCCGAGACCAATTCTGAGCGGCGGACAGGTGATGTAGTCCCCTCAGGGGCTGTAGGACTACCACCAACTTTGTTGATTGTAGCAGGAACAGCAAGCATGCCTTGAACGCCTGACTCCAGTGTCGATTGTTGGCTCGTTCCAGGGGCACCGGCGTGTCCATCGTTTGCCTCGGGGGCGTCGGCCGCGCTACTTCCACCAATCTCTGCCTGATGGTCTGGCACTGCGGAGGGGACAGTTGCGGTACCAGCCACTATCGAGTTGTACTCTCGCTGTTTCATGGACTTGTTCTTTCGTAGTCGTGCCTCCGATTCATACTTCTCCAAATAGGCATCCATGATTGCTCGATCTTCCGGTAGCAAATCACTGATCATCTTCTTAATGGCCAGTTTTCGGTACCGGACTGCTTGACCTAGTGATTCTGTGCTCCTCCCAGGCTGGGCATCAACGTCGTTATCCATCTTATTGGCCGAGGATCTACATTGACCCTAGTTAGTATAATATAGCAATGAGAACTTTGTGCACATCAAAATAAGCAGGATAGACCCACAATGCCGAAAAATGATTGTTGTCAAATTGGTGTTTAGGCGCCGAATAATTGTAACCAAGCAAAATCGTCACCAACCGCGGTCGAGGCCTCCTGTACACCCTCGGGTCAGCATGAGGTGAATTCGAATGGTTCGTGCCCGTCAAAACGGGTGGAAAGGGATGGTAAAATATTCCAGACGTAGTATCCGCGAAAAGGGTTTGGCATGACAGCTCATGGCACGAGAGCTTCCTGGAAAACCTCGAGTCAGTATAGTGAATATAACAAATCTGCGTTCACCAAAGCGCGCGGAACGGACTTACGATGCTTAAACAGCCTGGTTGATGCGGTGAGGTCCTGCTATTGACAGTCTAAGTTGGAACGATGTGAACTTGATGACCTCGAAGAACTCTTGTGGATCGGAAAGGGATAGAGAGAGCACTCACAGATTTCTCGGTATTAAAAAGAAGTTCATCCGTAAGTGGCTGCTGAGGCTTCAAGGTGATATGAATCGATTTAACATTTCGGAGGAGGTGAAGTATGTTGGAAGAGAAGAAGAGGACAACGACAGTGAACTGTGAGTAGGCAGAACAGGGTCAGTCAACTTCGCTTGCCCGAAAGCTGCGCGGCAAATGATTGGAATATACTCACCTTGTGGACGGGTATTACCTGGTAATTGACCTGGGTGTGCTTGGGCGTTGATCTGGTTGAACATAACAGCCTCAGTAAACTTTTAGGAGGTCAAATGTCGCGCAACAGAGGTCGGAATGGACTCACCCGGAAGTATTGGTTGGTGACGAAAGCCCGGATGAACTTGAATGAACGCCGATATAGCTGAACAAAATGCCTCTGCCAGTCTGAACAAGTCGAAGACTTGTCTGAACAGACTCACTCTGAGGATAATAACCACCCGGCCGAACTCGAAAGCCGATCTGGTCAAACAGTGTTGGTCAACTGTCGTTCGTTCGAATGTGGAAGATTGGAATAGACTCACCTTTTGGTGACCTTGTCGACTTTGGGCGAATTTAAATATCGATCTGGCTGACCAGGGCAATACATTCAGCTCATGCTCGTCTGGATTTCGCGTAATAGAGGATTGGAATGGACTCACCGCATGGATTATAGCTCGCAGCGAGCAAAGCAAAAGGTGTTGATCTGTCTGTTGACCAGGCGGCGAGCTCAAACAGCCGCGCTGGCTCTGTTGGCCGAATAGGACACAGTCAGCCAACTCTTGTCCGTCTAAATGCCGCGCGGCAAATCATCGGAATAAACTCGCAGTGAGCACAAACAGGAGAATTTGGGGTTCTGTTCGGTTGACGAAGAGCAAGAATAATTACATTAGTCGCGGATTAATCCGGCCGAATTGTAGAGCCTTGGTCGAACACCAGAATTTAGATTTGTATCAGGGATGGATGGGAGAAAGAGAGAAGGATTAGAATATCAAGATTAATGATGTACGATGACAAATATATTTTTGAAGAGCAAGATAACACAAGAACAAATTCATAACGTTTCATTTTTTAGCTCATAGCAGTTTAGAACTATCTGTAATAATGGTGATTTCCCATCGTCAACATCCGTAGCAACAAAAAAATGTCCTCACTGACAAATAAAGCATGTCCCCTTAGAGTCATAAAAAAAAAGGGTGTCACATATGAAATGTGTTCACTCAACTCCTTGACGTTTCTTCCTCACATAGTGTCATCCATGACCCCGAAGATGCAATGTCAAGCCCTTGACTCGGAACAAAGAGAAATGATATCCGCCTTCCCATTTGTTCACCACGCAACTTTGATGGTCATTTGCATCTCCCGGCTCATTTACCCAAACCAACTGTTTCTGCGGCTCGCAGAATATCCGCCTCGACCTGGAGCTGTTCCATTGTCGGTGCAAGCAGCTTGGAGATCTTTGTCGTAACTCGCTCGATTTCCTCTCGCCACTGGACAACTTCTTTGTCTACCAAAGCATGCTCTCGTTCTGCTGCTGCATGCTTGTTCCTTTCGACCAATCCGATTTCCTGTGACATTCGGCGAACAAAATTCTCGTCTTTGGCCAATCGTGCCTGCCATTTTCTCCACTTCGGACTTCCCACTCCATCGACGCTTATCACGTTGGACCCCGCATGGTGATGGCTGAAGCCACTTGCTGTCGTGACGTACGCGTGGGCAATCGTAGACGACAATATTGCACCGACGGCCGCGTGCTCAGGTCTCTGCATCTCAATATGACATGACCTTCAAGGCGGAACCCCGACTGTGGGAAAGCGCACTGGAATGCCAATTCGGAGAGTCCCATCAAATAGTTGGAACTAACCTGGGATGTGTGGTGGTTGATTCCCCTTAATGGCCGGACGCTGAAACCTACTTCAGCGAATGGGGCGATATGGAGGACGTCCCTGGCGATTGCGCTCGATCTCATTCGGTTCCGCACGAATTCGTGTGTCGTCGTTTGCCTATCGCCTGTCCATTAGGGCCCCCCTTTTTTCCTATCGCCGTCTGATAGTTAGCAACAGCTTCCGGCGGCCCAGCTACACAGTGTAGTCTGTATACTGCTAGGCGGTATATAACTTATATGGCTTCGTTTACTCAATTAAGTCGTCAAACTCCAAATTTGTGCTTAACAGTTTTCCTATAGGAAATACGGTGGCTTTTACGCCCAAAATGACTGTTTTTCGTAGGGGATTTGCTGGTTCCCTGGTTGGTCCACGTATTGGCCAGATTTCTCAGTTTCAGCTAGGCTGAAGAGCTCAGCTAATCGAGGTTTTTGGCGTTTCCCTAGGGCTACAAATAGCGTACGTAGGCCTGTAGGTCAGTTAATAATTCAATTGATTATATTGTTATATTTATTGTATTCTACGACCGAAGCTTCTTTCCCGGGTATTTCCCTCACAGCGACGTGCTCGCCGAGCGAGCTATGCCAGGTAAGCCGAGTAGTGGAGGAGTACACTTTGTACAGAAATGATTTCTGATGAGAGTCCCGATGCCATGAATGGGTGCGTATTAGGGATTTGAGATCCCGTACACTAAAATATTATCATATAATTTCTGAATGATGTCTGATGCCGTGAGAAACTGTAATGCATATGGGGACCCTGAGAGTCTCCAATACTCGCATGGTACAAGAGAATTTTAAAATCCATATCACCATGGTCGAAGATCGAAATATATTGTCGCGGTATGAGAGTCTATATTTCGAGAGCTAAAACGGCACTCTTATTAATTCATGTCTTTAAACCCCGAATTAAAGCTGTATCAATAAAATGTTTATTGTGTTTGTGGCGCTTTATATGGCATTATCTTTAATAATTTTCTCAACGTTAAGTTATATTTTGCCGCTGTTTTATATTACTGTCAATTTATTTTACCATCGTTTAAATGATATTTGCTATCAAAGAAGAGAATGCTATGGCATGTTATTATCTCAGATACCATACCAATATTTAGTACTAATTATTTCCTACTCGACATTTCTGTATACTAATAACCCCCCATTCTTCCAAAACTTGATTAATATAACCCCGACTCCATCGAGCTTGCTGAAGAAAATGCTGTACACGATCTTGAATGCGAGCAAATATAAATCCAATGGGTATATACAACACCATTGGGATCATATTATTCAGAATTAAGTATACTTTTAAAGTATGAGATCGCTGTTGTCAGACTGTAAGTGGTTTTGTCCTGCTGTGCCTAGGGTCCGGCTTTAGCGCGATCTCAAAGTCGCGTCGTCGCACGTCGGTCAACGCAGTTACGCGACTTTGGACAATGCTGCAGTTCATACATGTCACAAATAATCACACCTACGACTTCTCCCGAGCGCCAATATACAATTATACACATCCTGTACATCTTACTCACTAAACAAACTAGACAATTTGCTTGCAAATGTCTACCATGGATCTCTAGACGCGACCAAATTCCCTGAGAAATCCGCCCCGCGTCTTTGCACGCCTCGTTCCGGAAGATACATTGACAGCCTCGCAACGCTCCAGACGCCTGAGTCTCTCAATTCTTGGCTTCTGCTCCCAAGGGCAGAGGTCCTACGACAACTGACGGCGATACGACACGATGTACCTCCCACGATCGCTCCTCCCGACCCTCTACCTCCACCTCCAACGCACCCACCACCCTCTCTCCCCACCAGTCCTGATCCTCGTGGCCCTCGAGCCTGACGCTCTCTGCGGCTGCCGAATCCTCACCCACCTCCTCAAACACGACTATATCCCCCACAAGATCCAACCCATCGCTGGCTTCAACGACCTCGAGCGCGCGGGACGAGAGAATGTACGGCCCATGCTCGCGAGCCAGGGCGGCAGCGGCGGCGTCGTGGTGTGCCTCGGCGTTGGGGCAAGGAACGACTTAGGCGCCATGTTAGGGATTGACGCGGAGAGCGAGGGCGAGGGCGCGTTTGGCGGGGTTGAGGTCTGGGTTGTGGACGCGCAGCGGCAATGGCACTTGGAGAACGTGTTTGGTGGGGCGCAGCGAGACGGAGTGTTGGAGGATGGCAGCCCGGGACCCATAAAACAGCAACCGGGCGTGGATAATGGGAAGATTGGGAGAGGCTTCAAGCCCGGGAAGGGAGGCATTATTGTGTTTGATGATGGGGATATTGAGGAGGACTTGGGGCCGGAAAAAGCTGCATATTTTGCTCTTGACGAGATGCCAGCTATTGATGAGAGGGATGACGAAGGGGATAGTGAGAGCGAGGAGGGCGATGATACCCCTATGATTGAGGCTCGGCCTGGCCAGAAGAGGAAGTCGTGGTCGGATCGGGAGGATGACGATACGGATGAAGATGTCGACGATAGGCCACGACAGAGGAGAAGGAGCAACTCTGTAAGTTTTACAAAATGACTGCACCGGCAATAACCTAACATAGAACAGTCCAGCTCTATCCCTGAATCTCCCTCACGACCCCAAAGGCGAGGGCTTATGGTTGTCGATGGCCCGAATGGCGTTGCAAGGACAGACTCCCGCTCCGTATCGCCCTCACCTGCACAGCCTGCGAAGCAAGTATCGTCGAGGACGCTGAGACGACGACTGATCAAATTACAACAAATGAATCAGATGGTCCTGGATGCATATTACAGCCTCGGCACCTCATACTCTGAACCCATCGCGTCCATGATGTACTCCCTGGCCTCCGAACTAGGCCGTGAAGACAACGACGTCCTCTGGCTCACCATCGTCGGCGTATCATCAATGGAACTCTACGGCCGCTCCGCAACCGGCGTCGCCATCTCCCTCAAGAGCTCCTCAAACCGATATGGCTGGCGCGGCACCCGCGGCTCCCGCATCCGCCAACTCCTCCGCGAAGAAGTGCGCCGTCTGAACCCCCCTGATCTAAACGACCGCGCCTCCTTAAACACTAGCACCGGTCTCATCCCAACCACCGCGCGCAGCCCCACGGATACCAGTATCCGGCTCTCGCCCGAGCCGAAATTCCTCTTGATCCGCCACTGGAGCCTCTACGACAGCATGCTGCACTCGCCGTACCTATCGGCGCGGCTACACGTGTGGACGGACGTCGGGCGGAAGCGTCTGCATAAGATGCTTGCCAAGATGGGCGTAAGCCTCGTGCAGTGCAAACAGAGCTACACGCACATGGATATGGACCTAAAGCGCGGCTTGCGCGCCAAGCTCCTCAAGTACTCGGCCATGTATGGTCTGGATGAGCTGGTGCCGTCGCAAGAATCGGACGAGGCGGGTGGGGATAAGGAGGGGTGGGGGTTTGTGAGGAGTTGGGGGTGGAGGGCTACGCTTAGCGCACAGGATGTGGGAGTTGTTGTGGGGTCGATCTTGGAGGTGGGTAAGAAGGGCGTCACCACGCTCGAGAACGGCGGGTGGGATCGCGGCCGCGAAGTCAAAGAGGTCACGGATGAAAGTGGTGAGATCGAGGCGGAAGAGTGGGTGAGCCGGTTCTGGGACGCCTACGACGCGCTTGAGAAGTAAGTCCTCTGTCCACTCCTAGTCGAAATCATACTAACGCATCACAGCATCGAAGAACTCAAAGCCGCGCTACCCATGGCACAGCATCTCCACCGCGCCATCCTGCGCACCGGCACCTCCATCATCGAAAAGCGCCAGATCAAGCATCTGTCCAGCTTCCGACTGTGCATCGTCAAAGATGGCCCGGACGTGGCGCTCTTCACGCACCCCTCTGCACTGACGAAACTCGCTCTGTGGCTAGGCGAGGCGTTCGCCGAGCAGGACTTGCAGCGTACGGGGAAGCTGGGGATGGGCGGACGGGGGACGCCGCTGGTGGTTGCGTGCTGGAATGCGGAGAGGGGGGTTTATGGGGTTGTGGGAACCGGGGGTGGAGGGGGAGAGGGCATGAGTTGGGGGGATAGGGAGGCAGCGAGGAAGAGGAAGGAAGAGAAGGCTGGGAAGGCGAAGGAGAGGGAAGCGGTGAGGAGGGTGAGGGAGACTATTCGGGAGCAGAAGAGGGAGGCGAAGCGGAGAGCGAGGGAGGAGGAAGGGGAGATTGACGAGCTGGAGACGGAGAGCGAGAGTGAGAGTGAAGAGGAGGAAGAGGATGATGACGATGAAGAAGATGAGAAGGAGCACGGGAAGGGCTTTGGCCGTAATAGGTTCGGGAATGCGTTCCAGGAGGTGATTGAGGAGACGAATGCGCGGATTAGGGTCGATAGCTTTGAGCACTGTGTCGCTGAGGTGGCTAAGGATAGCTTGAGCGTGTTCTTGGAGGGACTGAGCATGAAGAGCGTTGTGGGGTAGATGACGGGATGGCGGGCGGGAGGGATAGGCGATCGCTGGGACGGGTTACATGGGGATCATGATGGGATGGAATGGGGGAGGCATAGAAGGCGTTTTTGGCTGGCATGCTTGTTTGGTTGGGTCATGAGCGGACCGTATGGCTTTAGCAGACTGGCGATAGCGATCATATCAGCTAGCGGTGAATATATGATGGTTTATTGTATTTTTAGAGTGGGAATATTTGAATGTAATCATAGTTATCACAGGCATATGCGACATCGGCGATATGCACTTCAGTTATGCCGCCCCTTATTATGCACAGAGATTCTCAAAATTCCCATTGTGTGCTCCATGACGTGATAACAAACACCCTTTTTATAGCTTCAAATAAGCACAAATAGGAAAATAAGAAACTAGGGTTATGCGTGGTCACCACGTGGCTGAGCGATTGTAATAATAAATTCAGGCGAGCGAATTAAGGCGGCCCATTCTCCGCTGAGACCCTTATCGTTGTTGGTAGAAGTGGATGCCCATGACTTTGTGGGGAAGGCAACTCCACAAATATTTCTATCCACAGGTAAGAGTACACAGCCGCTATTGGGTTAGAGCACCGCCGTAACGCATTATCGATGGATCGAGGATTGCTTCTCTGTGACGAATTCCCTCATTTGGCAGACCCCTAACCCGCAGGGATAGGTTTTATGCAGCGAAGCCCGCTTGTGAGAGCGCGCGATACCCCGTCCACGGCGCCCCACATCCCACCTGCGTAACGTCGCACAGCACAATGGGTGCGCGCCCCTTTGCCTCATCCACGACGACGACAACACCCTCGCCCAGCGCGCCATGAACTCGGCCCCCTCACCACGCGCCGCCAAGCGTGCGCGCACCTCTCCCACCTTCTCCCAATCCCCGCGCACCGTCGCCCCAGTCGCCGAGGCATCCCCCGGCCAGCCCGCCGCGAAGACAACGGGGCAGAGTAGCAGCTTCCGCAATGTGAGCGCGTGCAACCGCTGTCGTCTGCGCAAGAACAAGTGTGATCAGCAGCTGCCGAGCTGTGCGAGCTGCACGAAGACGGGCGTCAATTGCGTGGGATATGATCCGATTACGAAGCGGGAGATACCCCGGAGTTATGTTTTTTTCCTCGAGGCCAGGGTGGGATATTTGGAGGGCTTGCTGGGAGAGGTAGGCGTGCCATTCGAACCGCCTGAGACGCTGGAATTAACTTCGAGGCCGGGGCCGGAGCCTAATGCACAAAAGGGAGATGACGATTCGAGTTCGAACCAGGGTCCAACGGTGAGACGAGGGACAGGATGGAGCGAAAAGCAGGAGGATGAGGACAAGCTGGATAATTTGGTGTCGAATGTGGGTATGATATCGGTGCAGGGTGCTTCAGACCCACGATACCTCGGCTCGACGAGCGGCATCTCGTTCGCGAGGATTGTATTTTCAGCTGTCAAGAGCTCAGTATCGGGGTCGGGCGCGGATAAGGGGGGCGCGAGGGCGCCGACAGCGAAGGCGCCGACAGCGAAGGCAGGGCCTAGCGGGACATCTATGCGGGACTCATTTTTTGGGCTTCAGACTAAACCGACCATCAAGCCGGCGCCATTCCCGGACCGCAGCTTAGCGCTGCGGTTGATGCGTTTCTATTTCGAGCATGCGAATCCGCAGATCCCGATCCTGCACCGCGGAGAGTTTATGAAGATGTTTGACCTGGTGTTTGGGGACAGTAACCATGTCCGCACACCAAGGGAGTCGTATATAATGAACATTGTGTTTGCAATCGGCGCGGGGATATACCTGGGGGATCCTAATACGGAGCCGGAGTCACCTCCAACTGATCCGGTGCCTAATACGAGCGGGCTCGGGGCGGCTAATAGGCAGTGCCAGCCGGAGGAGTATCATGCGTCAGCGATTATGCATTTAGAAGCATGCTTGCAGTCTACAGGGACGGCAGATAGAGCAGAGGGGTTTGGCGGGGGGTTAGAGGAGTTGCAGGCTGTTCTCCTGCTGGCTGGGTTTGCGTTGTTAAGGCCGGTGGCGCCAGGGTTGTGGTATATCACCGGCGTTGCTGTGCGGATAGCACTGGACCTCGGTCTGCACTATGAAGACGGGAAAGATATTGATACTGGGCTTCGCGAGCAGAAGGCAGGGAAAACCGGAAACGGCGAACCAGAATCGTACTCCCGAGAGAAGGGAAGAAGAGAGTGGATTCGTGACCTCCGCCGACGCCTCTGGTGGTGCACATACTCCTTCGACCGGCTCGTGAGCACCTGCGTTGGCCGCCCCTTCGGCATATCCGACCAAGTAATCACCACCTCCTTCCCCTCCCTCCTCGAAGACAAATACGTAACCCCGCACGGCTTCCTGACCGAGGGCGCCTATGAACCCTCTAGCAAGCACGTCGCTCACCACTACTTCCGCTTCCGCCTCCTCCAGTCCGAGATCCTCCAGGTCCTGCAGCACCAGCAGGCACAGGCCGTGCGCGCCACCTCCGCGGACCCGTACAATCCCTTCCTACCGGCGCAGCAGGCCTCGCCCTTCCTTGCGCCCTTCGGGTCGTTCCGCGCGTGGCGCCTGGACATGGATTCACGGCTGTGGGCTTGGAAGTCAGCGGCGCCGACGCGGCGCGAGACGGGTGTGCAGTTCTCGCATGAATTTCTAGAGCTGAATTACTGGCAAGCGGTGCTGATGGTTTATCGACAGAGCCTGAGCGTGCCTGCGCAATTTGCAGAGGAGTTTGATGGCGCTGCGGAGGTGGGGGCGGGGGCGGTTGGGGAGGGAGATGAGGCGGTGTTTTTGAAGGCTGCGGAGGCGGGGCAGAGGGTGTTGAGGTTGTATTGGCGATTGCATCGCGTACATCTCGTTAATTATACGTTCCTTTCTACACATCAGCTTTTTATGGCGGGGATATCATTTCTTTATGCTATATGGCATTCCCCGACTGTGCGAAGCCGACTCGTAAGCCCATCATACCCCCGAACGAAATTCAAGCTAACACCGCATAGACAATGGATGAAGTTGACTTCAATATCCTCGCTGCGACCTCCATCCTCGGCGACCTCGTCGAGAAGTGTCCACCCGCCGAAGCATGCCGCGACGCCTTCGACCGCATGGCCAAGGCGACGGTACAGATGTGCATGTCAAGGAGCAGCCTATCCGCGGCTCCAGGGCTAGCGCCACTGCGCGCACCGGATGCGCCAACGTCGACGCCAGCGCCGAGACCCAGGCTGCAGTGTGGGTCGCCTGGGGATTTATACACTACGAGTCCACCGAGTGGGAGAGGGAACTCAGGGAGCATCAAGAGTGAGAGCACTGGAGGGGACGGTGCCGAGGCTGAGGCATCGAGGGGGCATGTTCTGGATCCTTCGATTATTCTCGGTGAAGAGAGAGAGCTTCCGTTCCTGGGAGATGGAGGGATGGGGGTGGAAGGCGGAGATGCGTATGGAGGATATGGAGACATGGGAATGAGCGAGATGAACTCTATGGAGTATCTCGGGGATGGTGGGGGTGGGCTGGAGCTGGGGTTTGGATGGGGCGCAGATGGAGATGGGCACGATTTTGGGGATGGGGCGAACCAGCTGGACTTTTTTGATGGGTTCTACTTTGGGACTGGGGTTTGAGGGGTGTATGTTGAACTTGATACCGGGGTTTGTAGGACGACGGCGTCTATTGTGGGGAATTGGCGTATCGTATATGTTAAGGTTGATGACATAGGTGGTATTATGAAGCAATCCAAATGCCGTTCAATTTTGATTTATCCAGAGACTTCTATAGTCAACCACAGCGCTCGCTACCCATCAAACCATCCCCCGTACACCCCCATCAACAACTCTCGCTCATTTCCCCAACCTATCCTCAATCTTCTTCTTCTCGCCCTCCCGTATAGCAGCGATCTCCTCCTTCGTCGCATCATACGCCACACTGACATTATTAAACGGATTCTCCGGGCTCTTCTCAAACTCCTTCCTGATCCTCTCCTTCTTCTGGTTCTGCCTCAGCCCAGCTCCACTACCATCCACCTCCATCTCCGCCAACCGCCTCTCCTCAAACGCAGCATAAGCAGCCTTGTATCTCCTCTCGGGGTGTTTCTCGACCTTCGAACTGTCACCGCTCGTCAGGGTAAGCGCATCGAGCGCGTTGTCGATACCCGTTGCGTTAAGAGCCTTCGCAGGGCCCGAGGGAGCGTCATCAAGCTGTGCGAGGTCAAGACCACGAGATACTTTCTTGGGTGCTGCCTTGGATGACTTCGGTGCGGACTTCAGGGATTTCTCTTCTTCAGCGAGGAGAGCGTCATTTTCGGCCTTCTTGCGTGCGAGTTCTTGTTTTTTGGCGGCTTCAGCCTCTCTGTGGGGTTGTTAGTGGTGTACTAATGAATTTGAAGTGAGTGGCGATGCTTACTTCTTGGAGCTGTTCTTTGCACCGCGTCCCCAGTCCTCGTCTTCTGCTTTGGCTTGAACTTGGTTTGCGGCGGCGGCTTTGGCGGCTGCGGCCTCGGCCTTTTGTGCGTTGCCTGAGACCTTTTTGCCGTTCTCACCAAAGTTCTTCTTGCCCGCCATGATTATGAGGGTTTTGTGTTTTGGTTATAGGCGGGATGTTTAGGTGTGATAGATAGATATATATTGCTTCGAGTTCGACGGCGCTGATGATGTTTTGAGATGGGAAGTTTTTGGAGGGGCAAGGCAGTGAATATGTCCTTGGCGGGGTCATTATACCCCACATTTGCCGCCGGCTCGATTTCAGACTTCGGCGATGGATTAACATTGCTCCGCATTCAGATGCCCCTCGAGATGGGTTGCATGTAAACACATTTATTTGTTAATCGGGATACATTTTTCTGTAAGACTTGGAATAGAAGGTGAATATAATCTGAGCTCTTAGTGATGCAGAATCAACGCCTGCTCATAGAATTGTAAGTAACCTTCCCCGGCTCATTCACCTGTCCCCAAGCTCACCGCCTTTAGCAATGGCTTGAAGACTGCCAGCCCGGCGGGTGTCTTTCTCAGCTTGTCACCCAGTGACCCAGCACTGTGGACTGGCGTGATTTTTGTTAGAGATGGTGAGCAGTCATGATTTGAATGGCGGGAAATGGAATTAATGCCAAAAACCAGGCCCCTATGCACCGGCTATCTTGCGGTTCCAGATATCGTTCCCAGCAGCATATCCAGCTATCCCTCCCCTCATTACGTTCCCAACGGATGTTTTCCACCCTCTACTTGCACCGTTGACCGTGCAGCTGTACACTTCCTCTGAAGATGACAGCAACGGTGTCGTCGTTCTAGATGATGAGAAGCTGCCTCCCGGAGGCTTCAGTTTGAGGCATGGGTTTCCATCCTGGTTCAAGAGGACAAGAACCAAGCCTGTTTCCGGCGAGGAAAGACATCCGACTGAGACTCCCGAAAATAAGAGCGCAAGTTCCCAGGTCACGCCTATTGCCCTGAGCAGCAGCTCATCAACGTCCCGTGATATGGCTGATCCTGAGGACGGAATCACAGTCTATGAGCTCTTGAGATATATTAGGAGCACCTTCGACGATGCCAGTATGCTTGACGAAGTACCAATAGAAGCAGCTGGAAACTCTGGAGCCTGGAGGGCTTGGAAAGCTCACCGAGCCCATGAAGCTCAAGTTGCTCAAGTAAAGAGACTTTTAGGGATAAGCGGCAACACAAGTTCTCCATCAAAACGGAACCTGGTGCCAAAGCCAGTTAGGCAGCCTGGGGAATGGAATTGGGAGGGCGTCTGGGAAGTCCGAGCAAAGAAAGGCATTGATCTCAGCGTTTCTGAAGCGTCCCTCTACGGGAATTCAACGTCAAACGATGAGCTGGTAGGTGTTCCAAGCATGACATGGTTTGAGGGTTTGACCTAACGAAATGTAGATCAATTTCCTTGAAGCTGACGAGGAGGTCGTGGAGACCATGAAAGAGAATATGGTCCGCAGCTTAAGAGCCGCATGATTCACTGTGGGACTTGCTTCCAGGGATTATTGGGCTGATATATCAGTCTTGGCATCTCACTCCTTCCCTGGCGCATATCTATTCATGCAGGTTGTGCCTTCCATGCTAAGAAATGTCCCTGCCTTTTTAGAATGGAAGGATCCGTTACTGCCAGTTGCGCCTTCCGAGTTTGCAGCATCGGATTGCGCCTTCCATTCTACGTATGCTGGAAGCTCCTTCCTTATTGTGCTGGCAATACCTGGGTTTTCCCACGAGCCGCGCTTTCATGATCAAGCTCGACAAAACATCTCTTCAATATCCAGCTTCGACATACCGGGTATTGGCATACCAGCATCATTCATCAAGTATTGGATATGATTACTAGTCCTGATATTGCTCCCGCCCCAAACAAGATCACTGCAGCCATTGGGGGGCTCATCTTGGTTCCAATCGCGATTGCAGCGGGCGTTGCATTTGTGGCAATCAAGACAACAGACATTTGGCCTTCAATCAAGAGGTGGTTCGCAAACTCATGTTTCCGACATTTGTTTTTCTGCAGGCGCAAAAAGGCCCCGGAAGACTTGAAGAGCTCGCCAGATTCGTTTTGCGACTTGGAGGGAGTGCAATCACCACATTTTCAAGCTGATTCACTGGTGGAACGGCCTCCATCAAGAGAGACACCAACCAAAATATGGCATCCGGATCGTTCGAATCGGCTGAAATGGAGTTTTGGTCGGACTGGGATGAAGATGTTGACATTCCCAGCCCCTTGCGAATTGTCAAGCGACCAAGCACCGGTGCCAACACTGCTGATGCCGGCACACACAGCCCACTCCGAGTTGCCAAACGCCCAACAACCGCCACCAAGACCGATGCTGCCATACCCAACCCCCTACGAATTATCAAACGCCCAAACAACATTACCAAGACCGATACTGGGATCAATTCGAGAGAGGTCATCAACAACATCAACACCCCAAGACGATCATCCTCTATCTACAACTGCATCTCTAGTTCCCCACCAGATTCCGATGGCGGTTGCTTGACAATACACAAACTAAGGAAACCGAGACCTGTTGTACCACATGGGAGCTTTTGTGATTCGTCGCCAACTGAGAAGGGCGATGTAGCGGGGAAAATTCCAGGTATAAAGTTGACAAAGGAGGTCAAAGACCCCAAGCTAAATCAGAGGGCTGAGGGGTGTATTCGCTTCCTCTAAACTTTCCGATAGAGTATGCAGCATTCCAGCTCTGTATATAACCTATCTGAGTATGAACGTTCTCAGATCCCTTGTCCAGTTTTCATTCAGCGTGTTTGCAACCCTTCAAGCACACTGGTCGTGGCAATCATTAAAACTGAAAGTTTCGAATAATCGATCTACCCATGTAAATTATATCCAAAAGTCTAGATATATATGACTTTTCTGTGAACTCTACATACTTCGTGCATTAATGTGTGGTCAGGTCTCGCAGAAGTCGCCCCGCCAACCTCTCTACACGTGACCGCGCAGCAATCCCGCGTTTCGTTGATGTAACCATCGTCAACACCAAAAACGCCAAATGATCTCGATCTGAGGACGACACCAACCACGCCTGCGCGCCACCCCATCTCACTCCCACGGAGTAGAATACGCAAGCCATGAAACCGTCGCCGTCAGTCGACCAGCGCTGCCGATCGAACAGCATAGCAGGCCGCGCGAGCCTGGGCGCAAGTGGGCGCACGAGCATTGGCTCTGCGACTGGGAGGACAAGTATTGGGCCAGGCGGGAGCGGAATCCCAACTAGAGCGCCGCTAGGCACGAGTCGAGTGAGTTTTCATTAGTTCTGGGGGATTTTGACGGCTATGTGCTTCAATGGGGGGTTTTGCTAATAATGGGGCAATAGTTATCGGCGATGCGCGCTTCGACTACACAGCCGAGCTATGATTTCCTGACGGGCACTGAGGCGAGGAAGGAGGGGGAGGGGCTTTCGAGGCCTCCTTCTAGGGGAGGGAGGATGAGGACACCGAGTAATGAGAATTTGCGCGGCTCGATAACGAATCTACCTACCCACAGCGCGACGGCGCAGGAGTTAAATGAGCTGAAAGCTGAGGTCAAGGCGCTGAAGTACAAGATTTCGAGTTCGGCGCAGGAAGAGGAGTTGGCGGGTTTGAGGCGGGAAGCGGAGTTGCGGGAGGTGAGGCGGAAGGGAGAGGAGGACTTCAGGAAGATGCAGGCTGCGGAAGGGGAGAGGAACAAGGCGGTTAGGGCACTGGAGGGGATGAAAGCGGAGGTAGAGAGGAAGAGAGAAGCAGAAATTGGGGATACTGGACGACTGGAGAAGAGGGCTAGAGATGCCGAGGAGGGAAGGAGGGTCGCCGAGGAGGAAGCTGAAGAGCTGAGGACAGAGGCAGAAGAGCGGGTTAGGGGGCTCGAAAGGCGGCTGGCAGACGAGCAGAGCCGAACCTCGACGCTACAACGCACCGTCCAGGAGGTACAACAGGATTCTGAGGCCAAGGATTTGGCGATGCAGGAAGTGCAACAAATTCTCCAGAAGAAGGATGCAGAGATCGGAGCCCTGGAGGCAGAGGTGTTGAGGCTGAAAGCACAAACAGGCGACGTGGACACGCTCGATATCATCAAGCGCGAGCTATCAGAGCAAGTAACGCACATCCGAACACTAGAGGCGAGCAACCGCGAGCAGGCACGCGAGCTGAAGCACCTACGCATGCTGCACAAGAGCGTCGAGGTGGTGGAGGAGGAGAAGAGGCAGCTACAGCGCAAGGTGGGGCAGATGGAGGACTTGCAGCAGGAACTGGGAGAGGCGCGCCTGCAGCGCCAGAGGCTCGAGGACGAACGTCTCGCGTGGACGGCGTATCTGGAGTTGCAGGATGGAGCAGTGGAATTCGAATCCCCCGAAGCCCTGGCACGAGCGCTTGTGCAAGAGCGTTTGGAGGCAGCGACACAGTTGGAGAAACTTGGGCGGCTGGAACCAGCCTTGTCGGAACGCGACGAGATTATCAAGTCGCTTGAAGGCGAGAAGGCCGCATTAGCCAGCCAGCTGGACAAGGCGAACAAGGAGGGCGGTGGTGGCGATCTCAAAGCCCGTCAACGATTAGAACGACAGCGCACTCTTGCCCTCAAGGAGGTTGAATATCTCCGCGCCCAGCTCAGCGCTCTTGATGGCGAGGAGTCGACCATGGAACTCCCATCTTACGACGCCGCAAAGGCGGAGCGCATCACTGCCCTCGAGGAAATGGTCGCAGCCTACTCCACCGAAGTAGCAACTCTGCACGCTGAGATCGCCTCTGCCCCTGTCACCACGACTCTGAAACGCACACGCGACGAGGCTCCCGATGAGCAAGAGCGCCTCGGCTCGCTAACACGCAAGAATAGAAAGCTGCAGGACGAACTATCAACGGCGCAATCCGCGACACAGAAACTCACCAAGGAGCTCTCGGTCACAAAAGAACGACTCACTGCTGCAACCGCACATAAGCAGACGCGCGTCCTGGAATTAAGGGATAACCCCACGGCAAATGCAGAGGCGATCAAGATGTCGACCCTCAACGCCCTCAAAGAAGAGAATGCCGCGCTCGTGGCCCAGCTCCTTGCGGGCCCAACTACAACCCGCCCCTCCGCATCCGCCAAGACCGTTCCCCTCGCCACCCTCGAATCCGCACAGCGCGAATGCCGCGAGCTCGAAGCGCAGGCGGCGTCTTCGCGTAAGGCGATGGCCCGGCTGAAGCAGGTGTGGGGTGCGAAGACGGCCGAGTTCCGTGAGGGCATCGCGAGTCTTCTGGGATGGCGCGTTGAGTTCATGCCGAATGGTAAGATGCGCGTTAGCAGCATCTTCTACCCCGGGACGGAAGACGAGGAGCGCAGCATCGTTTTTGATGGCGAGGCGGGGACGATGAAGGTCTCGGGTGGGGCGAGGAGTGCGTTTGCGGGGAAGATTGCGGAGAGTGTCAAGTTTTGGGTTAGGGAGAGGGGGGAGATTCCGTGCTTGCTTGCGGCGCTTACGTTGGAGTTCTATGAGGAGGGGACGAGGGGGGCTGGGGCGTAGAGGGTGAAGATGGGGACAGCTGTATATAGGCTTGGGCGAGGAGTTTGGAGTTGGTTCGTTGCTGGGCTGGTTGGCTATTAGATGAGCCCCTGGGATTGTTGAGGGGGATTTTAATTCGTGTTTACAACGGATGGAGGTGGGGATAGTGGCGATGTGAGCTATCTGATCCTTGTGGCTTAGATTGGGTTCACAGTGTAGAATATCAGAACGCGCATAGTTGCAAAATATATTACTGGCGCTTATAAGGGAAACACACATAGATCAGGATTCGGAGTCTCCAGAATGCTAGATCGCTGGTGAATCTAAATCGGCAGAGCAGCATATAATCAATCTATCAAGCAACTGTGAAGTATACGTCAACAGGAAGGATTCATTTGCAACCCGACACGATGAGTCTGCGTTCGCATTTTATGAAATAGAGCGCCACATGCTTGAGGCAATGTCGCCAATTCATTTCTCTGAGATGCTGCCATAGGCACAACCACTCACCCGGTGGCAGCACTACCTTCGTCAACAGAATATGAAACGACAGCAACGCGACAGCAGTGACAAGAATGCATCCGCGACAGCTCCAGGCAGTGACAACAACGCTCAACAGCACTCGAGCGAGAACGTAAGCTCCGGATTCCCCAGAACCGCAGCTGGCTGGGACTGACCGGAAATATAGATCTGCTGCGGCTGACCTGATGTGTGGGATGGATCACCGGTATGGAAATTGACGTGCCCTCTAGAAGGAGTTTCATCTGGGCGAGGTTCATCGTACAGTATCAAGGTGGTGGGAGCTTGAAATCCTTCCCAACGGCTTCAAGCTCAAGAGGTGTGGTTGATCTGTTGCCGTGGTGAGATTGCATGGAAAGACGGGAATAATAACAGAGGTTCAGGCAGGCACGATACACACATTTGGTCGTTCATTTCTAGAACAAAGTTAAATAGCTGAATTTGTGTAGTAACAATATCTTGAAAACAAAGCCTACACATCCTCCAAAACGCCCTCATAAAGCGTGACATCCCTCCCATACTCCCCGACCCCTTTCGAACCCCCCAACCCAAAATAAATAGCAAAAATATCAGCGGGTATTTGGTATATGCGAAGCACCACACCCCCCTGAGCTCCAAAATAATCCCGAGAACGCACCAAGTCACCACATGAATCTATTCCCAAACCCACGCTACCCCCTCACACCCCCTCATCACCTCCTCATCTCCTCGACCCCCTCTTCACCTCCTTCATCGGCACCCGCCCACCCCCAAACTCCCTCGGATCAACCTCCCTAACCCCCCCCCCCCTCTGACTCCTACTCCTCCTAGGCGGCGGGGGACTCCCCTCCACAATAACCACCACCTCCTCCACACTCCCCAAACTCCTACTCCTCCCACTTATCCTACTCCCCGTCCTCCTCTCCGTCCGCTCCTGCACCACAATCCGCTCCACCACCGGCGTCCCCCTACTACTCCTGCCGCCGCGCCTCTTCCGCCGCCTCACCTCGACCTCGGAAACCGTCTCGTCGTCGCTGATTAGGATGGCGGACCCGCTGCAGGTCATGTAGATTAGATAGGCGAGGAGGATGAAGCCGAAGACGGAGCCGAGGACTATGCCGGCGATTTGGCCAGGGGGCGGGCCGTTGAGGCTAGAGTAGGTGGTCGGGATGGGTTTGAAGTCGTCGCGGGGGTGGAGGGGGAGGGGCGCCATTGTGTGGATATGTGTGTGTGGTGTTGATGCGCAGCTTATGTCGATGACGGCGTGGAGACGCTTCTGGTCGTGTTTCGATGGTGTTCGCGCGTGGTTCTTGTCGCGGGTAGCTGCGCGCTGAGTGGCGAACCCGTCGCGTTGCTTCTGTTGGAGTCACTAGGACAAGTATTCTAGGTCAAATGCCGTCAATCACGCTCTCAGTGGTGTTTTCGGTGATAACAGCCCGTCTCGCGCGCGAGGGACTGCGGATTGGATCGTGAAGTAGAAGCAAGATATCGCGATGCGATCGAGGGAGGCAATGTCGTCACGCTGGGGATGGACGCACGGCAGCCTTGGCTGGCTGATGCAGGTGTTTCTGTGCCGCGGGGGCGTGGCTGGCGGGGTGGCTGGCGGGGTGGCTGGCGGGGTGGCTGGCGTGGGTGGCTGGGCGGCGCAAGGGACCAACCAAGGGAGAATGTTGGTTGCGAGATAGCGCAGCTGCTGCGTAACAATCGAAATATGTATGGAAATATGTATGGAAATATGTATGGAAATATGTATGGAAGTATGTATGGAGTATATTAACACGCAGTTATGTCTCGGAAAGAAGGCTGCGGGGGGGGAACGTCGGTTGTCTGCAGCGCCCGCGCCCACCCACCGACGGCCTGGCTAGCTGCGGGCGCGTTCCTGGGCTATGACGTTGGTTAAAGAAGAGCTAAAATGATGGAGGCATATGGAAATGCGACGGACTCGGTATTCTGCGCCACATAATATAATTCATGCTCTGTCTGTGCAATGTGACTCTTGATTCAGCTCAGTGGTCTTACACTGAATCCTACCTCTGCAAATGGTCTCTTGTGTTGCGCCTCTTTTTAGTCCTCCCCTACTGCATATATATATGTAAATCGCTGAATCTCAGCTTGCCGATCGTCTGTCTATATACGATTCTGCTCCCATCTCTCCTTATCCAATAGCGGTGAACTGCATATTCAAGCCAAGTTTTCTTCTTTAATATATTCTATATACACTACAACCCCCCTCCCCAACCCCCCCAGCCAGAGCCCCAGTCCCCAACTCGCCTCCCCCAAACAACCAACTCATTCATAGATTCCTACAATACAATCCAACGCCCGCTCGCACGCAAGACCAAGCCCAAATCAACCATCCAACCCCCTCAAATAAACACCCTTCCCCCCCCCTTTCTCAAACGGCGGCAACGGCGGACTCTCACTCCCATCCGTCCCCCTCCTCCCCCTCCCACCACCACCGCCTCCCCCTCCCCTCCCACCCCCCCTTATAGCCTCATACCCCCCTTCCCCCGCCCCATGCTTCGGCACCGGCGGCGGCTTCTCCCTCCCCGCCTCCCACCCTTCTTCTTCTTCATACTCCGGAAAGCTTCTCGTGACATCACTCCCACTGTCGACCCTCGGCCTCACCAACCCCGCCCTCTCCTCCTCCGACGCCCCTCCCGCCGATTTCTTCACACTATGACTCGTCCCCCGACTTCCCAGCCCCGGTCTGTTCTTATGACCCGCTAATTCGCGTTCCTTCTCGCGCTCTCGAGCCCGTATCTCGCGGTCAGACATATCCTCAATCGTCGGCGTGGCGTTGCCCTTGCGGAACACGTTCTGGAAACTAAACTGCCTCCTCGCGCTCTGCGGTGGGCGCTCAGCCGCTAGGTGGCCGCTCCCGCTCCCGCCGCGAGGGTCTTCCGCGAATTGGATGTGCGGCTCGCCGCTGATCCCGCCGTGGCCGTCATACGCGGTTTTCTGCTCGTCGAGACCGGTGGTGTCGTAGTAACCCGGGACGGCGATGGAGGTTAGGGCGACGGGGTGCATAGGGCTCTGCGCGCCGGCGTCGTCGACGTGGCGGATGGAGCCAGGGACCATGCTGCGCGCGCGCGTACGGATCGTGCCGAGGAATGATGGTGTGAGGGAGCCGGTAGTAGGGCGTTCTTCGGCAGCGAGTTCTTCGTCGGTGGGGAAACGCGACATTCCTAGTGGCGGGTGGGGAGATGCGGTGTACGCGGGTGTGAAGGGGCGGTGGGCGCTCCCATACGTAGTGCGCCTCCTCCTCAATCCATCCCATTCAATCTGCTCATTCTCGCTGACGGGTTGGAGATCAGATTGCATATCATCATGAAGACGACGCGCCTCCGCCAGCTCCATGTTCTGGCGCGCGGTGGAGAGGCGACGGATGATTGCCGCGGTGCCGCGGATGGCGTCAGCCTTGGGCTCGGACTCGGGCTGCTCTTGCTCGGCGATGGTGCGGATCTGGTCGAGGTTGCCGGAGAAGACGGCGGCGTCGGGGACGTCCTTGGCGGATTTGGAGAGCTGGAGGAGGGCGACGCCGGAGCAGATGGTGAGGAAGCCCATGATTACGGTGATGATTTGGGAGGGGGTGCCGCCGAAGCCTTTGAAGAGGATGGCGGAGGTGACGATGGTGGCGCTGGTGAAGTAGACGTAGTAGGTTGGCGTGACCAGTGCCGCGTTGAAGATATTGAGAGCTTTCTACGGACAATATATCAGCGCTGATCTCCTCTTCTCTGACGGGGGACTTACATTTAAATAGATAATCTCGGTGACCAAAGTGACCACCACAAATGCAAACAGCACATACAAAAACCACTGATTAAACTGCTTCTGCCCGCCAATCTGCGCCAGAATCGCTGAACCCAGCCCTTGGGTAGCAACGACACTCAGGCCTCCGATCAGACTGCAAATAGACAAGTATACGAGCACGGTCTTGTTCCCGTACCGTGGCGCAACCCACACCCCAATGAATACGCATCCCACGATCACGACGCCGCCGTAGGCGAGGATTCCCGGCTGTATAACAAAGTGCTGCATCTCCTGGATGTTGGTGACGGAGCTCGACGCCGGGATATTGAGTGCGATGACGACGCTGCCGAGGATGCAGAGGAGGCATCCCACCATCCCAACAGCGCTCAATCGTTCTTTAAGGAATATGGCTGACAGCACAGTACTGATGACGACGCTCAGCGCTCCCATCGAGGCGACGAGAATCGCATCGGTGAAGGCGTATGCGACGAAGTTGCAGATCTCGCCGACGATCATGAGGGACATGCCGCCCCACCACCATGCGTTCTTGAGGTATCCGTAGCCCTCGCCGGGGATCTCGTCGTACTTCTTGTTCGCCTTGAGCAGGCCCATCTTGGAGAAGATGAAGGAGACGCCGATGAAGCAGCCTGAGGCGATGGCGAGAACGATACCGATCGTCTTGTAGATTGGCGGCCGGGACTCGGCTGGGCCACCGAGCTCGGCGCGGGTGGAGAGGGTGTTTGCTGCATCGTAGAGGATATGGACTGAGGACATGATGAGGGAGAGAGCGGATGGCGCAAGGCGCCGAGAGAGGGGGGGTTGGTTTGCTCGATGGAAGATCAGACCATGGGAGTATTTGTTCGTATTTGTATGTTTCCCTTGGCCTCGTTGTCAGGTATGATATTCGAAAAGCTCGTTGTCGTCGTCAAGACTCGTCGTCAAAAGGAGAGGTTCGTAATTTCGGGATGGATAAAGGCGGTGGGCTGGTCTGTGTGGGCTGGTCTGTGTGGGCTGGTTTGGTGGTAGGTGGTAATAATTGAAATAAATCGTAATAATCGTAATAATCGTGAAAATCGTGAAAATATCCTCACAGCAGAATGATGAAAATATAAATAAAACAGGATACAGCTATCAAAAACCTTTTTACTCGCTGGCTCTCTCTGAAGGATCTGCTCGTCCTCCTTGCACAGCCCACCTCCATATAGTAGTGGCGTGCATAACGGGTGCATAACAGCGCAGTTAAACTACAGTGAAACTACGTAACTTACTCGACAGCATCAGGATCCCAGAATACTACTCATGATCCCAGGTCAGAATGCAAAGGTTCCAAAGGTCCAGAAGTTTGTTGACATTCTAACTCCAGAGCAAAGACAACCTCCCACATGTCCATCTACAGGCACATATAACTAACCCACGTGAGAAATGTTCCCAGTCCTCAGCTTGGCGGCGGTAAGCACTTGCCATAAATGCTGCATTGTTGCACACTTCAATTATAATAAGATGCATATTCAATTTGTAGTGACAAAAGAAGCTAGTTCTAAGCAGTTCCACTCCACGCCGTAACTGAGCCCCCAAAACACTTTCCAACTAACAAAAACATAAACTCGTGTTTGGCAACGATCTTGTCCTCGTCATCCTACGACAAGTCAATAACAGCACGATGGTCTCTCTCTTCCTATCTCCATAAAAAGAACAATCAATTCCTATAAAAATCTCACACCTGCATCACCATCTAATTCATCATCATCATTACCCCCTCCCGAACGCCCCCTTCGCTCCTCCATCCCACAAAATAGGGAGAAGGAGAATTTCGTGGTTGGAGGGGCGAAGGGCGGGCTGGGGAGGGGAGAGCTGACGGCGGAGGAGAGGAAGAAAATAAGCCACCCACCCCCTCCTCTCTACTCCACAACCTCCACCCCTTCCAACGCCCTCATCGCCCTCCCCCCCTCCCTCTCAAAGCACCCAACCATCCTCTCACACTCCCTCCTCAGCCTCTCCTCCGCAACCCTCGCATTCCACCCCACCCACTCCTCAACAGTCATCCCCCTCTCCTCCGCCGTCAGCTCTCCCCTCCCCAGCCCGCCCTTCGCCCCTCCAACCACGAAATTCTCCTTCTCCCTCTCTGCGCTCCTCAGACACCCAAAGACATCATCTAGATCAACACCCACCCATGGCTCAACGCTCTTCAATCCGGCAACTACGTTCCGCCTCGATGGCGTCCCGGGGGTTGCTGCGAGGGCGATACGGACTGGAGATACTTGTTCAGCCGACGCATTCGGCCGCGGGCTCGGCGGGCGATTCTCCGCATCCGAGCTCTGCGGTGATGGCGAGGGCGTGATACTCGCAGCCCGCGCACGAGCCGCAGGTTGTGGCGTTGGCTCCTCTACCGGTTCCGCTTCTGGAAGAGGCGAGGGGGATGCAGGAGCGGGTGCAGGAGCCGGCGCCTTCCCCTTCGCCTTCGTTGCTGCAGCGCGGGATTTCGCCGGCTTGGGCGCTACAACTTGTGGCGGCGGCGATTTGACGCGGTCTTCGATGTTGGCTACGCGTTCAGAGACGGCTGCGCGATGGCGCTGTGGCGGGGGCGCGGGTTCATCTTCTTGTGGTTGTGGCTCCTCGATGGAGGGCTGGATGATATCCTCGATGTTGCGGATGGGTGCTTTCTTGCTACCCTTCGCCTTCTTGGTCATTGTGGATCCGCGCTTCTTGCCTCCTCGCACGACGGTGGCTTGGCTGGCGTCGGTCTCGTTGCCAGAGTCGTCGTGGGCAGTCGCTATGCTGCCGTCTTGGTGAGACAAGGCCGATACCATCGACTCGATGGACATGGTCGAGCCTCTTGTTGCCCTCGTTGGAGCTGGCTTCGCGGCCTTGGCCTTTGATGTGCGGCCAGCTCGAGCTTTTGGCGCGGGTTTCAGCTGCTGCTCCAACTCCGCCTGTTCAGCTTTGATCCGGCGAGCCTCAGCTTCGGCCTTGGCTTCAGCTTCAGCAGCTTCACGTTCAGCGGCGGCGGCTTCTTCGGCTTCGGCTTCAGCTGCCTCACGCTCAGCGGCAGCGGCTTCTTCAGCTTGAGCTCGAGCAAGGTCCGCTTCAGCAGCCTCAAGCTCAGCAGCAGCAGCTTCTTCAGCTTGGGCGTGAGCAAGTTCCGCTTCAGCAGCCTCAAGTTCAGCGACTGCAGCTGCTTCGGCCGCTTCTGCCGCAGCCTGTGCAGCACGCTTTGCTGCGGCTGTTTGCTTTGCAGATACCTTTCGTGGCTGGTTAGCCTTTGCACCTCTTGCCTTGGGGAGAGGTTTCGATTCCTCAATTTCCATTGCCTCCAGCTCCGCTTCAAGGGCTGCCTCATCTATCTCCGCATCTGCCGCCGAAAAGATGTCGTGATCTGTCTTCGCGATCTTGCTGGTGCGTGTTGCTCGTCGAGTCGGTGCCACAGAAGCCTTAGGCTCCTCGTGAACAACTGGTTTCGTTTCCACAGCATCCTCTTCATCACTAAGCGGCCTCTTCAGATCGTCTTGGAGCATTTTATCGATTTCATCGTCATCCGGCACATGTGCGCGGAGGGATGCCTGTGAAGCTGTCGAGACTTGTCGCGATGTCTTCGATTGACGTCCCTTCCTTTTAGGGGCGGCCTTCTTAGCTGGCAGTTCAGTTATAGTAGCCTCCTCCATCGACACATCGCCCATTACGCTATCTTGGACGGCAATGCTTCCTCGTGTCCTTCGTTTGGGCGGCGGAGCTTCAGCCTCTATCACGCTCGCGGTATCCTCCATCGCTTCACTGGCCCTCTTCTTCCCTCGCTTGGGCTTTGGTTGTTCTACCGCCAACACGTCGACTTCGTCTTCCGGCTCTGGCAACTCGCTGACCTCAATTGGCTCTTCCTTCTTCTTTCTGCCCTTAACAGGGGCTTTCTTCCCCTTGGGCGCCTTTCGGGTGGATTTAGAAGCAGTTGTAGCAGTTGTCATCACACTATCGCCTTCATCGACCTCCATGTCAACTATATCAACTATAGACGGTGCTTCCGTAAAGGCGGATTGTGTTGATAGTCTCGAAGTCTTGGAGGCGCGGGGTTTCCTGCCCTTCGCAGCTTTCTTCGCAATCGGGCTTTCCGGTTGGTTGCAAAGTGTGAAGAAGGCGCAATCCTGGGATCGAGCATGATGTTCGCGACTGCAATTAGATTAGTAGAGTCTTTGCATCACTTGGGATTCGAACTCACAATGGTTTATCGGCTGGCTCCCAGCCATCTAGTGCAAGTGTACAGTAGACACATTCCGCATAATCATCGCCTTCCGGCGTCGGCTTGTGTATCCACCCAGCTTCCACTAGCTATGATATCGTCAGTACGAGTTGCAAATACGATCCATATCAGCATACCTGTTTAGTCTTGCATTTCCACCCCTTCTTCCCCTCATGCGGCCAGCGATCCCCAAACGTCGCTTTCCTAGCCTCCACCATCCGCGTACTCATCGGGTTCTCCAGATGCATATCACCCAACCGCGCCTCAATACACGACGTGACCGCCCATCCGCAGCCGGGCGACAGTTTCAAATGCTCCTCGAGCGGGTTGTCGCCCTTCTCCCACCCGCATATCGATTCTCGGCAAAGGAAGCACTTTACATTGTCGGGGTTCTCGTGGGATGGGAGGAAGAAGAATCCTGCTGCCGCGAGCTGTAGCGCGTTAGAATGCTAAACCATTGAGAAGTGTCTCATCATACCTGTTCTGGGCCGAGCCACGAGTGCGGCCATTTCATGGACTTTGGGGCGCGTCCTGTCGCATTGGACCCTCGTCGTTTCGGTAATGGCTGCGCTGTGTGAAACGACTCCAGCCGTGCAACTTCCGTATAATACTGATCCGGTACGTCCGCCGCCATTGTTTTCAGAAGTGACAGTGCACTGTTTGTAAAAGGTGTCTGTGTTGGAGCTGTTTTGCTGTTCTCGCTGTTTGGCGATTCGATGTGGGACACGCCGCGAGCCGAACGATTCAAGTAACACCGCGCGATAAGTATGCGCTAACTGGGCCGAGACGCTATTTAATGATGCTTCGTGAATGGTAATTCCCAAGAGATTATTTGTCGCACGCGTCGAAGTGTTGTCGAGAGTTAATTGCTGGGCGATGATTGTTGCGGGAGTCCAGGATGTTATTGTTTACATCGGAGGCCATCCGCGATTCTGCAGCCCCACACCGCCGTTGCTTCCCAATCTAGTAGCTTGGAACTCCACTTACTTCACGTTCAGCCAAATATGATAATTATCCGTCCATTACCTTCATATGGATTTATACCAATACTTTGTACGGAGGCGTGTACCAAAAGTCCTTGCCAGGCTAACAGTGCCAATGTAGCGTTCGGGGCTAAAAATAGGGGTAAAGTCAGTAAATAGGCATCGTATTTTGTAGAGTAGAAGATAATACAGATATTAAATATGCCTTCATACTCTCTTACAACGCGAGCTCAAGCTATAGGACTCCGAGCTTATGGAGCTACATATCAGCAAATTAAAGAGAATACAAAAATTTCCGAGCGGCAAGTGCGATACTACATGGCTGAAGCACGCCGCCGTGGATATAATCCAGATACCGACAAGCAATTACTCGATAAATATCTTATTGATGCCCCTCGAACAGGACGCCCTTGGAAACTAAGTGCAAATGGCGAAGAGACTCTTATAAAGAGTATAAAAATGGACCGGAACTCTCGAGAGAAGACAGCAGCAACAACTGGTTATGAAAATGGTTGTTACGGCTAAGTGCTAGTGCTATGGCTAGCGCTTACGGCTGCAACCTCACATGATGGATAACATTGGATATCATGGATATTATGTGTTGTAATAGTCACATGATCTCACGTGATCTCCGTACTGATTATCGGTAAAGCCAAGTATAGGTTACATAGTCAGGAATACATACATTTATTACTCAACAGTTATGAGCCCGGAGCACATCAAGGTCGCATTTTGAATGTCTTCGAACATCGTACAGACCTCAAACCCCTCCTAGGAGTCAATCACCATCATAATGGCGACCCTACAGAAGGTGGGGGTGGTCCTCACCAACCCAAAAGACTGGGATGAGTGGCTAGAGACGATTAAGACAGCTTCAATGAAGACAGGAGTGTGGGGTTATATTAATCCAGCATTAGATGATCCCCCTATCCTCGTACCACCTGTTAGGCCAGTTCCTAACTTCGTACGGACTGCAGCTCAGGCCGGTAGTGGTGTGGTCCCTCAGACTACTCCACGGGTGTCAACAAGAGCAACATCAAGTCAGACAGCCCAACCATCAATCGAAGCCTCCCAACCAATAGTACCAATTATGTACAGATCTCTCACAGACGACCAGAAGGAAGAGCTTCGAAACCTACAAGCGGACTTCCAATATGATCGAAAAATATGGGAGAAACAGGAGGAAGCAATTCAGGGGCTACGGTCTAAGATCCAAGAAACTATTAGACGGGACTTCCTACCATACACATACAATTGTGATACTCCATACGAAATGCTAGTAAGGCTTAAGGAGCGGTTTGCACCAACTACATGAGCTAGGCATGAGGAATGGAGGAGTGAGTGGGCAAAAGCATCCAAAATACAAAGAGGAGTAGACCTTGAAGAGTGGCTCCTAAAATGGGAGACCCTCTACACACAAGGCCGTACGCTCCGAGCACCAGAGGTTATCGACCCTCACGATGCGATATATTACTTCCTCAAAGCAATAGGACCCTGCGAATTTCGAGGCCCATGGACATTCAAACTCAACACTGAGGAGGTCGTACGGACCTATCGAATCAACCAGAGACAGGCAAGATATGACCAGAAGTCTCGGGGGGAACATGGAGTTTTCGCAACACAAGAAGGCAATAATGAGACATCTGCTACCCTTCAGAACCGTACGAACAACCTACAACAAGGACAACAGGGTTGGAATAACGGGAAGAAGAACAAGGAGCCCTGAACAGATTGACCTTGTGGCTCTATCCATAAGTGGAGGGACTGCTTATATGTCATGAAGTCGAAGCGTACGAAGTCATGGAAGCCAAACCGAGACATTGAAGCTAAAGTTGATGCCTACATAAGTGAAAAGCCAGGCTTTCAATACTGCATTCAAAGGGCAATAGACCAGGACAAGGCGAACGGAGGACAACCCCGTACGAACCAGGATCTACCTGTTTCCTTTGCAACAGCCTTCCAAGTCACTCAAGGTCTTACCCTCTCAACCTATGAGCTTGCAAGGAGCACAATCCTTGATTCTGGAGCTACAATTCATGTCTGTAACGACTGTATGAGGTTCTACAACCTAAAGGAATGTGAGGACGGAAACTACCTCTTAGCTGGAGACCAGAGAGTAAGGATTGAAGGGTTCGGGTCCGTGGACATCAAAGTCCAGGTTGGAAAGGACACAAAGTCCGTACGAACCATAACACTCCAAGAAACAGCCCTCGTTTCCTCATTCCACACCTCTGTTGCATCCTTAAAATGATTCATCCAAAAGGGAGTCCATTGGAATACAGCTACAGAAGGACTCACGTACGAAGGAAAGCCGTTCTGCAACACTCCAGTTATCCATGGACAATGGGTCCTTGAATATATTAAGAATGACAATACAAAAGTCCTTCAAAACACAGCCCTATCAACAAGTGCACCAAGATGCTGTTCTATCCTCATACGGACCTCGCAAAGACCTAACAGGCACTGCAAAGGAGTGGCATAATCGAATGGGCCACCTTAATCAAAACGCAATAAGGAAGCTCCAAGAGAAGACCCAAGGGGTTATTGTCACAGACATGGATTTGTACGACACTAACTGCGAAGTCTGCCGCCTTACCCATGCTACAAAAAGGATCTCCACCACGGTCACAGATCCCTTATGAGAAGGTGCACCTAGACCTTATCCAGATGCCAGAGGCATACGATGGTAGCACACAGGCTCTACACTTACAGTGTGATTTCTGCTGCATGAACCATGTCTACACCATTAAAGACAAGAGGCAAGGCACAGTCCTACAAACAATTAAGGACTTTGTAAGCTACGTACGGAGACGATGGGGTTATAAGGTAAAGATCTTCTTCCTTGATGGTGAGAGATCACTTGGAGATGAATGGGATGCATGGATTGCAGATGAAGGATACGAAGTGCAGCTTACACCCCCGTACACTGCTGAACCAAATGGTGAAATCGAACGTTCAGGCCATACGATAATCACACGCTCACGAGCTTTAAAGGAAGCAGGCAACCTACCACAAGGAATTTGGCCTGAAATATTTCGGACTGCAGGTTACCTTATAAACCGGTCTCCATCATCTGTCATTAATGATGAGACTCCGTATGGACTTCTACTCCAGTCCCTACCCTCGCAGCTTCAAAAGCCAGAGCTTACTAAGCCCTTACTCTCTCATATCCGCGCCTATGGATGTAGAGCCTACGCACTCCTGTCATACTGACATTCGTTGCACTCAGTTTGCTATCAAACTCAAGAGCAAACTTAGAAATCTCCTCCTCAAACCTACAAGTCACCATACATATCTTGGCTTATCACACCAACAACAGAAGCAATACTACTCAACGATTGCTGCAAACTCTTCTACTACATCTGTTTATGCTACATACATCACGGCATATCATTTGAACACTCATTGAACAAGTTATTAAGAAAATCTCCTCCTTAAGGGGGTGGGCCAATACTACCACATGGCATATATCTACCAACTAGAGGCCTAGGAACATGAACGATAGCTCTAGAAGCTTCTACAACCCTCTATGATTCATTACACGTCATCGCTCCTTAGTTACCCACAAGATTGGTTAAGTTATGACATAATTTATCTATAGGTTGTTACGACGGAACAAGAAGGCTGGCCAACTACAGGACAGGAAGGAGGGAGGTCGCATGAGACCGGCCCTGGTACCTGGAGGGGCAGCGGGGAATAGTAGTTCCGAAAGTATCACGTGACGGACTCGCAGGAGGATGAGAAGAGTCCTAAGAGTCCAGGACTCCGAGGACTCGAGTGAGTTCCCAGGAGTCCACTAGGCACGTGATGGACTCGCAGGATGATGAGAAGAGTCCTAAGAGTCCAGGACTCTGAGGACTCGAGTGAGTTCCCAAGAGTCCACTAGGCACGACGCCACTATATAAGTAGATAGTATTTCCTTAGATAGGAGCTTCATGCTCAACTCAATACAGTATTTGTTATATACTAGTAACGTGTTACTTGAAGCCTTTGTGTCTGATCCCCTGCCTCCTCTGATAAGTAAACCTTTACGCAAGAGAACCTCTGTGTCTTCTATCGTTTAGAAGTCAGCGTTACACTTTGAGCATCACTTCTACGAGGTACCGGCTTACACACAAAGCAACATGTCTGTCGTCAGTTCGAAGGGGAAAACCCCCACCACGCCAACTTCGTCTCAGAGGTCTAAGCCTGAGAATGAAGAGATGCCCGATGCACCCACCGTCAATGAACTCAAGGAAACTCTACGCGTCAAGTTGCCCGACACTTACTCCGGCAACCGAAAGGAACTTGAGGTGTTTTTGCTACAGGTCGAACTGTACCAGCACTTCAATGATGAGAAGTTTCCCACCCAGGAGAGCTATGCCCTGTGGACTGCGTCCTACCTTAGGGGGGAAGCCCTGCGATGGATCGAACCATTCCTCAAGGACTATTTCAAATATGAAAGTACCAATGGAAGCATGACAACTACGCAGACTATGTTTGGCAGCTGGAAAGGATTCTGTAAGGAAATCCGACGCATGTTCGGAGACATCGATGAGATCAAGACCGCGGAAGACCATCTGTTTGCACTTAAGCAGACTGGCAGCGCCCTCACATACTCCACAGAATTCCAGAGATACGGCAATCAGACAGGATGGGACGCCAGCGCACTCATCAGCCACTACCGACGTGGGCTGAAGAGCCATATACGTATGGAACTTGCCCGTTTGGAACAACAACCAACGGACATGGTAGCGCTAATCGAACATACGGTCCGAATCGACAATCGACTATACGAATTCCAGAAGGAACGTCGGACCTATGACAAGCCCAAGAAAAGTTACCCCTACCGGGGAAACGAGGGCAGACGACGGGATCAACACCCGCGAGACAACCGTTGGTCGGACCCAATGGAACTCGATGCCACGTTCAAACCTGGACGACCCCGTGACCCTAAGAAAGACAGACAATTCAAGGAACGACTCTGTTTTAACTGCGACAAGCCAGGCCACATGGCCCGAGACTGCAGACAGCCAAAGAAAGGGAACGGCGGA